TCGGTTTGGGCGTTCGGCTCGGCGGCTCGGAGCGCGCGCGAGCGAGCGGGGTTGACGCGCGAGGGGGGCGTGGGGACGCGCGAATTCGCGCGAGCGCGTTCGGTTCGATTCGAGCGCGTCGCGACGCGACCGCGCGAGACGCCGCGACGCGCGCACCTTTTGCGCGGCGAGGGAGATCAACCGCGTGATCCTCACGTCCGGCTCCGGAACGCCGCACATCTTCAAGTAGTGGTTCGTCAGCGCGTCCGGTATCGTCGGCGTGAACTCGTCCAGGGATTCCATGAACGTCGCGATCTCTTCCTCGGTGCCTCCGAAGGTCCTCTCCAGGAGCGGGATCCCGGGCGCGGGGTGCTCCGCCGCGGTGCTCGGGAAGGACCGTCCGGACGCTGTGAACACGGGGGGGGGCTGCGAGCCCGCCGGAGGGGGCTGTTCTGGGTCCATCGTGCGTGCCCGGGGACTGAAGGACACCACCCTCCCGAGGGTGGGAAACCCACACACCGGTCAGGTTGCTTCGGAGCCGGAGAGTTTTCTACCAGACAGCAGCAGGCAGGGTTTACAGTACGTGTCCACGTAAACGTGCGTGTACTCGTACTGTACTGTACACGTACGTGTACCTTCTCCCATTTTTCCAAGGGACGAAAATTTCAACCAATGAGCGTTTGGCGCCCCGCCCCGTATGCAAAAACGTGCCCCTGTCAGTCTGAAGTGAGTTTCGTAGTACGAAAGTACGCGGAAACTGCACCTGGCCCATAACCTGCACTCGTCCTCGAACGACAACGACGCCGCGCCTCCCTCTCTCCCCTCCCCCCCCTCCCCCTCCCCCCTCCTCTTCCTCCCCCTCCCCCCCCTCCCCCTCCCCCCTCCTCTTCCTCCCCCTCCCCCCCCTCCCCTCCCCTCCCCTCTCCTCCTCCTCCAAAACCTCCTCCTTCCGTATTTTATCAGACTAAATACCCTGCTGCGCCCCTTTCCCAACTACTGACAGCCGAAGCGCCGGAGGCGCTGATCAAATGCCCTAGCTAGCTAGCTAGCTATCATAGCTACAGTACGTGTACAGCTGTACACGTGTACAGTACCTGTAGCTAGTAGCTATTATCTTCGAAGGTACGTGTACTTCCGGAAGTATGATACTTCCGGAAATACTTTCGAAAGTACGAAAGTACTTCCGTACGAGAAAGTACCTTCGAAGGTACCTTGTACGAAAGTACCTTCGAAGGTACCTTCGTACTTTCGTACTTTCGTACTTTCGTACTTTCGGGGATAAGGGGGGGTAGTGTCCGGCAAAGGATACGTATACTGATATACCCTGTATTGCCGGAAGTACAACGGTGTGGGCTGCGGCTACTGTAGAACGTTGTGCGGAAGTACAATGTAGCTCAGCCGAGCCCCACGCGTACACTACAACGTTGTACACGTAGGGTACTCGTAGGGCTAGTATTTATTCATAAACATCAGTAAGTTGTTACAACTTATTCAGTATTTATTTTATTATTCTACGTGTACTGTACGTGTACGTGTACGTGTACTGTAGCCCTAAAACAGCTTTATCTTCGTTGTTAGTTCGTATTATCCCCTGCTGCTGATAGATATACGTGTACAGGAATGTACAAACTCACGTGCGTGTAGTGCTAGCTACGAAGGTAGCTACGAAGGTAGCTAGCTTGCTAGCTACCTTCGGAGGTACTTTCGAAAGTACGAAAGTACCTTCGAAGGTACAGTACGTGTAGCTTAGCTAGCTAGGGACGGATCGATAAAATATTCTACAGGTAGCTAGCTAGCTACTAGGCCTATTAGGCCCTAGATTGTACGAAAGTACTTTCGTACGAAAGTACGGAAGTACTTTCGTACGTAATTTCGTACCTGTGTACGGAAGTACTTTCGTACTTTCGTACTTCCGTACAACCTATGGCTAGATAACTGCTAGAGATAGCTACGAAGGTAATACTGTATGCTAGCTAATAGCTAGTCTAGCTTCTACCTACCTTCGTATCTAGCTAGCTACTACGAAGGTACCTGCTAGCTACCTTCGTAGACAAGTAAACAAAAATGTTGTAGATAACTTTATACTGTAGTTGTAGCCCTAAACGAGTTGTAGTCGAGCTAGACTACATACGTGTACTAGTCGTGTACTCATGAACGTGTAGTCTAGATTTATTTCCGGAAATACCTTCGGGTACAAGGTACGGAAGTACCTTCTTACCTTCGTAGAATGAACGAATATCAAGAAGGTATTGCAATGTGCATAGCTGCATCCTGTAGCCCTACCTTCGTATCCGTAGGACAGTCGTAGGACTAGATATCTGTACGTGACAATTGTCTACGGTACACGTACATAGATAAGTTGGGCGCGGGCCCCCGGAGCGCGGCTCAAGCCTTCGGGCGCACTCCCGGTCGAGCTCCCGTCGGGCCTGCCCAGGGCGTGCGGCGCGCGCGCGGAGATTAATACTTAATACCTTCCAAGATAAATGTTGCTTCCGGAAGTACTTTCGAAAGTACTTTCGTACTTTCGAAAGTTCAGGACTACTTCCGTACTTGCGGAAGTTTATTTCAGGAAGTATGATAAGCAAGCTGTTAATAAGATAAAATATGTAGAAGGTATGTTAGTTTATTATCAAATCATACTGTACACGGTACAGTACTTCCGTACCGGAAATAGATATTTCCGTACGTGTACAAATGTACCTTCGAAGGTATCTATTTCCGGAAGTCCTGATACTGTCACGTACTACATAGCCTAGACTACATACTCCTACGACTCTCCTAACGCGGTGTACAGCTGTACACGTATGCAACGTGTACGCAGTACGCAACCGTAAGAACGTCGTGCAAGCGAAAACACACTTTGGCTGCCGTTTAGGGACGCGTTCTTCCTTGTGTGCGGAGAGCATTGATTTACCTGAATGAAAGTTTCCCTTTGCGACGAAGCTCTCGCTACCGTACTCACTGAACTACTTGGTGGGGCCATATTGTCCCTTCGGAACGTGAGTTCTGCGTGTTCATCGTCTTTTTTTGTTTTACAAAAACCGGCTCGCATCAGGGACTTATCGATTCGGAACATGAAAGAATGATTGTTCAAAGCAAAACATTTCTCACCCTGAAGGCACGCAACTTATATCTTCATCAAAACAGTAACATCAACTACACTGCGTCTTTTGGCAACAGGAAACGATCGTGAAGTGTATAATTCGAAATACAGACTCCAAGACCAGTAACTTGGCAAGGTGCGCAACACGATCCTTTACTGTGTCTACGCAGTATGGAGGTTCACCAAATGGGCATGCATTCGTCAGTGGAACATCCTAAGGCAACGGACTGTTTTGGTGCAGTCCTCTCACGCGGCGGCGACCGAATGTTCTGCCAGGATCGCAAGCTTTGCCGGGTCTCTGGTTGGCTACGGCTAGTGTTGCCCTGACTGTCAAACTTGCATACTGCGTAGTTTTATCAAAATAACTTCAGATTTCAATTTGACCGGCCAAGCTTTCCAATTTTAGAAGAGCAAGATCATGTCCAGCAGACACTCGTTCTCTCATGACCACAATCAAGAGTGCGTATACAAGACCTGTGTAAATGCATTTCTTCCTGATGAAAAGGAAATCTTTCCCAGGGAAGATCGAAGAGAAACGCACTGTTTTGCCAGTGCTCATCATGAGACAGATGTCAGGCCGCCTTGCGGACCTCCGCCAGTTTCAGGGTATCTCAAAAATCGGTATTTTGACACAAGTAAGTTGTAAAATTGATGTAAAAGGCTGGAATAGAGATTTATTTTGAAATTGATACAGGGGGTGTCGACGAATACTTCCTTAGAAATCGTGGACTTTCTTGATTTCCAACAGATATCGTTGTTAAATAGATGTCGACAACTACCAGAAATTCGTGCGCGTTTAGAGGTGAATGCAATGCACTACGATTTCATCTAGCAAGTAGTATATTTTTTTCTGCTGAAACTCAATCTATTTTGCGCAGAATGCCACAAAAAAGCTTAGCAGCTTCTTAACCCAGATTGATTCGCAAGGGTTATTTGAAATCACCGCTAAGCAACAGTGATGGATTTGCTCTTCGGCACTCTTCGGCTGATAGTTTTTGCATGAAATAAATTAAATTATATGTTCAGGAATATTCTTCCTAGGAATATTTTTTGTCGGATAGAAAACCTAGCCTTCTCTTTGATTGATTGTATTCTACTTGCTAGTTGGAGAAGAAGAGTAGGCTTCAGCTATTAAATTGGGTAGACGTTCCTTGCGCTTCGGGGGAATCTAGCTAGGTCAAATCGCCTCTTTTCACAAGTTTACGCGCTGTGCTGTATGTAGTACACCACTTTCCACCGAACTGCTTTCACTCACAACAAACAAAAATGTTCTGCGCATGACTTATATATCACGACGATACACGTTCGTGCTGGCAAGCGATATTTTTTTGCATCATTCAACCCAATTTCGGCCTAACAAGTTACTATTGGAGGTGGTCCCACAGACCTGAGTCAAGCAGCTACCTTGGTACTTTTGAGAACAGCAGTTGGAGACACCACTGCCCAAGATCTAGTGCAGTGTAGCTCCGTTAAGACGCAGTTCGACCGAACATATTGTCGTCCATGTCGAGATCGAGGTCGAAAGGAGGGCTGTAATAGGACTTGTTCACGCCCATGAAGCTTTCATTGGTCATATCTTCGAAACTACACTGGACCATGTGCTTGGCATGGGCCAAACGCTGTCGAGCTAACCTTACCCGCCAAGCTGACTGTATAAAAACAGCTGAAGCAATCACAGAGTGGGTTGTAATACTACCAGGATGTCTTCGATATGTATCGACATCGCTTGCTGTCCCGTCACAGACTAGCATATTCCCTGCGTTGCTAGGAAATAGTCGCAACCCCAATTGCGGGAACAGACGCCTCTGAGGTGTTCGCCAGACCATGTGTATCAGCCTGGCCGATGCAGCTCTCTGCCCACACACGCGACGATCTCGGTGCCGTACCGCACGCCAAGCGACTTGAATTGTCGAAGAAGCGTGGTACACTTGTGCTGCTTGCTGATTCAATTGCAGCAATATTGATTCTTTTGCAGTGACTGTGAGTAGCCAACGTGCCCATGATAGCATCTTTCGATTGGTGTGTGCTGCCACTTCATGTTTTGGTCCAAGGGCTGCAACTATTTCCGCAGCATTGTCCAGCTCAGCACGAGCTTTCCTCGCTCTTTCCTTTCCTGATTCGAATTGTAGCAAATGAAAAATGATAGCTGTTCCTATATGCGTTCTTGCCTCCTGTATGCGATGCCCCCAAAATGCCTTTGCTCCGAACAAAGCTGCCGTCGTGGCAACAAAAGCCGCATCAGCTGTGGCCACATCAGTTACCTCACGCGGACAACTTTTTATGAACGCTTGAAGGGCAGTGTCGGCTGTCAACATTAGCCTCTCAAAATCGTATTTTGCGATTTGGCCCAAGGTTAACAACTTAAAGTTTGAATTCTTGGGTTCCGGTATGAACCCAGTAAAGTTCATGACCGTACTATCCTTCATGCCCATGTTGCACATGCGAACAATTCTTGTCACCGCTGATACGAATTCCTGGGCTTTGCCAATCGCTGTTGCTGTGTTAAACTTTCCAAACGCGAACTCAGAACACCACTGTATGTCAGCGTCTGCAACAGCGCGTTCCTCGCTCAGACTCAAATTACCCGAGAAACGTTTTGTGTCGAAAACATTGTCTATCGAGCCAGAGAGCAGTGCACGTGACAGAGTCGTGTTTGCGATGCACTCAAGCTCGGACATGCTGGACTCTGCAGCAGCTACATCCTCGATGAACCCGAGAGCAAGAAAATGCGACCTGTCCATAACAAACTTGTGACGAAGGTCACCTTTCATCCAGAAAGTATTAGCACTGAGGCGCGCACGGGTTGCCTTGTCGCGGGCCCTTGCCATAGTCACTGCACTAGCGATGTCAGCCTCGAAAACACCAGAAATCGCTGCTGCAGTGCACAGTAACTGTAGCCTATGCGAAGGCTCTTCACCTATCTCAAATCTGCAAACCTTGTCTGAAACCATCTGCGCACGTTGACGTAAGACCGTAGTGAATGTCAGTGTATCGTCCACTACTAAAGCTCCGGAGCGTCGCACCGCAGATTGGCTGACCTCAAGCCCGATTTCCTCGTCAGGTGTCTCAGCTTTGTAGAGGTCGGTTACAGGCTCAATGACAGTAGCTGTCCATCCTTCTTGAGCAGAATGTATACCTGCCGCCGATCCAGTGCTTTGCGCTAAGTTAGCTTCTGGTAACATTCTGTTAACAAGCTCCACTGGAGTCGGTTTAAGTTTTGCATGCAACCTACCTTTTTGATATTTGATCATAGCGCGTACAATCCGACCAGCTGCAATTGTACGGCGCACAGCATGCTCCACAGATATCCAACGTTCAGCTGCTGTGATCGCCATGCTAGCTTCGCGCGCGAATCTGTTGCGGTGCTGCCGGGCGATTATTTCTTCAGCTGAACTCGCTGCAGGCTTCGATTTACCTGGCACTTCTACGTGCAGGTCTCCTTGAACTCCTCCTGTTTTATTCAACATAATTGCTTCCATGTCACCAGAGTCCGAGTCAGAGTTCATAGGTGTAGCGTTCACTTGAAGGCTAACCTTGTACAGCTCCTCATCAACAGTAAGTTTAATTGCAGCAGGCCTCTTCTCTGCCGGAGAACAAAACTCTTGCAATTTACAACCTCTCCTGAACGCAGTGTCAAGTGGTGAATGGCGAGCTCTGGTCGCATCAGTGGAAGCATTTTCTACACTGTATGAGACAGAATCTCGCCTCTGCGAAGCATTCGTCGAATCATGAACAAGCAAGCTCGCTACCAAGTTATTTTGTATCTTCTGTTCACTGTCGCCCTTTGCACTGAAAGCTTCAATAGAATGCTCGTATCTTTCTTGTGTACCTCTAAATCGAATTGTTTTCCAGAGCCTCGACTTTCGGGCAGCCCAAGCAAACGTCAACTTCGTGAACAGAGCGGTTGTATCCTGATGTCGAGACAAGCAATCATCATCGTAGTCCAGTTCGAATTTTTTTAAGCTAGGATAGTCACTTTCGTCGCCAGATAGCATATCGTGGTCTTCCTAATATGCACGCAGTGAAATCAAAGGCCACTTGACAACAGGAAGACTAGAGAGAGGCTTGGCGCGAGCTATGAAAACAAGTCACAATAGTGCAAAATATTGAGGCACGTTCCAGGCGGCCGGCTTCCTGTTCCATGAATGGATATTCGCGTAAGTCTTCGTGGAGTGTCCCGTTGCAGACACTTGAACAAAATACGAAAACGCCAGGATAGTGGAGAGCAGTCGTCGAGGAAAATTCACCTTCGATGTTCCACCCGGACCTTCATATACTATCTACTAGCTAGCCAGCCCTCGTACTTTCGTACTTCATAAATGTACTACGCGCCGAAGCCGGCGCCCGGGAGGGAGCTGCGCACGAGGATTCCGCCGCGCCGCGCCGCGGTGTCCTAGATCGAAGAGTGCCACGACTGAGTTTAGAACACACTATCGATACAAACATACAGTACGAGGTCTACACGTACACGTGTACAGTACGAGTACACTGTGGATAAAAACGTTGTAGAGCTCAGTCTTTGTGTACACGTACATGTACAGTACACGTACGTGTACTGTATCAGTACTCTGTATCCATTGATAAATCAGAACTAACGCGTTAGTTATCTTCGGAGATACTGTAGAATACTTTCGTACTTTCGAAAGTACTTTGACGTGTAACCCGCGCGCTTTTTCGGACTCGGTTTTTTTACTTACCTAAGTCTACCCTACAGTCTAGCTACGGTCCGAGGCGACGGTAGCGCGGCGTATAGCTTCTCCAACCCCTCGCGCGCGTCCCCATCACCGGTACGGGTGCATCCCCGTTATCCGGGACGGTCTCGCCATCGCCTTTCTTCCACAACCTGTGGTTCTCACCCCCCGTCGCCGCCGTGCGTGAAATATTTTTAGCGTTCAACATCGGCGCCATCGCGAACAACCACGTGGAGCTCGGGCCGAGACACCCTTGGGCCTCGGCTATACGGCACGCGCCCGCGTACCGTCGCGAAGCATTCCCGTGATTTTGCAGGGCATTTTACAGCCGTTTCTTCAAATAATTTCGCGTCGTTTCCGGTGAAAAGGAGATCGTTTCAAAGGCAGGAGCTGCGCGCTGAAAGGGAACCACGGCGAAAATAGTCTTTCAAAAGTCCGAAAGTGTCACATTTTGGCGCGGGTTAGCGTGCTACACGTCTTTAATACTTTCGTACGAAAGTACGAAAGTACGAAAGTAGTTGTACGAAAGTACAACGTACTTTCGAAAGTAATACTTTCGTACGAAGGTAATACTACATGTACACGTACGAGTTGAATAAACACTACGCGTACGTGTACACGTGTACACAGTATTCCTCTCACGCAGTAAGCAACCCCACGATGTGATCTCTGAGGCCGGTGTGAGCGTCGCGAACACACGGAGCCGGGGCGGCGTGGAAGTCGCATGCCGTGTCGGGCTCCATGAAGAGGATTTGCGCTGCCGCGCCCGCGTGGAAGTTTTCAGAGTCACGTGCGGTTCTGAGCGCGTACGAGTTGGGCGCGCCTGCGATGCAGTTCCCGAGGTCGGAGACGAGCGCGACGTGTGCAGCTGTACTGTACACGTACACGTAATGATGTACACGTGTACCTTCGTACACTACGTGTACCGTAGTTTTAGGGCCAAAAAAAAGATAAAAAGAGCCAGTTCAAGCCCTAGCTAGCCCACGTGTACACGTACACGTACAAGTCACGTACATGTACACGTAGGGATAGTTGTTTTACTCGTACACGTAGTCTATCGAATATGAATATGAAATTATGAATATTTGTCGAACAAGTGCTGTAGCCCTACACGTACACGTGTATGTAAGTTGTTACTGTACTTCCGGAAGTACAACAGGGCACGACACTGGCACGACTGCACGTACGTGTACACGTACAGCATGCCAGCCATAGGGCTAGCTAGCTCTAGTAGCTAGAATAGTAGCTACTGTACATACTACCTTCGAAGGTACGAAAGTACTTTCGTACCTTCGTACGAAGGTACTTTCGTACATAGCAACATACAGTACAGTACCTTGAAGATAGAATACCTTCGTAGTCGGATGAAAGACTGCAAGCAGCAGTGGCCGTTGCTTTCAGTTAGTCTATCGCTGACCCAGGTGTCGGTGGTACCCTCACGTAGCGTAGCGCACAGCGTGTCCCATGGAATTCACGACTGTAAGCACCGCTGTCTCGAGTGCCGCCCGCTACCCGCCACACGCCACCCCCCGATCCCGCCGCCACGCGACGTGGTCCCACGGCGACGGTTGGTCGTCACAACGCGACCTCAACTCAAACCTCTGACTCATAACTTTCGCGTGTTCCACCCCCAGGGCCCTAAAATTTTGACGCATGTCCACAAAGAAGTTCAGATAACAACATATGACACGAAATGGATCCCGAGTAGTGCTCGCTTCGTCGTCTTAGGCTCCTACGCTCGTGCGACCGGCTGCATCCAGATATACGAATTATCCGGGAACGACGTTAAGCTCGCGAAGGAACTGGAGACGAGGACGTCGTTCAAGTGCGGGACCTTTGGCGCATCTGGACTCGCTGAACGGAACCTCGCGACCGGGAACTTCGAAGGATACCTACAACTCTGGGACTTGGACCACGCGCCGGACAAACCAATCATGGATATAAAGGTGAGGACACAGAGGCGTGCATACACAACTTTGTGGATGAAGGTTCACTCAGCAAATTGTTAGCGTCGCGCTTCAATATTGACCCAACCTAACCTTTGCAGAGCTGTACCGTCACACAGTTACACCTTCACGTGGAAAATAGTGAACTTCCTTTATGATTTCGAGATGACCCTTCTGGAAGGCGCACACTTCTATCGTAAACGATATTGACGGGATCGGAGGACAAACGAAAGGATATGGCGCCCCTGAGCTTGTTACCTGCGGGCGAGATGGCGCAGTTAGGGTGTGGGACGTGCGTCAAAAAGACGCCCCTGTAGCATCTTTCGAGCCCGCAGAGAACATTGCGGCTAGAGACTGCTGGGCTGTCGCGTTTGGAAACTCGTTTAATGATGACGAAAGAAGCGTCCTCGCGGGGTACGACAACGGTGACATAAAGTTATTCGACCTCCGGACAGGGACGGTTCGTCTTGAAACGAATGTCGGTAACGGTGTTTGCAGTGTGGAGTTCGATCGGAAAGAAATTGCGATGAATAAGTTCGTAGTGGCTTGCCTCGAGTCAACGTTTTGCGTCTTTGACGCCCGGACGTTTCACCCAAGGAAAGGGTACTCGAGTGCAACAGAGAGGGTTCCAATGGACGCGACTGTTTGGGGGGTGAGACATTTACCACAGAACCGTGAAATATCCATGGTCTTAGGTGGCGATGGGACCTTGATGTTATACAAGTATCAGTATCCGGATCAAAGGGTTGTGATGGATACAGACGGAGTCCCGCTAGGCGTTACTGGGACGATGAACCTCTTGAACCAACAAAATATTTCAACACAACCTATCAGTAGCTGGGATTGGAGCCCAGATAAGGAAGGTCTGGCGGTGTGCGGATCATTCGATCAAGTGATTAGGGTAATAATCGTGACGCAGTTGAATAGGGCATGATCGCTGTGAAGAATGTGGATGGTTGACAAAAGTGTGGGCATTCTGATTCCAAAAGACGCGAGGCCTTAGTAATTCAAACAATACCTTCGAAGGTAGAACACAACTCACTCTCCACCAGTCACCACAGCATTCAAAAAGTATTGTCGCAGCAGCTGTGTTAGCATTTCAGGCGTCACCTTGACGCTGCTATCACTTAAACTCCCGCTGTCCCTAAAAAGTATGCTCGTCAACCTCTGAAGCACCTCTGGAGTAATCGCTGCAGTTGCTGCCGCCACAACGTACAGTCGTCGACAGAAAATCGTGTGGTGAAATATGTAAATATGTGCTGTTTTACGGGTACACCTGCAGGCACCTTCATGCCCCGGTAAAGCACGAACGATAACGCAACCGATAGATACGATTGCTTAAGATGCGAAGAAGCGCTTCGCGCTCAATGCACAGAGAAATTTTATCGTGGAAAGATCCATCGAGTTGAAGTGAAGGCAGCCGAGAGGCAAACTGACTGACAGACGGATGGAAGAGAAAGTGCAGACTAGAAAACGAATGGAAGAGAAACCTTACCGTAAGCTCCTCGGGCGTCGCCCCAGAACCTGTCACTGTTATTACATCATTGCCCCGAGTACGGCCACGTTGATCGCGCTCGAGTTTACGCTCGCTCTCTGCGTATCTATACGAAGCAGCCGCCTCGGCAGAAGTATTTGACTTCGCCAACACATTCACAAAGTCAGTGTACTTTATTGCACGCTTGTAAATGTGCGGCATTGCGGCAGGGCCGTCGCCACAGTAATGTGACCCTATCCCTGCGTCCTCAAAACACATCTCGAACTCTGACTCGTCACAGTCTAGGCTGTTAACGTCGATAACATTGGTGTTGGCACCAAACTTTTGTTTGCAAGGCTGTTGCTTCACTGCCGATGAATCGCTCTCCGTCCTTGCCCTTTGCTCTGCCGCAAGAACATCCCGGACGGGACCGTAGGCCGCGGCTTTACATAGTTCTTCCAGGTCGCTGCCACTATATCGCTCTGTGGCAGCGGCAATCTTTGTTACCGGGGATGTCTCATTCATCCCGAAGAACCCGCTTTCAACGTTTTCGTCGCGTAAGAAAACTTTCAAAATTTCAATCCTGTTGACTTTATCTGGAAGTGCCACTTCGAATGACCGAGGAAGCCTGTTGTTAGGGTGCGCAGAAGATGACATAAGCGCTCACGCCAAGAAGTTTGGCGGGTCAGAATATGTAAAGTGTAGGTAAAGGAGCGATGAAATCGCTTAGAACCAGACCTTCGAAGAATCGCGTCGTCCACTTCCCAGGGGCGATTTGTCGCAGCTAGTACCATAACCCGCGCGTGCTCGTTCGTCTGGAACCCGTCCCACATCGTCATGAACTCTGTTTTCATACTTGTTGACGCCTCGTGCTCGTTCGTTTTACGGCTCCCCAAGAACGAGTCTACTTCGTCGATGAAGATGATCGATGGTTGTAGTTTCCAAGCAAGGGAAAAAACTGCTGCAACGAGCTTGTTCGCGTCACCGAACCACTTGCTTTGAAGCGTGGATGCGCGCACGTTAATGAAACACGCGTCACACTCCTTCGCGAGAGCTTTCGCGAGCATCGTCTTCCCCGTCCCGGGTGGCCCGTACAGCATACACCCCTTTACTGGGCGTAAAAGGTTGCCGCTTTTGAAGAGCTCGGGTCGCAGTAAAGGAAGGATCACGATCTCTTGAAGCGCTCTCTTTGTTTCTTCGAGTCCGCCAATCTGCGCGAATGTCGTCGTAATGCTATCCGGGTTCACGACATCCCCCGCGATGACGTCTTCGAACTGGTTCGTCACGATGTCAGGCCTCCCGAGTCTTCGGGCGATCAGCTTCTTCTTCTTCGCAGCTGCTTCTCGATCTGCGCGCGTAGGGTCCAATTGTTTAAGAAAGAAGTGCAGAGGGATGACACTAATGGCGAGCATAGCAAGGCTAAAGATGATATCGGGTAGCATCCCGGGCTCGCGTTGGCGTTGTCCCGCCATGATGAGGGGATGCGCGGGCCGTGACGCGAACTGATGCTTGCAGACCAGTGCAGTGTTGCCCTTGTATTCGGCAGCCTAAAATAGACGAGGTGCCCTACAGTAAGTTGTTACGTACACGTACGACTCACGTACGTGTAGTGTACCTTCGTACTGAGAGTGTAGCTGTGTACGAAGGTACGAAGGTACTATGTTGTACACTACGGAAACAGAATATCTTCGTACGAAGGTACAATAGGGCTACATGTAGCCCTAGTAGGCCCTACTGGCCTAAGCTCCGTCAATTCACGCTAATTCAGGGCTTAAAGGGCGTACAGTAGTACTGTACACCAGGGGATAACTTACTAAAATTTCGACACTTAGTAAATACATGACTGCAGTTTTAACTCACAATCGACGGTCTAATTTCGCTCGACCCGCAAAAGTCTTCGCCTTTCGAAAAACTAAGTAAACTTTTACTTACTCATTATTTATTTACTATTAAAAGTTATCTCCTTCGGGGGGGGGGGGGTCTACACGTACACGTGTAATAGTCGCGCTCAGCGGAATTGCTCAGAGAAAAGTACACGTACGTGTACGTGTACGTGTACACGTGTACGGATACCTTCGAAGGTAGAATACGTGTACAGTACTTCCGGAAATAAACATCATATCATACTTCCGGAAGTAAAGATAAACGTACATGTACACGTACAACGTACTGTACGTGTACGTGTACTGTAGGGCTAATCTTAGTACGTGCGGAATCAACGGGTTTTGCGAGTCAATGAGCAAATTTTTTGCCGTAGTACATTTCGTATGAGCAATTAGTATACTTTTCGCCAAATCCGCCAATTTCTGACTGTTTTGTTTGCCTGTGAATATCTGTAAACGCTCGAGCTCGTACATGCTGCGGAAAAACATGGCGAACGTATTTTTAATAAGAATATGTAACTATTTCGTTCTTCGTTGGCGCGGCGCGTGTACTTTTCCGCAGCCGCGGCGACGGAGCAACCAGCGAAGGTCGTTCTGTATGAGCAAAGTCATGAACGACACCGCTTTCTTCGCCCAGGAGGCCGCACAAGGCGCCGCAACTTCCCGCTTAGGTGTCCCTCGCCCTAGGGGAAGGCCGAGGAAGAAGTCCTGCAAAAGGGAAAGTGGAAACGACCAAGACCTCTGGTGCGCGGGCTGTAGAAATAACAAGAGTGTGCCGACTCGTTGATAACAACGTATTGGCCGCGCCCATACTTTATGGCTCATCATCAGCGCATCCGCCGGCCCAGCCTTTATCATCGACGGAAGAAGACCCGGGACGCGCTCTCGGCGTCGAGGTTGCTGAGTACACGTGTACGGGAGTGACTACGTGTACTGCACGATGGGCAGCAGTATAGTCTCGTTCAGGGACGGAATTCCGTGCGAAAAACTGAGAATTTTTCACTTTGGGCAATTGGTAAGGCGTGATTTTCGTATTATACGGGGAAATTCCTCTATTGGCAATTAGTCCGGCTGCGCGCGCGCGCGCGCCATCACGCGCGCGGCTGCGTGCGCCCGCGCGCGCGGCAGCGCCCACGCCTGATGTACGAACGCGTCCGGCGCGTCTCGACTCGTGAGCCGCGAACGCGTCGCCTGGAGGACGCGGAGAGCTCGCGACCCTCAAAACACTGCGTTTCCTGTCAAAACTCAGGATGTTGAACGTTGATGGGGAATGCCTGACCGGCGGTTGTAAGTGTACACGTACTTCTGGAAGTACTGTACACGTACGTGTACGTGTACGTGTACTTCCGGAAGTACTTCCGGAAGTACTTTCGAAAGTACGAAAGTATCTATCTTCGTACTTTCGTACGAAGGTACTTTCGTACTTCCGTACTTTCGAAAGTACTTTCGTACTTTCGTACTTCCGGAAGTACGAAGATAGATAAACAATACTTGATAAGTACGAAAGTACCTCCGAAGGTACTTTCGTACTACGGAAATACAATAACGTTGTACATGTACACGTGTAGTGTACGTGTAGTGTAGAAATAGAATTACTTTTGTACGAATAAGTATTATGATACGATATGTACTTTCGAAAGTACACGTACCTTCGAAGGTACTCAAAGTACTTTCGTACGAAAGTAACTTACTTTCGTACGAAAGTACGAAAGTACTTCCGATAAAAACGCGTTTAATACAATCACTACACGTGTACGTGTACACGTACAACGTTGTACACGTGTACATAAAGTTGTACAACTTGTATTTTCGAAAATAGATAGAATACGAAAGTACTACGTGTACGTGTACCGTACGTAACTCTTCCGTACACGTACAGTAACGCGTTGTACACGTACGTGTACTTCGTACACGTTGTGTACCTTCTTCTTCGTACGTGCGTGTATCATACGAAGGTACAGTACGAGTAGTCTTTTTAATTATCAGAAGTATCAATGTCTGTGTACACGTACGTCCGTGTAGACCGCCGCGACGCGCGAGTCGAGTGTCGCTGCTGGGTCGAGCAATCCCTCCGTTGACCTGTATCGCACGAAGGTCTGAAAATTTACTTGTTCCTGAAGAGGTGAACCCGCACGCTATCAAGGAGTTTTCCCAACAACATCGTTCGCGTGTCTTCCACGACTTCTTTCAGGAGTTCCAAGCAGAACACGGAGAGGCACACACTGACTTAGGAATGAAATCTGACGGCACCTCGTCCGCAACTCCCACTCACGGTCGAGTTAGTGCAGTTAAAGTGACGCCTTTGTATGGCGTATACGGCAAGTAATCAACCGTTCTTCTAGAGTATCCCTCGAGCAACGCCACTTCAAGTTATCACAAAAATGAGCGTCACGTTTTTCGACGATTTCGCATAGCAGCTCAGTCTTCGGTTTATCTATACTTGCAGGCGAGGATCCACTTAGCTATCTCCTCGACTGGGACGGGTGCAAGATTTTACTGGACTGTGGTTGGAATGATCGGTTGATAGTTGAAATGTTGGATCCTCTTGCACAAGTAGCACCTTCAGTGGATGCTGTTCTGGTGTCCCACCCTGACACGGAACACCTGGGTGCCCTTCCATACGCTTTCGGCAAACTTGGTTTAAATTGCAAAGTGTATGCCACACTTCCAGTACATAAGATGGGCTTAATGTACATGTACGATCACTTTTTATCGCGATCTTATGACACTGACTTTACTCTCTTTTCTTTGGATGATGTGGACAAGGCATTTGGATCGTTTGTCCCTGTTCGATATGCACAGCACTCAGCTCTTGAGGGCAATGGTCACGGTATCTCTGTGACTGCACATGCGGCAGGACACATGCTCGGTGCCACCGTGTGGAAGGTGCACAAGGATTCCGAAGACGTCCTTTATGCCGTTGACTACAATCATCGAAAAGAAAAACATTTGAATGGTACTACTCTCGAGTCCTTGAAGCGACCTTCTGTTCTAATTACTGATTCATTAAGTGTTACGCGTGAGGTACAAAGCAAGACGCGAGACGATGAAATCATGAACGTCATTTTGCGTAGTGTCCGACAAGATGGAAACGTGCTGATACCCATAGACCCTGCAGGCCGTGTCCTCGAGTTACTGCTTCTTCTAGAGGAAAATTGGTCCCAAAAACAGCTTGGTGCCTACCAGTTGGTGTTGCTGTCTACTGTAGCATACAACACACTTGAGTTCGCTAGAAGCCATCTGGAGTGGATGGGTGAGAATGTTAGTAGAAACTTCGATATAGACCGTCATAATGTTTTCAAAACGAGGTATTTAACCCTGTGCCATTCTATCGAGGAACTCCATGCTCTCCGACCTGGACCAAAAGTTGTGTTGTCATCTTTTGGATCACTTGAATGTGGAGCTTCCCGACACCTGTTTGTCGAGTGGGCATCTGACCCACGAAATCTTATTATTCTCACAGACAGGACAGAGCCAGGTACCTTATCGAGGGAGGTCGAGGATTTGTCACGGCAGCCTCCAGCAGCAAGACAACCGCTTACTATAAAACTGTCAAAGCGGGTCTTACTTGAAGGTGATGAACTTTTACAGTTGGAAGAGCAGCAAAGTGACGTCAATATTCATGAATGTACATCACCATTGACAGATGCAGATGATGATGAAGAGCATAATTCAGAAAGAAATCGAAATGAGCAATCCTTTCCAGACTCCTCCAGCAGTAAAAGTGTTGGCAGTGACTCTAAAACTCCGCTGAGTGTTAATTGTTTTGTGCGACATAATACTGTCTCGACAAACAAAAATGTTTTCAATTTTGAAGAGCTTCGCTGCAGGCGTTGCCTTGTCGACGGTTTGTTTCAACACTTGAATGGGGTAGCAGATATGTTTGATGACGAACTTTGGGAGCCAGACACTACTGATTTCGGAGAGACTGTGGATGCCAGTCGTTTAGTAAGAGCAGCCACTGATGATTTGGGCACGGCAGTTGCTTCTCTTCATGATGATGTTAATTCCAGAAGTTTGCCTTCAACAGCAGGAATTCTGGCTGGCGTTGTAGGTGATTTAGACTCTGGTTCACCAAATCTGTCTGCTTTCCCAACTAAGGTTGTAACAAAAACGCTCGAAGTCAGTCTACGTGCAGCTGTACACGTATGTGATTTTGAAGGTCGTGCAGATGGCCGCAGTGTTCGCACGCTCATTTCCCACATAGAGCCCCGGCGTATAATTCTAGTCCGTGGTTCGCCATCTGATGCAGAACATCTGAAAACATATCTTAAAAATTCGCTTCCAGATGCACGCGTCGACGTGCCAACAGGCGGGGAAACCATTCATTGCACGTTTGATACGGCCGTGTACCGTCTCGCGCTTTCACAGGATCTTTTGTATCGCACGCGTCTGCGAGATGTTGCAGGCTATCATGTTGGCTGGGTTGAGGGACAACTTTGCAAGACAATTGATCATGCGGACCAGTCTGATATGGTGCTTCGTGCTCTTCCACAAGCCCGAACTCTGGTGGCAGGTGGATATATGAATGCAAATATGATTGACTCTTCTGCTGTGGTTCCTGAAGGAATTTATTTGAAGAAGTTGTATGAGGACGAAACACAGGCATGGGGTGAGTCTGACTATAGTTTGATTCCTGAAGAGCTTCACAGACAAGAAAACACGGCATTTTTTGGCAGTCTAAAACTCAGTGAGTTAAAATTGTCTCTTGCTACTCACGATATCGCAGCAGAGTTCATTAGTGGTGCTTTAGTTTGTTCGAAAGGAAGCACATGTGTACGGAAGAATGTCCACAAATCTGGTTTCTCAGTTCTAGCTGCAGAAGGTGAACTATCTGATGAGTTTTACCAGATCCGCACAGTCCTGTACACGAAATATCAGATAGTGTAGGACTTTTTTACATTTCTCCGGTGTGCTCGTAATTAAAGTTTAACCACTGGACCACAATTTCAATTAACCACACAAGTTTCCAGTCTGTTGCTCTTGAACGAAAGGAATGCGTGATATGTTTTTGTTAAGCACTGTATTCTGCACAAGAGTCAACAGGCTTGATCAGGGAAACACATTTAAACTTCATCTGCGAATACTTTTCACGTACAGCTGACAAAGAAGACTGTTGAGCTGCCAAGTGACAGGTGTGAAGAGCTTGAACGCACTCCCTCAAGTCACAAGGAAACATGTGTGTATAATGTTCGAGCGTTTTCGACCAAGGAGACCTGCCCAGTGTCATAAGTGCAAGAGAAACAGATGCTGCGGCTATTGTTGACTGTGAATAGCGGAGAAATGTGTACTCAAGTAGAGCAAGCTCCGACAAAAAACCTGCAAGAAAATCCACCTTCACATCTGACTCTGCGGCGCTCAAGCAGCGGCGGAGAAATGTCTTGGTCGTCGGGTGGGTAAGATCAAAATTGAGCGAATCAAGGACGATCCTCTCCATTGACAGCACGTCTTCGCGAGTGTATGTATTATCGGTAATGTAACAGAACTCGTCGACCTGTGGAGCATAAATCTCCTCATATTTTGAAGCAACTAACATGCAGGTGATACCCAGGAGCTGCATTAATAAGCACATATGACTTGTGGAACTAGAAAAGTAAAAGTGACAAGCAGAAATGAAATTTCACCTGTAACCTTGATCTTGCAACTGTGCGGATACTTAAACACCGATCTAAATAAAGAACACTCAAAAACAATGTGTCGTCAGAGAGCTTATACTCCTCTGCTACTTCAACCAACCAGTCTACCAAAATCCCACGCATAGTAGAGCTTATGTCTGTTTGAACCTTCTCGATATAGTCGCTAAGAGGATAGAGAACAACCTCTGACTTCTGTAAATTTGTATAAATATCATCGACATATTCCGAACACATGAGGGGGTCGTCCGAGTGCATAGAGTCAATGTCCTGGAGTGAAACACATGAAATTTGAAAAAAAAAAACTTGAGAGAGTCTTACCCTCCACGTGTTCTGGGCGGTTTTAACAGGCGTGGCATTTCTCTTGCGCACTCCAGCATGATTTTTAGTGCAGCCAATTCTTCTTTCGGACCTTTGCGAAACAGACCCCATATATTTCGTGGTGTTTGTCAGTTCACCGAAGACTTCACGGCTCTGCTTCGAATCGTCGCCGTAATTGAAACTCTGCGTCTGTGGTGTAGTCGAAGGAGACGAAACGCCAGGGGTCTGAGATAACGCCAGGGGTCTGAGTTAACTCGCGTGCATTCAAGCCTTGAAATCGCGTTCAGGGGTTAGTTCTTCTCACCGTTCGCAAAAGCGACATGTTTCCATGAAACTTCACCTAGCCGGGTCGCCTACTCGTATTTTGAAACCAATGCTCGACACCTCAGCTTAATTTCCTGATATTCTGGGAGGGCTACTGTAGTCACATGTGGTTACGTTATGTTGTACGTGTACGTGTACTGTACATGTACGTGTACAGCTGTACACGTACGTGTACAGTAGCGTACGAAAGTACAAAGTACTTCCGTACAAAGTACGAAAGTACTTGTACAGTACTTTCGTACTTTCGAAAGTACGAAAGTACTTTCGAAAATAGATACCTTCATTCGAAGATAACGGTGTACAGTAAGTACAACTACTGTACGAAAGTACAACCAGTCGTGTACAATAGCCCTACTGATAGAATACAGTATGATATCTTCGTACAATAAACCTTAATGGAAGTACGGAAGTACGGAAGTACGAAAGTACGGAAGAAGTACAACGTACTGTTGTACGGAAGAAGAAATGTTGAACGGAAGACTTACGGAAGTACTTTCGTACTTTCGTACTTCCGTATTTATGGAAGTACCTCGAAGGTACTTTCGAAAGTACGAAAGTACCATCGAAGATAGTTGTTATCCGAACATGACACTACGTGTACGTGTACAGCTCTACACGTACTGTACGTATTTACGAAGGTATGTTCGGAAGTACTTTCGAAAGTAGTTCCGGAAGTACGGAAATACCTTCATATCCCTAGCTAGCTAGTAGGTAGGGTTTGGTAGGGCCACGTGCATGTCTAAAGTACACGTAGACTATCCTATCGATGTGAGTACAGCTGTACACGTACATGTAACAACTTACCCGAAGGTACGAAAGTACTTTCGTACTTTCGAAAGTACGTGTACATATCAGGGGATAAACTACTAAAATTTCGACACAAGAACTGCCGGAAAAAAAGGTAAATAAATATCTTCGTAATAAATAAATAAGTATTTCAAAGTACGTGTACGTGTACACGTACTGCAGTTTTCTGGAAGTACGTGTACAGTACACGTACTTAAGTATTCCACAAGCCGTTTTCGATATGTGGACGCAGAACGAGCAACAAGGTTCACGTCGCGTAGTATATATTCTTACTACAAGAAATAATCAGTAAATACCATCTGTAGACACGAGCATGAATCCTCCTAAACATTGACGAAAGTCTCTGAAAAATGGAAGCACCAACACCTCAGTCAGCGCAGGTCCCTGAAGAAACCTGATCGGGATCCTCGCAAATTGATTCGTTTTTTTCCGCTCTGCAGGATACCACTATTGCATGCAATCCGATACAACTGAACGCATTGAAGACAGCTGCTAATATTTTATTTAATGGTGACGTCATCTGATCTAGCACTTGAATCCGATCTAGTATGACCTACACGATTTTTGACGAGAGTTGCTTTTCATTGTGTTGTCTTTAAGCTACTTCGTGCTCTGCTCGGCCCGCGTTCAAAGAGTACTTTGAGCTTTCTAGCAAACGTGGATCGGAGCGCTTTGCTTCGTGTCAAAAATAATACTACATTTGCTGTACACGTACTTTAATCTACATCCATTTGTATCAGTAAAGAGAACACAAACTAATAACGATCAATATCTCTTTCAGAGAGGAAATATGCTAAGGCAGTTGTGGCATATAGCAAAGCCCTTCAGGTATCTCCGACGAGTGCAGTTTTGCTTGCGAATCGTGCACTTGCCCACCTTCATCTTGAAAACTACGCGAGCGCATTTGATGATAGCTCGTTGGCAATAAGGCTTGACCCTGGATATGTAAAAGTGCGTTTTATTTTGTTGAATATGTGCTCCACCACTTACAATATAAAACTTCTATAATAGGGCTACTATCGAAGAGGCTCGTCCAATTTCATTCTTGGCAAGTTTGGCAGTGCTCTGAAAGACTTTGAGAAGGTAGATTGACAATCGCCTTTCGTGATATTTATCGGTAATAATTTATTTTGTTCGTAGGTAGTGCAACTGCAGCCGAGAAACTTAGAAGGGAAAAAAAAAGTAAGAGAGTGTGAACTTGCACTGCGCAAGCAGCGCTTCGAATATGCGATTCGAGTTCCAGAATCTGTTCTGGTAAGTTCTTCGTTTGGAAGATGCGATCATTCTGTGGTGTATAATTATCTTTTCTATCAGGTGAAAGTTTCAGATTCTATTGAACTTGACACAATTACTGTAGAAAATACATACGACGGTCCTCGACTAGGAGAGAATCACACTGTCACGGCCAATTTTGTGAAAGATATGATTCTTCAATTCAAAAATTGTAAAGCTATTCACTTGCGGTGTGTTACGTAGTTATGTTGGGTTTTCGTATCTCTGGAAAACTCCTGTATTAAGCTGGTGCTGGTCCAAGAGTTTTTATGTCGTCTGATACGAGTACACACTTGCTGCTCCGACATATTTAAGTATCACTTTGATAGCAGGTATGCATACGAAATACTACTTCAAACAAAGTCTATCTTGGAAAAAGTTCCTTCGGTGATCGACGTCGACATCCCTGAAGTAGGAATTGCTGATTACTATATTCGCTGACCTATTTATTGCTTGCAATATGTAACCTAGTTTACATATTTGTTCTGTTCCATCTTTATTGGGAAAACACATTACTGTGTGCGGAGACATACATGGCCAGGTTGCGATTATTTCTCACTGTACCTGAACCATTCTTACTTGTCAATCATTTTATGCAGTTCTTCGATTTGTGCAACATTTTCGAGCTCAACGGGGAGCCTTCGGAGGATAACCCATACCTGTTCAATGGTGACTTTGTGGATCGTGGTTCATTTTCTGTGGAAGTGGTCCTCACATTGTTTGCCTTTATGTGTCTATGTCCTGAGGTATTCTTTTTATTTTCAGCAGCAGCAGTTTCGTACTGGACATATGTTCTCTTGACAGAGTTTACGACTTATTCGCGGCAATCACGAAACATCCGCTATGAATAAGCTTTATGGTTTTGATGGAGAAGTCCGAGCAAAATATAATGGCAAACTTGCTGATTTGTTCCAAGAGATCTTCTGCTGTCTTCCACTGGTAGCTAGCTACCACTTGATATGAATAATTATCTGAAATGAAAGTGTATTTCTCATGATTTTATTCTTGTTTCGCAGGGTTGTGTCCTTGGTAAGAAAGTATTTATCGTGCATGGAGGTCTGTTCTCGAAAGACGGCGTGAAGGTTGAAGATCTAAAAAGTATTGACCGGTTCCATGAACCTCCTGACGAAGGTCCTTTCTGTGAAATGTTATGGAGTGATCCTTGCTGTGAGCCAGGTCGTTATCCTAGCAAGCGAGGCATTGGTATAGCATTCGGTCCTGATGTCACGAAGAAATTTATTATCGAGAATAATCTCGAACTTGTTATTCGGAGTCATGAAGTGAAGGATGACGGATTTGAGATCGAACATGATGGCTCACTAATAACTGTATTCAGTGCTCCTAATTATTGTGACCAGATGGAAAATAAGGGAGCTTTCATCCGTTTTGAGAGTGACATGGTACCTCACATCACCACTTTCAATGCAGTGAACCACCCTCCTGTGCGTCCAATGCAATTTGCACCTCACATATTTTAGTGGCAAATATTCTCGAGGCAAAAGGAGAAAAAAAGTTGCTTCGTTGATGTCTTCGGGATTCGCTCACCCTGCGCAATAATTATGCGAATCAAGCTAACCATATATTTGCAGTGCGGAGCACGTTCAGAATTGGAACGAATTGAAGAACTCGGTGAGTGAAATGCAATAGTTTCAAAAAGTGTCGTTTTGACACTAACATCTCTTAGCATTTTTACTCATTTGTACATGTTGAAGAAATTGCTCACAAAGATTGAATCTTTCGTGAGCAAGTCCTCGACCATATCATCATCTTCGCGATAGTTGTTCCTACTTCGAAAGCTCACAAAGATTGAATCTTTCGTGTGCAAGTCGTCGACACTTCGTCGACCATATCATCATCTTCGCAATAAGTTGTTCCTACTTCGAAATACCCCTGCTCCCGTACCGTCTGCTGGAAGGCCACTGCTACATAAATAGGGCATTTTTGATACTGGTGCACCAACAGATCTTAGATGCGCCGAAAAATTACTATCAAACACCAAGATACAGCAGACGTCCGCAAGTCGCGTGGAAGATAACTGTGACAGGACGAAAATTCTTTTCGACACAGCGTGTACTGCTCTCACAATTCCGATTCCTACAATGTCACGTAATACACTGTGGCCTGGAAGGTTCTTCGCCAGGCCCACTACGCAGCCTGTCAATGCTTCTGTTATGCATGACTCGGGAAGAATGTTCCCATAAACAATGATGTGAACATCGGATACAGATATGCTCCAAGGACTGGGTTGCGAAACAACCTCCGCGAACGAACCCCACAAAAAATCGCGCCGAACGTTTGATATGCACGCAGATGTTTTCGAGAAGAAAAGTCCAGAAGAGAAGCACCTATCGGCATGAGCTTGAACACATTGCAATCCCCACTGCAACCATGCGGGCGAAACAAGAACGTGGCCAAACGGTCGCGAGCCCGAAGGCCTGTGCATAGTCGATTCGGGAACCGAAGTCCAATGAAAGTTTGAAGACCTCTAAGACCGAGAGCGAGGTCACGAAGAACCTACGTGTACGTGTACGCGTAGCCCTCCTGTACCGCTTGTCAGTAGGAGCCCCCACAGTACGTGTACAACGTAACATAACGTATGTGCAGTTGTGCACGTAGCGCTACACGTACGTGTACGGAAATAGATCGAAAGTATTTTATCATACTTTCGAAAGTACTTTCGAAAGTAGTTGTACGTGTACACGTAGCCCTACACGTAGTTGTACAGTACTTTCGTACCTTCGTAACAACTTACTTTCGTACGAAGGTAACAACTTACTTTCGTACCTTCGTACTTTTCTTTCGTACGAAAGTACTTTCGAAAGTACGAAAGTACTTTGTACGAAAGTACTTTCGTACCTTCGTACTTTGAAAGTACTTTCGTACCTTCGAAAGTACTTTCGAAAGTACGAAAGTACCTTCGAAGATTTGATAACTTCGTATGATAGAATATCCTATTTCCGTCCATAAATATGTACTGTATGTGTACGTGTACAGCTGTACAACGTACAAGTACTGTACTGTAGGGCCTACAGTATGGTTTATCTTCGTACGAAGGTATAAACGTGTACACGTACTGTATCTGCCACACTCGTACTGTAGAACTCTCGTAGGCCTCCATAATTTATTAGAATTACGAGCATACGCGAGACACACGTGCGCACGCGTTCCCTGCCCCACATTGGACGTGTGCGCCACGCGTTTGAGATAAAGATCCAGTTCTCGGGTGCAGCCTTCCTCGACGTCTCATTCTCCCGAACCCGACCTCAGACCAGTCGAAACCCGCGTCCTTTCAGCGCTCGGACGCTTTCGGATCCTTCTTCCTGCTAACGAACGGGGGCGATGGCGGACGCGTCTGCGTCTTCCGCCGCACTTAGGGAGACGATCCGACGCGTTCGCGAGCGCGGCGTTGGAGTCCCCCCTGTCCTCGCGACGTTTCTGCTCCGCGCGCACGTCCTCGTCGGGTACGACGTCATGGACGAGAACGAAGAAGTGAGCGAGGAACTCGTCGAGCGTTCCGTCGCCGCGCTGCTCGCGACGACGTCACCGTCGTACGCGACGCTGTCGATGCAGGCGAACGTTGAAGAGACGCGCGTGAACGCGATGCGCGAGATGGCGAGGAAGATTTCGACGCGTGATTCCCGCGCGGCGTCGATGGCGCGCGCGATCGCGCGCGCAGACGTCGAAGACCCGACCGACGATGATGCCCGAGTGGACGATATACACGACGCCGTTTTCAGGTACGTTTGCGTCGCCGGCGGACGCGATGCGACGGAATGTGACGAAGATGAACGCGAGATGATCAAACGCGCGCTCGAGTCTGCGTTCCCGAGAGCGTCCACGCGTTTGTTCTTCTTTGGCGGAAACGAAGACGTGGCTGTTGCCGCGAGATTAAAATCGTTGAAAGAACTCAGTGCCGTAGTCCTGGGCATATGCGTCTTCAACCGCGCGATTCCCGAGCTCGCCGAGGTCGAAACTGGCGGTCTGCGTAGCACGATGGCAGATATCGTGCCTCAATACATCGCGAAGACGACGACGATCGAGGTGGCATTACGAGCAAAGCTCGCGTCTGCAGAGCGTCTGACACGGCAGTACGGTGTGGTCATTGCGCACAACGCGGTGACGCTAACGCCAGAAGACGCTTTAATGATATCGCTAAAAGATGAACACAACAATCGCGCACAGTACTGCAGGTATTTACGCGCGGCGTTAGATGCGCTTGTAATGGGCGTCGCTTCCGTGGAGGAACTTGCGCGCTTGCAATCGAGGGCAGTTGACGAACTGCGTTCGCTCTTATATGGTGGCGGCGAGTACAGAGGTGAATCCCTAGACACTCGTGCGGGGGTTCCGATATCGACCGCATACCCACTTCTCGACTCGATCGGGTGTGCGCAGCTCGCACTCGCGAACGAGGACAACGCCTTGCGAGCGCAAATGGACGTGATCGCCGCGATCGATAAGCACTCCAAACCAACGTTTACAAAGTCGATCACGAGTGACCTTTTACGCGAAGCGTCGCATTTGGCGACACGTGCCCGCGAGGCGCAGATGCGCATGGCGCCACCGCTGCTCGACGCAAACATCGGCCCTCCATCGATGAAGACAGGTCCAGCGGAAGCAGCTGCGAAACGTGCTGGATGTGAAATCGAAATTGGAGGTAGAGTTGCGTCTGAGGGTTTAGACCTCAATGGGTACGACGTATTTGCGCTCGTGAAACGAAACGGTTTACTTCTCCCAGCGGGCGCCTCCAGTGACGGAGCGGTCGTACACTGGATGGGTAAATCTTTCGGGTTTGTGAACGTTGAAGACGCGAGGCAGTTTGCCGCGCAGCCGAGCGCGTTTCTGAAGCGCTGTGAGGACGTCTTAAAAGGATCTCCTGAACTTGTACACATCACACATGCGGCCGCCGGTTTCGGGAAGATTTTCGCAAGTTTAGACATACCGACGATTGTCAACGCGACGCGTGCGACGAGTGACCCCGAATACGACCGCAGTGACCCAGACCTCATGTCCATGCGTGGGTTTCAGTCGTGCGAATTTGCGACTCAAACGTCAGCCCACGCGTATGAGAGCAACATCGATCAAAATTACGAGTGGAATGAATGGGCGCTTCGACGGAAAGTTCTACACGCTGCGAACTTACGAAGGAAGACGACGAAAAGCGCACAAACGTCACTGTCGCACTTTCGCCGAGAAAATGCTACTCAGGTCTGGCGTCCGAAAGAAACACAGGTGCAAACTGCGGTCGCGAAGGCGACAGCAATGCCTCAAAAGAAACGGTTCACACGCGGCATTCGTGGTGCCCCAGACATGAAAATGAACATTATCGAGTTCGATCTCGACCTCGGTCAACCGCATGAGCGTTAGCCTGTTGAGTGAGCTACCTCCGAAGATATATTCAGTGATAGGGTGAGGGCTACATCGTTTATACGTTATGAACTGTAAGTCCATTCTGACGAGTATCTACACAACCTTCGAAGGTAAGTCTGGAAGTACGTGTACATACTTCCTACGAAGGTACGAAAGTACGAAAGTACCTTCGAAGGTACTTTCAACGTACTCGTACCTTTCAAAAGTACGTGTACCGAACGTACAGCGGATTTGTACAACGTTGAAAGTACGCTGCACATGTACTGTACTTCCGGAAGTTGGGCCCTACCTGCCTACCTTCGTATTATTAAATAATGGTATTTCCGGAAGTACGTATCGGTAAGTAGCTAAGTCGGACTCCGCGCCGATGAAAGTCGTTCTTTCAAACGTTTTCGCGGTTTCACGGCGGCCTATCATTTTTTTCTGTTGACCCCACTATCCCCGTCCCTCTCCCCGTGCTCCCCGTGCCCGAATACGATATCTTCGAAGAACAACTATCCAGTAACTATCCCTACTATGGTCGTTGTAGCCCTACCTACTGTACGTGTACGTGTACACGTACTGCTGTACCCTACACAACGTTTACGAAGATATTATCTTCCGAGGTACTTTCGTACCTTCGTACGAAAGTACCTTGCTTCGTACGAAGGTACTTTCGTACTTTCGTACCGACCTTCGTAGAATTTTATCTTCATACTGTACGTTAGTACGTACACGTACACGTGTACTGTAGCCTACGAAGATAGTCTTCGGTGAACAACGACTTTCCGCACGCAGCGCGGCGAGCTCGCCTGCCCTGCGGCGCTGTCAGCTCAGTCGGCAGCTGCTACGGTGGGGGGCACGAGCGTCTAGCCTGCGCAGCGACGAATACGATACGTGAGACTGGTATAAGATATCGGTTCCCCAGACTCGGTTCGCGGGTGTTCGAGGCGGGAGTCGAAACCATGCCGAGCACGTGGGCGCGACTTGTCAACCTCGTCATCCGTCCGCCGCGCGCGGATTATTCCCCGGACGCTTCCCTCCCCGGCGGTTCCTCGAGACGTTTTCGCATCTCCGGCGAAATCTGCAAACGCGTCGACCTCATTCTCGAAACCAGAGGCGCGCGCGACGGAGGCGACGACGACGCGTGCAGACGAATCGACGAGGCGCGTTCGATGCGCGTGCAGTGCTCGCACTACGTCCCGGAGTCCGTTCCACCGAACGCGAAACTCCCCTGTGTCATTTACCTCCACGGCAACAGTGGCTCAAGATGCGACGCTGCGGACGTTGTGTTTAAACTCCTCCCACGTCGTGTAACCGTCTTCGCGCTCGACCTCGGCGGAAGCGGGCTCTCGGACGGCGAGTATGTCACACTAGGTGTGCGCGAGATTCTAGACGTCGACGCGGTCGTGAAGCATCTCAGGGCGCAAGGAAAAACATCGAAGATCGGACTATGGGGACAAAGCATGGGAGCAGTTACCGCGTTATTATATTCGCACCGAGACCCTTCGATCGCGGGCATCGTGCTAGATTCACCGTTTTCGTCACTGGAGACACTCGTCCTCGAGCTCGTGGAGACGTACAACATGCGGAGCAAGTTTATGACAGTGCCTTCATATATGACAAAAATAGCGTACTCGTTCTTGAGGAGCAGCATCAAACGGAGGGCAAAGTTTGACGTGAAAGAACTCGATCCTTTGAAGCTCGCACCGGAGAGCTTCTCCCCTGCGCTCTTCGCACACGGGGTGAATGACGACTTCATATCTCCAAAGCACGGCAAGGCATTACACGAAGCGTACGCAGGGGACAAAGACATTTTCAATTTCGAGGGAGATCACAACAGCGCACGACCGGAAGCGTTTTATGAGAAAGCCGCGGTTTTCTTCAACGCTACGTTGCACGCGAGGGGGCACGATCGCGAAGAGGAGGACGCGTTCACGTTTTCACACACGCGCAGACCTGGTCATGATGCGAGCAACACAGATGCAGGCGCGTTGGGCCGTGTTCATAGCGTGTCGCGTTTGGACTTAATGCCACCAGACCATTCATTTACGGGAGACGACGAGGAGTTTGGGTCACCAACTGTCGCACGGCGCGCGCCAGGTGGTGTATCTTTTGTTGTGCACTCGCCGAAAGGAGCGCGTTCGTCGCTGACAGATTCCCTTGACGATTGCCCTGAGGCCCGCGAAATTTACAAAGTTCCAGACCCTCTAGATTTAGAGGTATTGGTGGCGATGGGATTTGATGAAACTGCTGCATTCGAGGCGCTGAATATAAATAAAGGGGATGTCGAGGCCGCGGTTGAGTCTTTACTCACGTCTGCGCAAACCCGGTCGTGGGTCAGGGACGGGCCTGACGACAACGCCCTGGTGCTCCCCGGGAATCACGCGCTGATAGTGCCTACACTCAACCCCGCGCTGCCGCCAACGATCACGAGTCTCGCGAGGGCGGACAGGGGCTCACAAATTGACGATTTTTGCTTAAGAAGAGTTGCACCAGACGAAAGAGAGAGCGATCGAGAGAGACTATATCGGTTATCTCGCGCGAGCATGCCAGAGGGTCGGCCGAGGGAAGTTGACGCGGACAGTGCACTTGGTAATGGACTGAGCCCCGGCCCGGTGATTCGAGAGCTAAGCGCAGGCGGCGTCAGCTTCGTCGTGAGCTCACCTGCTTCCGATACTAATATGGTTGCCGGATGCGATAAAGAAGCGATGAAAGACGAATCGAAATCGATCGCGCTTTTTCTCGATGTACCTTCACGAGAGGGCAGGGAAGTGGGGATCAAGCAGATATTTGAGGATCAAGCATAGCATAGACGAATAATGATAGAACACGTAAGCGATTTCTAATTTTAAGAATCGCGTCATACGAATCGAGGCGAATTCTGGAATTAGAGGATCCTCGCCTAGTCGCACTGGGAAATCGTCTCTTTACTGTTGTTCTGTGCGCGTCGGACTGTCTCCTGAAAATTGGCGCGCCCTCATTTGTCAATCCAAAATTAAAATGCCTGTCTTGGGACATTTAGGAAACCTTGCCCGTTGTTGATGGACATGAAATAATCAGCGAAAACCAAAGATATTATCGCCATAAGCTTCATGAGGATGTTAAGTGCCGGGCCGCTCGTGTCCTTGAGCGGGTCACCGACTGTGTCACCAACGACCGCGGCTTTGTGACAGTCGCTGCCTTTCCTCTGTCGCACAGAGATCAACACAGGCGACCCCAACTCGTCCCGAATGATCTCGCCCGTGACATTGTCGCGCTTGGGCATGTCGATAAATAAACCACCTTTTTCGACATACTTCTTAGCGTTATCCCATGCCCCGCCGGTGTTCGATGCGGAAATCGCGAGCTGCACGCCGGAAACAAGCCCGCCAGCGAGTAATCCGATGACAGCTTCAACGCCAAAAAACATGCCGGTGGCGATCGGCGACGTCATCACGAGAATCGCAGGGGGAACCATCTCACGTAGGGATGCATCCGTGCTGATCTTGATACAACGAGCATGATCCGGAGGTGCGTGACCGGGGCTGCCTTCCAAAAGACCAGGGATCGTGTCGAACTGACGCTTCACTTCCTTCACCATCTCCATCGCAGCGACACCGACAGATTTCATTGTCATCGCGCTGAACCAATACGGCAGCATAGAACCGATCAAAAGAAACGCGAATACGACCGGATTGAGCATGTTCACTCCATGGTCCAACACAGACGTCCGAGTTACAAACGCCGCGGTCAACGCGAGGGAAACGAGCGCGGCAGAGCCGATAGCGAAACCTTTACCAATGGCCGCCGTCGTGTTCCCTGCGGCGTCGAGAGCGTCTGTCTTCTCCCTCACCGTCTCTGGGAGCTCCGCCATCTCCGCGATTCCTCCGGCGTTATCACATATCGGACCGTACACGTCGATCGCAAGGCACGTGGATAACGTGCCAAGCATTCCGAGAGCGGCGAGGGAGACACCATACATGTCCATGAGCGAAAATGAAGCGAAAACGATCCCAGAGAGTATTCCAGCAGGGACTATCGTCGACTTGTACCCGAGCGCGAGGCCGTAGATGATGTTCGTCGCCGCACCCGTCTCAGTTGAGCGCGCGACTTCACGGACCGGGGAGTAGGAGTGCGACGTGAAATATTCTGTCACGAAACCAATGATCAAACCACCCCAGAGACCGGCAGAGATGCAGCAAAACGCGTGAAATGGTCCATTCGTTACGCACTTAGAGTTCCCGGTTGCATTCGCACAAGACGCCGCAAACGTGCTGCGAGCGCCTAGGTAAAACGTCGAAGGCAAAAACGTCGCGCAGATGGGGTACATCACGACCGTCATGCCAATTGTCGTCAGAGCGAGTTGGGTTTTGAGAACCTCCTCGATTTCCGCTTCGTTTCGGACTGGTTTCAGATCCGTTGCGACAAAAGATACCGCTGCGCACACGAGAATACCGACTGCGGAGATGTACAAAGGGAAAATTAGCGTATCCCATCCCGCAGACACGAGATCATGAGATTGTGCCGCGATAACGAGCGCGGCGCAAGTCGCCTCCGCGAAGGACCCAAAAAGGTCAGATCCCATGCCCGCGACATCGCCGACATTGTCCCCAACATTGTCCGCGATTGTCGCTGGGTTCCTGGGATCATCCTCTGGTATACCAGCGACAACCTTCCCGGCAAGATCGGCGCCAACATCCGCGGCTTTCGTGTAGATGCCTCCGCCAACCCTGCCGAACATTGCGATCGCGGAGCCGCCGAGGCCAAAGCCGGCGACGCACTCGAAAAGTTTGATTGCCTCCGACGCAACATCGAACACAGTGACATACATGCATATGAGGAAATATAACACGAGGATACCCAATCCGCTGAGCGCGAATCCCATTACGGCGCCGCCTCGAAATGCAACATTAAAACTTTCCTTCCACGCCACTGCATCTGGGGAAAGCGTCGCGGTCATCGTGCAGCGCGCATTTGTGAACACCGCGATCATCATGCCTATGTACCCGGAGATCATCGACGTGACGCCTCCTACGACGAATGAAAACTTGACGCACATCCCGTACTCCGCTGTGAGGAAGGCCTTTGCGCCCGTCTGTATGTCGCGGTAGATCTGGCGGAGCTTCTGATACGAGTCCGCGTCACCGCCTTCGCCAGCTTCCGCTTTTTCCATTCGCCGCAGGAGGATCTCTTCGTCGACGGGAGAGTTGCGAAAAAGGGAAATCTTGTTCACCTGTGCGGATTATGCGCGCGGAGGGGTCACGGGTCAGAGGGAGAGGTTGCGGTGGATCCGGTGGCGGAGCACGAAGCTGATAAAAACGACCACGTCGAGGCGACGCGACAGGTGGCGCGGGAAAACGCGCCTTCTTGTAGAGGAAATACGAGAGGATGATCCCCACAAAGGCAGGGAAGACGATGAGAAGCGACCCCATGATGTCAGCCAGGACGTCTTCGACCATTCACGCGGCTGCGAGAAAGCCTTGCTCTGACAGACTGGTTTACGGCTAGTCGCGAGCGAACGGTTGGCAGTCTGTGATGAAATCACAGCCCCATGTTTGTCTGTGTCGTCTCTGGACGAAGTAGGCTCTACTCACAACGTTGTACATGTACGTGTACACGTACTGTACTGTACACGTACGTGTACGTGAACAACTATGAAGGCCCTGTTGTATTTTACTAGCTATTATCTAGCTAGCTACGAAGGTACGAAAGTACTTTCGTAGATAGGTACAGTAGTACAACGTACTGTAGCACGAAAGTACAAGGGCACACTCGACTAAAATTAAATTATTGCTAGGAGATAATACATGTACAAGTTGTACACGTGTGTAGATCTGATTACAAAAAGACTGAGCTCTAACCCATCCGGGTAAAACATGTGATCTAGAAGCGAGCTGTACACGTTGTACACGTACACGTACACGTGTACACGCACAGCAAGATTTCTAGACTAAAAAGTCCATTTTCCTGAAATAAAACTACAGTACAGTAGTTGTACACGTACAACTACACGTACGTGTACTGGACGTAGCTAGCTTACACAATGATATGATACGGAGACTTGAAATAACACACACACAATGATACAGTGATACATTCTACGAAGGTAACTTTCTAAACCTTCGAAGGAACTCCCGTAGGACTCACGAACCTACACGTACGAGCCCACCCAGGGCCAGATGATGTTGGCAGTATCTAACGATTCTTTCACGCCTACCAGCTGACAATAGCGATATCTAACATTTACCGTGTTGAGTGACCAGACTGGAAGAAGTGGCAGTCCCCGATTGCTTTCAGTGCACATGTTTCCAGCCGACCAAGAAATAGACAGGTGACCTGATGGTAACTTCACGGCACCCTTTTCTGACCACTTCGTTTCTTCAGAAAGTCCACGAGAGGACCCGAAGACGAAATCTGGAAATTAGTCGCTGGGTGGTCCTCACGGTGAGAATCCTACTTGTTTCACTCCAGCATGAACGTTCGTGTTTCTTCTGATCTAGTCTTCGTCTTTCAGTTTTCTACATTTGACTTCTGCTAGCAGCAGTTCATATTTTATTCAGCAGCAGCTCAACATGCTGCGAGCTCTGAGTGTCTCGACTCGTGCTTTACAGCCTCCACTGGATGTAGGATAAATGACGTTCATTAATGATACTGCCACGTGCACCGACTTTCTCTCCACAAACGTTTTGTATCTACAGTTTGTATGATATCATTATCTTCTGTACCAGACTTCTCGATTCGATGTGCCGTTGCCTCACAACGGAAGTTCTACAAGTGACAAGAGAGACATTGCAGAATTGCGATCGACGTTCAAAATCCACCGGTGGTATACAGATTTTTATCACAAGAAGCAAAGTGAGGTGGCCAGGATCTTGAGGTATTTCACCTTGATATTCCCATCATTTTGCTGCCGCTTCTTGTTCACGTGTTGCTATATAAATTTGGCGTGCAGGTATCGCATAGAATTGCTGAAAGATCGTGTCATCTGCTGCGACAGTGTGATCTGTAGCTCTGTTGAGATTCGGACACTGATCAGGAATATTCAAGTTGACTACTGGTTGGGCGGATATGGTGTTTAGTTTTCCTGTTCAAAGCTGCTGCTAAGCTTAACTCGTCCCTCCGTGTTCGCTGGCTCTGCGCACAGGAAAGTAGAAGGGCGTAGTCTGGTACTTCGTTTAAAGTGTGCAAGGCTTGCTTCTGAAAATCAGAGGCAGCTGAATTTCGCTGAAACGCTGAGTTCCAGACTACGATATATTGACGAGCTAGAAACCATAACTGGTGAAGTTAAGGGTCTGCTCTGCAAGGTGTGTGCTCGTTAACATTTATTATTAGGAATCTCATTGCTATGTGTTAGTAGGACGAAAGCTGTGATTATATATGGCATCTTCGGCGGCTGGATCATTGTTTTTTGTTTGTTGACAACCGTAAGAATTATTCAGAGTATACAGGTCTTTCACTCAAATGTAAACAGCTTCGTGGGCGCATACTTTCGGCAGTGAGATCACACATCGCTGCTACTGTACTCGATAGCGTCAGAGAAGCTAAGCAAAGTCACATCGATTCAGAAAATGCAACATGTAGAACTCATCAAGAGCATGGGGTTCAAGGAAGTTCTTTTTTTAATGCTGCATTTTATGTAAATTTCTGCTCTGCAATGGCTAGCCTGAAGCCTATTTTGGGCGAGCTTTATGCGCAAGCACAGAGTCGAAGAAGCACTAACTGGAGAGAGGCCTTTGCACAAGTATTAATTGATTGTCATTCGAACTACTGCAACCAGAGGTTTTCCCTTGTTTCAGAGGTGTTTCAAAACCAGCTTCTGGTCAGTAGCTGTTTAAGGACTAACCATGAATATATGCTCTTCTTTCGAAGCGAATACTAAGCGCCGTTCACTGCAGGAACATTTTAAGGGACGGTCACTTCTAGTCTTTGTGCACATTGGCTTCACATACCTTTTACAGGTTAAAACAAAATCTGATTCATATTATTATTTTTTGCTAAACCACTCTTTTCTTCTAGATTTGTCAAGCTGAGCTAGAGCTTTCCGAGAAATCTTTCCCTTTGACAAATGACGCTTCCCTCACCACCTTATTGTTAGAGCCTCTCGGGCAATTATTACTAGATGTTGTCCGACCTCAGTACATCATGTGGACCGACATGTTCACCATTGCAGAATTTGTTGACTTGATCAAGTGCAAGGTAAATTTCTTCCTTTTTAAAAATATGCTGCAGGGTTTGTTATGCTCTTGGCTTCTTGTTTTGAAAATGTTCTCTGTCACTCACTTTTACTTCAGGTTATGGAAGAACAGCTAGACAAGTATGGGAAGACTGGTTCACTATTGCAGCCTTTTGTTGCTGTCCTACTTGCCGATGTCCGGGAGCGACTGATATTCCGTGCACAGACTTTTCTTCGTGATAATGTGAGTAATTACTGTCCCTCTGCTACTGATCTCGATTATCCCAGCAAACTGGAGTTACCTCCGTCATCTGAGAGTAGCACACCAGACGTGAGTACAAGTTTTCCACCAGACTACAGATCTTCTGGTGAAAAAGTTATCTACTGTGGGGTCTCGGAAAAGTCGACTGAAAAATGTTTTCATGATGGATTTCCTCCCTTGTTTCACACATTGACGTGCCTTACGACACTAAACCGCTGTTTGGAAGCCCGAACATTTTCTGGCATTGCTCAAGAAGCCGTCCATATTTGCTGTGGATCCATCAAGGGTGCTAGTCACTCAATTCATAATCAGGTAGGTTTTACGGATGGGCAGCTGTTCTTGATAAAGCACCTTCTCTTGCTGCGTGAGCAAATTGCAACATTTGAGCCTGACCTCACCGCTAACGCAGTTTATGCGAGAAATCTCAATTTTTCGCATCTGCGGGGGCATGTTCAACGCATTATAGCAGGCGAAACAAGTGTTGGATCCAGGGAACCTGGTGCGAGTGATTTACTGACACTAGCTGTCCAAGGCCTTCCCCGTTTAGTAGAAACAGCAGTTGACAGCCGCATAGAGCTTGAGCAGCTTTTAAAGGTCGCATGTGAAGATTACATTATGTTTGTTACTAGGCAGATTGTCGAACCTATGCTGTCATTCATCACAAAGATAACAGCTATTCGTGTGTCGGGCATTATGACTGAAGAGGCACCAGTCCGTCAGACAGCATTTGCGACACCTGACAGAATTCGTGATATTGTGGTTACTGTCAACAAAACACTTCATAGCACATTACCAAAGCACATACAGAAAATGCGCATCTACCTTGCGGGCTCAGTCTCTAGAGAAACAATCCTGAACCCTATCAAGAGTAATATCTCTGAAGCTCATGCTCAATTTGCTGCGATATTATATTCTGAATACGAACCAGAACTTCTTAACAAAATTAAGCTGCAGTCACCTTCTGATCTTGTGAAGTCTATGAACGATATGCCAAGTTGAGACGAACGCATCTTCAACAGCTGGGTAAACTTTATGGTGGTGTATATACTATTCGAACTAAAGTGAAAAAATCTTACAGGGGGATAGACTGTGGAAGTGGCAATTTGAGAAGTTGTGCAGTGCAACGCACTGGAATAATCTTCCTGCTAAATCATTCTCCACGCGCATCAGCATTCCTCTCAGGATCAAAGGTAAGAATGGAACCGAACAGAAAGTGCTGCATGATAGGGAATCTGGATAGACATTCAGCCTGAAAATGCACATGATAGTGGCAGAGGTCACACATCCATGTACTCAGCCCACCAAATACATACGACAAAGACCGTCGTTTATCTTTTCCCAGCTCAACACGCTGCTTATGTCGTTCAGCGTTGGCGATGTCTCACGAAGGAGTCCACACTTAACCTGGGCAGCAGAATTTAGAAACCACTTGAGAATATCCGGCACAAGAAGAAAACCTTTTTGATATAACTTATGCATGAAAAATACAAATACTCGTGCTTCTTCGACTTGAGCAGACCATCATCATGAACTGAGCACGGCATGATGACGTCCTGGTGTACTAATTGTGACGCACCCCTGCAAATAAAATGCTGCTACAAACTAAAGAAGAATATTGATCTTTTTGCACGCACCAATAAAATGAAAGAAAATAATAGTCGTCTAGACCCCAAACTCCATGCGATCCGGCTGGTTCAAGCCTGCAATTGGTAAATAAACCCCATCCTTATACATACCTCGAGAGTTCATATTATTTTATTTACCGATAAAGTGTTTGCAGTCTCCGTGTGACTGAAACATATTTTGAAAACACTCTTGTCACTATTGCCTCGTGGTCAGCTACACCAACTACACCTATCTGCGAGAGACAAAGAAGAAATGCAACAAAAAAGTTTTCGTGCCCAGTCCCATAGTCTATTCGTGTTGCATTACCAAAGCTAGTAATATGCATGACAGTGAGTGTCAGTTGTCAACTTCTTCAAGCAAGTTCTTCAAGCACGCTTACCTGTTACAAAAATATGGCAACAGCTCAATTATAGCTCCCGTCACGGAGAGTCAGAGATTTTTTTTCAGATCAATATAATATTGTCTCGTTTTTATTCAGGGATTGTGTACCAAAAAAATGATTGCATGTCGCTTACATGATTTTGCTTAGGTAAAATATCGCCAAGAAGGTCTAAAAAAAAGATTGTCGGAACAGAAAATTTCAATGTTTGGAACAACCATTCCGCACCTCCAGCTGAAGATACCATCTGTTCATGCCAGTCCCTATACATCACATTGCCGTATCTCATAAGATCTCCAGTTGGTGGACAGCGCCGCACTGTATTTTCAAGACATGAAAGAGCCTTTAAAAGACGCTGTAGGAGTGGTGAAATAAAAATCTCTTCCGATAGTTTCAACCCTCGAACTGATGCGTTCAACTCCTTCAAACAATGAAAACTCTCGGTCAAGGTCGAGAAATTACACTGCAAGTCACTGGCGCGAACCTTTGTGAAAGAGACGAAGCTTGCCAATGTTTTAGTCCTGGCAAACGAGCGCACGTCGCCGAGAGACTTTATAGCCCGAACAGGGATAGTGAAATACATCTGGATTGCCTTGACTAGAAAGCAGGCAAGTGCAGAGCTACCATATATGACGTTACTTGCTCAGCTGACGTGCACGTTTTCTCGTTCTATGTGTCCTTTCACTGAGCACAGTTGCAAGTTTTATCGACCAGCTTAATTTAAAAAAAAATCCAGATACAGTACGCTATCATCTTCGGAGCTACACGTACACATAGCCCTACGTGTACGTGTACACGTACTGTACAGTACTTTGAAAGTACCTTCGAAGGTAATTCCGGAAGTAAGTACGTGTACACGTGTACAACTACAGTGTACACGTACTCACCTTCGAACGTTCGCGATGGTAAAGTACTCTCGGAGTGCTTTCGAAAGTACTAGCCCTAAATGGAAGTATTCTACCCGCAGAGTTCCATCCACCGGATCGGCAGGTTTCCTTCGACCCAAACTGAAGTTAAATATGAATATCTATTTCCGTACGAAGGTATCTTCATAAAAGTTCGTATGTATCTACGAAGGTATAGATACCTTCCTTTATCAACAAAATTATAATCAGCGATTAATATGCCACTGCTCGACAACTACTCTAATTATTCAAGTCTGCATTCATGATACGAGCATGCCGTCTCACCTCGGTAAATACACGGTCATTGTGAAAAATTGCATACTTGTCCACGGGAAGAGCCACACTTTGCAGGTCCAAATGATGCCAAGTCCAGAACAAGCCTCCTATTTGTTAGAAAATAACAATTCAGAAATTTAACGTGACACTGGTGTATTAGAGTATGAAATGTCACCTGCAATTGCGTATTCATTTTCGTTGTCGAGCTCAACCTGCTTAAAAATGCTGCGGTAAAATTCAGCCACCGCAACTGAACGGGGGGCTCGCTCTGCTGTGGTTGCGAATCGCGACCCAACTTGGTCAACAGCAGACAGCTGTCCATTTCCTGTTGTGCCGAATTCTTCTAGCAAGAAAGGCTTGCCTAAAATAGCGCGTGAATCCGACTTATGCTTGACCAACCACGTCTCTGAGAAGCTTGCAGGCAGGCCAAGGGTAAATACTCCCCAGTTGTCCGGCCACAGGTGCGCCACTGCAAAATCAATCTCTGGTATGGCATGATTTGCAACAAAGTCCTGGCCAGTAGTCAATGACCACACTTCTGGATTGGCATCAACACTACCTCCTGATCCTATAGAGTAGAAACCTTCTTCTCCAGTCGAAAGAAGGTGAGTTCTGTCTAAGAACTTCACGAAGTGTGCCATCTCCTCTAGCCAGTCTTGTAACTCCTCAGGACAGTTACGACATCTTGGCTCGTTTATCAACTCCCATGCCATAATTGATTTGTCATGCCGATACCTAACACCGGTATAAGTGTTGATGCGTTCGAGTATCCTCTGAATATTGTTTTTGTACATCATTTTGCATTTGCTATTCGAAAAGAAATCATTTTTAGTTCGGGCGCGTGACCCTGCCCAATCAAGATATTGTGCAACGCCACCGTTGTACTCCCAATAGTCCGTAAAAACAAGGATAAGCTTGATATCGCGCAGAGAAGCCTGCTGAATTACCCAATCTAATCCCTGAAACAAAGGCTCGTAATATTCTCCCGGTGCTACTTGAAAAGATTGATTCTCGCCAACGCTGTAGGCCCGAGATGTAACGCCGAAGCACAACTCCAGCCGCTGGTGGTTGAAGGTTGGGCTTGAACAAGAAGATTATGAAAGAGGAAAAACAGCATCACCTTACCACGTACGTACAGTGTTGAATCCCGCAGCAACAGCAGCATCAAACATATCAGTAACTTGCCGTCGCCCGGAGCAGGAATAGTTGAACGCAAATGAACCGACAGGTATTTGTGCTGCCTGTTCAATTAGAGTGTCTGTTGGCGAGGATATTGCATAGAAGAAGTGAGTACTCGAGAGAAGACATTCTAACAAAAACTAAAAACAACCGAAAAAGAGCTCACATGTATTCCAGCCAATGGCGGGAAAAAATCGTCGACCAAGGGCGAAGCATGAACCGTTCACGCTCACGAAGCGCTCGGCTGACTCCGAACCGTTTTCTGTCGACCTGGGTCGTCGCACTTCTTCACCCCCTTGCCTTCGTTCCCACGGTTGCACGGTAAGTTGAAACTTCGTAGCTCTTAATTTCGCAGAATGAAGAGCCACAGAAGTACTTAAATTAGCTACGTCAATAAGATTTATCTTCGAAAATTGATATTCCTCGTCGAGCGCCTCTGTAGTCAAGGAACCGAAGACTGCGATCATAAAAAGAGGAAGCAAAACAAAAAGCGACGGCTGGGATCGATTTGACCACCACATGATTAAGAGCGACGAGGATGGCATGCCCTGCTCGAAATAAAGGGTGTCGTAATCGTTCTGTTAGTTCGCGATGATGGGACGTCGGGTAAATCACTCCTCTGCAGACGTGTTTTTGTGCCTACTTAACGGAAAACGCTTTTTCAACCTTTTCGACACTCGGTGTTATCCGAGCCGGATAGCCGGAGGTTTCTAGGGCTAGCTCCACGTACACGTACAGTACGTGTACGTGTACAACTGTACATACGTACACGTAGGGCTACAGTACACGTGTACGGTTTATTATGAAGGTACAGAAGTACGGAAGTACTTCCGGAAGTACCTTCGTGTCTATCCATCTATGTGTATCGTGTTGTACACGTGTAGCAGTCGTGTACGAAGGTAGACTACAGTATCTAGCTACATGTAGCTAGCTAGCTAGCTACTACGAAAGTACCTTCGAAGCTTTCGTAGCTAGCTAGCTAGCTAGCTAGCTAGAATGCTATCTACGAATGAAGGTAGCTCGTAGTGTACATGTGTGTAAACGTACAGTACACATGCGTAGCTGCGTACTGTAGGCCCCAGCAGCTATCTAGGCCTACGACTGGCCTACGGCTATGAATGTGCAGAGACAGATTACATGGTAGACTCCATGTAGCATGCACGGAAGTACGGAAGTACGGAAGTACGGAAGTACGGAAGTACTTCCGGAAGTACTTTCGTACTTCCGTACAACATAATTGTACATGCACGTGTACTTGGACACGTACAGTACAACGTTGTACCAGGTATCATACAGCAGCTATTTATAAAAACAGATACCTTCGTAGATACGAAGGTATGTGTCCGTACGTATAAATGTTGACATGCGAGTTCAAAACTGAGGCTTTCATGTTACGATCACCATGTATTTCTAGATATAAATGAGACGTAATACGAGTAGATACAAAGAAAATCATACTGTAGATAGATATCATACTGTATCTATACTTCCGTTCCTTCGAAGATAAATTAACCATCTACATATTAATAGGGCCTAGCTAGCACTGGCCTAGCTAGTTAGCTAGCTAGCTAGCTTGCCTCGTCTCTAGTTGGGGAAATGAAAATTGTGGGGAAACTTTTCCCCATTTTTCCTCACCATTAACTTAAGAATGGTCGATCTATAATCTCTCGTATAATCCAAGTTCAGCTAGGGGCACCCCCCTTCGCGCCGCTTCCCCGCGCACTCCAACACTCCAACATTCGCTTTCTCGCCTCCGGAGGTTTGGTATACGTGTATTACATCGCCTCCGACAAGTTGGATGATGTCAGACGCCGACATCACCGCGCTTACGCCATCACGCTCCGTTACCGGAATCGAGACACGTAGTACTTCCTGGAAGTACCTCCGAAGGTAGCTACCTGAAGGTACACGTACTGTACAGTACGTGTACGTTACTTGGATAACACAATGGATAATACGCGAGCTCAGGAGACGGCAAATGTTTCGTAACGCCGAGTCTGTTTTGCTAACGACGAATCTGTGCGCCGGTACAGCCTGATTCAGCGCCAAAGGTGTATAAAACTCGCTGGAATGATCATTTACGCTGTTTAGTCGATGTTCGCTTAGACGCGCCGGCCACAGCCGCGGCGCGCGCCTCTATGACTGCCCTCCCGGCGGCGCGGCAGTTGAAAGGATGAGCTCATCCTTTTAAAAACGTACTACTCGTACGCTCAGACGATTTGCTCATACGCTCATCCTTTTAGATTTTATTCTATAAAAATAGTACGAAAGTACGAAAGTACCTTCGTACGAAAGTATAGATACGAAAGTCAAAAAACCTTAACTACGTGTACTGTACATGTACGTGTAGTTGTACAACTACTGTAGCCCACATGTGCCACTCCGGAGAAAAAAATGTGCCCGGCGGCACATTTCCGAAATCTGCTTCAAATACGGGCACATTTCCGATTTCTGCCGCTCAGTTTACAATACGACGTTGTACACGTAGTCCGAGGCCTTATATAATTCCCACACCATTATAACTTTCGTATACCTTCTACGGATTTCAACGGTGTTGCGACTCCGGGCACGCCCGCATTCTTACCTCTGTTCATCTTTACGTACACTTGTTGTGCCGGAACTCGTTACACAATGATGCTCGCCAATAAAGTGGTAATATCTGCGGGGTATCGCCGCTGTACCTGGGCTAGCAGGGGTCAACCTACAGCGACGTCGCTAGCCTTGAGGCACCACTATCACATTGCGTCTCGCTTGTCGGCTGCCCGTCATTTGCCCCCGAGCGATAAAATCAGCGAGGAGGAAGATCCATCCAGCACACGCTCACTGCTCGATGCCATAGATTCTACGTCGATGATTGAAGGAAGGATCGACGAAGAGAAAATAACCTCGATGTTGGGTGCAGGAAGCACGAACGTTTCATGGACAGAACTCGACGAGAAGGTCAACATATATCCTTCTGACCGTCGATTTCAGGCTATTGGTGAAGGCGGTGACGCGTTTGTTGCCGAAATCGTGGAACTAGTGGAAGTAGCATTGGGGCGGAAGGCTAGCCCTACGAATGTGAAGTCCAGGCCGTCGAGCAAGGGCAAGTACGTATCTGCTAGCATAACCGTCAGAATGGAAAACGGTGAGGAAGTTTTGGCAATTTATGCAGCACTGAAGGGTTGTGACAAAGTGAAGTGGTATCTCTAAAAGGATATGCACGTTCACACAGCATTGTAACAACGATATGGCGTCCACCGTGTAGATCTTAAGACCAGCTTGCAAATTTTCTAGAAATTAGCTACACTTTCTCTCTCCATTCCTTTCACTTAGTGGTCAGGTGTCACCTTCGCTGTGTGCTGGCAGAAAGTGTCCAGGAAAAGAAAAGAAACTATGCAGTCAATCTTTTGGGAATCTTGGGGATCATGGGGAGCCCTTGCAGCATTCATCCCTAATCTTCGTCTGATGTGTTGCTGACCCTCGCTCCTGCCGTAATCCCTTCGAAATACACATTTTTCTGTCCTTCTGAAGGTCTGAATCCGTAAACGTAATTTGTGTACTCCCCGAGCGCCCAAAGAGGGAAAATATTTCGGTAGTTCGCGTAAGTGATCATACAATTGTTATTGAAGACTCCCATAATTGTCTGTTGCGGCCAGTCACCGTTTGAACACTGAGCACGCATGAGTGAACGAGCCCCTCTATGCAGCGGCAAAGGGTCTCGCGAAATTTGACCTGATGCCAACAGCGCAAGCATGGCCCATGCTGTGTTCACAACGTGTGACACCCCTCCTTCAAGCTGCACGTATTGTTTTGTCTGGCTGGAAAGGTAACTTTCCCCCCACCCGCCGCACGGCATTTGTTTGGACAACAGAAACTTCACGGCGCGGCGGAGGGCTTCACAAGTCTCAAACGTTGAACCAGTCGACATAAGACCCTTTATCCCAAACCACGTTCCATATGTGAAACAAATAGCCCAACTCCCGTACCAACTTCCATCACGCCGCTGGATCGAAAGTAAAAACTTGCGCCCTCGGTGAAGACTCTTTTTGATATCCTGCTTGCGATAAGTGGGGTATCGCTGGTGAAATTTGGCGAGAGCCTGCATGGATGCACTGCTGCACTCAACGTATGGGTAGTCAATCATGATATCCCCAAAGGTTTCAGCAGGATTAATTATCTCCACCCATTCGTAACTCCGGGTATTTTCATACGTAGCCCATCCACCCCCCATGTTCTGGTAAGACAGTATTACATTGACACATTCTTGAAGTAGACCCACTGGCACAGAGGGTCCTGCACGTTCAGAACCCATGGCCTCGAGCTCTAGGGCAGCTTTTAGGCCTTCTGAAGAGCAGTCTGAGATGGGCCACCCGTGGTCGCGCGTACTGAATGGCCAGGCACCTTTGCTGATGTGGCGGAATCTTCTGGAGAGCTGACCAGGGCAATCATCCAATACTTGGCTGTCTCTGATGTATTTGTGTGCACTTCGCAGACAAGCAGAGTATTCCACGTGAAGACCTGTTGCCACGATAGCCTGCACAGCAAATGCGCAGTCCCATAATTGACTGCCGTTATAGCCCGCCATTTTCATACCATCCTCTGCAAGCCACAAATAATCTGCCACACGCGGAGTGTGCTTGCGCCAAGACCCAAACTCTGATGGATCCTGGAACCAACAGCTGAGCATGTTCATGACCTTATTGACCGGACCGATATTGATGTACCTCGTGTTCTCATCCTCGTAATGAATATGATTCATCGTTAGCTTAAGAGCGTTTGCGCGTATCCATCGACCAGGCCACCATCGTAAAAAGAATGGTTCCACTTTTGTTAGACCCCACCACAAAGCATCTTGTATCCTTGGGTGCGAATAATACAGATCTTCTGACGCACATGTATTTCTAGTTTTATCCCAGTTAATCGTTTTATAATTACCAACAAACAGTTCACTTTTTAGTTCCTCGGTTAAAAAGCTTGACGCACCACTCGCTCGGCAGCCATACAAGTAGCTCATAGGAAGGTACACCATGCGGCAGTGACACCAGAAACGCCCAGGGTGTATGGGGTTGTATTCGTACGGTAACAGCCAGCATTCGGGTGGAACAGGGTTGAGACCCTCCCAATCATAAATACCAAGGATGCACAGGTAAAACTTACCCCAAGACGGAACATTAATTGCACCACCTCGGGAAAGTATCCACGATCGTGCGTTTACCACAGCTTCCGTTGTTGCTGTCATCCCAAGTAGTCGCATTGAGACGTATGAGAGCGTCGTACCAAACATCGTGGAACTGCCCTCAATGTGTAATCCAAACCCTCCATCTTCGTTTTGGTGATTAAGCAAATATCTTCGCATCTCTACCTGCACATAATCAGGCAGAACGTGGTCAAGCTGTCCCATTACGTATAATGCAATAATGAGCCCGGGAAGTAAGAACAGAGGACCGCCATAGTCGCTCGCCCAGTGGCCATCCTCGTCCTGCAATCCTTGGTAAAACTCTACCCCTGCGCGCATCGACCGTTCAATGACGGATCTTGGAATTGGGTCTTCCGTGACACTGACACTGCGAACAGAAGTATCATATGCAGATGGAGGAGGTGGGGAGGTATGGATCTCGCGAGCGCGCTTTTTGCGGAGTGCACCGTACTGCACGCGGATCAATTCGTCCGCGCTGTGCCTCTGAAAACATCGATTTGACGTGAATTGCGAACGAATTCGCTCAACCTCTGCGGTATCCGCGGAAGTGGCGCCATCGGGATCATATACCCAGAGTTGGCGCCCTAGATGTCCTGGCATCGTCACGATACGGGGTTACGTGTGGGTGTGAGAGAGTTTTTCGGATCGCGACCGAGTTCTTCGGAGGACAAGGGAAGAACGGGCGCACCGTTCAGCGAGAAAAGGTCCTTCACAAAGGGACTCGCGTTCGCATCAGGGCTAGAGCACTTGAGCTTCCACATGTCAAGCTACACGGGGCAGAAGCAGTTACTTTGTACTCACAGACGGACTCACGGTGAACGAAGGAAATACCTTCGTATCAATTCACAATGGTAAAAGTTGCAGTACACGTACGTGTACAGCTAGCTGTACACTACAGTACACGTACACGTTACAGTACGTGTACAACGTTGTACAACTACTTAGAGTACAACGTAGTCGTGTACGAAGGTTAGTTTTTTTTTTTTTTACATCTTACACGCTACGTAACGATAGTTTATTGTACAACGGTGTAACGTTGTAGTTGTACGTGTACCTTCGTACCTTCGTACGATTGAGTATCTAACTATCTTTCCATTGCAAGAGTACGTGTGCAGTACACGTACGTATTGACACACTGCAAGTCAAGCATGGTTTTTTCGAATTACGTGGAGGACTACTGTACACGTACACGTACGTGTACAGTACCTTCGTACGTTGTAGGGCTAAGTTGCAACTTACGAAGATAAATACGAATGTAGAATACACGTGTAGTCGTGTACTGTACCTACGAAGGTACCTTCGAAGGTACCTTCGAAGGTACCTTAAAAACCAGCAAAAAAAAGTACGGAAGTACAAGTTGTACTGTACACGTACACGTACTGTACCTTCGTACTCGTGACGAAAAACAAAGTACAAAAGTGTACAACTACAAGTTACGTGTACACGTAGGGCTACTTGTACGCGCGAGCACCCGCGCGCGAAACACTAAATATTTATTACGGAAGTACGAAAGTACTTCCGTACTTCCGTAACAACTTATCTATTCCCGTACGTACGAAGATATCTACCTGAAGGTAAACGTTATGAAGGTACACGTACAATATCTTATCGTACAAGAGCTATGTTGTTATTCCTGTTCACTACACGTACACGTACTGTATAAACGCGCTGTAGAAAGATAGATACCTTCGAAGGTAGCCAACTAGCTAGCCATACATCACAGAGGACCACTTTTATGATACTCTACTGTACAGCTTGTACAATGTACTTTCGTACCTTCGTACAACGTTACTGTACCAACTTGCCTCGTACGAAAGTACAACGTACTTTCGAAAGTATGAATAATACAGTACTTGAATAATACTTTCGTACGAAAGTTACAGTGTACAGTACGTGTACGTGTACAGCTGTACACGTAGTTGTACTTTCGAAAGTACGAAAGTACGAAAGTACGAAAGTACTTTCGTACTTTCGTACGAAAGTACTTTCGTACCTTCGTAAAATTTAAATAAATAGTGCTAGCTAGTGACCGTTGACTTTAAGTATGCAAGGCTCCCCACGGACTCACACGGGATGACGTTCGAACACCCTAACGCGAAAGGGGTGCTGATGCCGGGGCAGTCGAAATGTCACATTGGACGGCTCGTTCCGCGCGGAACTGGGGACGAGCAGGAAGATCCCGTCTGTCGAAAGACGTGTTCACCCACCGGAGATTTCCCGAATAAAGGAAAAACGGAAAGGCTGTCCACCGCGTTCACGCACACGACGCTGACGGAGGATGCGGATATCACACTGCGCGCGTCCATGGTGACGCCCGTGGAAAACATTGAGTATGTTCCCACCGCGGTCAACATACACGCACTTTCAACACTTTCCCGGTCTCTCCGAAAGCTGGTCAAAAGCTGACCTTCTCCCTCCTCGTCTCCAGGGGCTGTCTACCGTGTGGCGCGACGATGAAGTGGTCATGCTGTAACCAGTGCTGTGGCGCGTGTGCGTTGTGGTCTGAGGACGGATTCCTGGAGTGTCGAAGAGAAGAGCTTGCCCATGTCGGGCTAGTTGACGAAACGGAAGACGAGTCCTCTGCTGTGTTAGAAAGAAAAAAGCAACTTGAGAATGACGTCGAGAATCCGACAGCGTGTGCGTTCGCAACTTGGGATGGGTGTCAGCCTGTCCCAGAAGACTGCATTACGTCTAGCATCGAGCCGCGAGCGCAGATAGGTACGCGATTAGCGCGTGTGTCTCTCAATCGGGGTAGAGTTAATTCTTGTCAAGTGAGCCCCGATGCCACCAAGCTTGCTGTGGCATGTGAAGACGGCAGTGTCGTGGTGTATAACCTCGATGCTTTGCAGGGTGACCTCGGCATAAACCAGCTCGGAGTCATATTGCCGGGAAGGGCACCCAAGGTGAGGGCGAAGCCAAAGACAGTTGTGAACTTTGATAGTGACAGCGAAAATGAGAACGCTGATGAAGAGCACAATATTGTGGCTGCAAATACCACTTTTGAGCACGGGGTCAAATTTGATGTCTCCGTCGGTTTGACTGAGGGAGAGACGGCGATGCCGTCTACTGTTCCGTCCACGAAACATGTCGAGAATGCTGATTTTGAACCTAAATCTCCGCGCGTTGCGATCACCCCACGTTTTGTCATGATCGAAAAACCAGCACAGGTGTCATTTGAGACGACGCCTCGTGGACACGAAGGTGCGGTCACGTGCGCCACTTTTTCCCACGACTCCCTCAGCTTGTTCACGGGCAGTCGCGACTCGACTATCAAACGGTGGTCGTTACCTGACTTGTGTCTTTTGAAGACATACAAATGTGAGAAAAAAGTAGAACAGGGCGACGTCTTAGCGATTTTGTTAAGCCCTGATGGCAATATGCTGCACGGGTCCGGGGAAAATACGTGCTTGACGACATGGGACGTACATTCCGGGCAAGTTCTGGACAGAATGTACCAGCGGCGCGTTCATGAGAAGGTCCACGAGGAGGCGTTGTCTAGTACCGTTGACTTTGAGGAGGAAGAGGAGATCAAGGACACGAAGAGCGCTGGTGCGGCAGACACCTCTAGTAAGGATGATGACGAAGAATCGAAGAATGGCTATGACGGCTCACCCACGGTTGATGTCGAAAACAATACGGAGGCGGGAAAGCAAATGAAGCATGTTTTGACGCAGACCAAGCCAAAGGGCACGCCTATATGGATCCAGTGCATGACGGCTGCTGCCGATTGTCCAGTACTCGTGTTTACTGGGTCACGTGACTCTGCCGTGCGCCGTTGGAACGTCGAGACGCGGGTTTGCGAACACGTATTCTCAGGACATGGCTCGTCCCCTGTCAATTCTGTTGCTATTTCAAAAGATGGATCTGACGTCTTTAGCGGTGGCGGGAGGGAAGATGGCATGTTATGCCATTACCGTTGGGGCGATGTATCAGGCATGAAACATACGTGTGAAAACGGAGTGGCAATGAAGTCAGGTCCTGTCGAGGGTTCCTACGTCCGTATTAGGTCGTTCATACCCCCTCGAATGCGGGGTACGGAGAATATTAACTCCGAGAAGATTCCAGCGCACCCAGGTGGGGTTTCGGCTATCGTCATGTCTTCTGACGAACGTTTTGTATACTCAGCTGGTGCCGACTGCTCTATCAAACAGTGGTCTGTCGATACTGGAGCTTTGCTTGCAGAGTTCCCGAATGCACACTCCGGTGGCATCGCGTCATTATCTTTGCTCCCGGATGTTGCCAAGTCGCCTAGAGCAGTGGGGACCGCTGCCGTGGCTTTCCAAGCCGCTGCCGCTGCTGGGGGGAGGCTAGTGTCTGGCGGTGCTGATGGATACATCAACGTATGGGCTGTGGAAGCCCATGATCCCGTGGCGGGTGCGACGATGGCAGGTAAAATTGCACAGCAAAAACGTGCAGCAGATGCCAGAGAATATCAACGTGAGCGACTGCGTCAAGCTGCCGTTGCACCGGAACTTTCTCGTCCTGCCTTGGTGTCTAAAGCGCGCAAAGACCTGCCCAACATCGTCGCTTCCAAGTTTCCGGTGAACCCGAACACTCGCGAGCCGAAGGATTTGGAAGATATGACTGTTGAGGATCTCGCTCCATTCACGGCTAATGAGCTCATCACTGTCTGTTTAGCTCACGGTCTGAGGTGCGTGAACCCAAAGACTCCGTCAAAGACACGAGATGAGATCATACAGTCGATGATCGCGTATCTAACGACAGAGCGAGAAGAGAGTAAGCTTAGGGCACGAGGATACCGGATGGAGCGGACGTCAGCTGGCAGTTAGAGATTGTAAAATGAAGGTGACGCATGAAGGAAGTGGTGTTTGTGAACTTTATTTTCCCACCTTAACAGGATCTACACTAGTTTGTTTCCACTTGTTAATAAGTTTCTGTTGTTTTTGTTTCTGTCTCTCTTTCTTACCCATTTTCTGCTTCTTCTTTGGCAGAAGCGCACCGGTGGCTGCTTCAACATTTTTTTGCTGCACAGACTTATGCTTTACTCCTTGTTCGCGTCTCTTCTCTCCTTCACAATATCTCTTCTCTCGTTCACAACGTTTGAACTCATCCTGAAGCATAGGCGCCTGAGAATGTATCAGGCTGGCGTCAACAGCCATGTCAACCGCCATATCCCAAAGCGTATTAGCTTCACGCTCGTCGTCGTCGTCATCATCGACACTGCTCAAACTTTGTTCTTCCGCGCTTGCCCGCCCTGATACACGTGTTATCCTGCGCCGCATAGCATCGGAAAATATCTTAAAATCCCCATCAGTGACTGGCCCACATTCAACTGCAACACTTTGGTCACTGTCCACACTTCCAATTTTGTCAGCTTTAGATTTTAAAAGTTCACCAGCATTGAAGGCATATGACACTCGTGGCTTCTTATCAACTTCACCTGCGACTGCTAGCACGCCGTGTAGCATCCAACCGGGAAACATCACCAGTCTTCCCTCTTTTGGAACAATAGCGTGCCATACACACCAGCCACTGCGGGAATCCTCAGGCGCCGTAATGTCAAGTCCACCAGAGCAAAGCCTGACAATCAAGTGACCGGCAAGCGTACCTTCGTGAGTGGCAGATCCGTCGCAATCAGGAACTGATGCATAGTAAACCCCTGACCACACCGCACCGGCATGGTTGTGCAAGCCGTGAGAATGCCCTGCCCGCGCGACATTAAACCAAGAGCTTGTCACCTTCGTCCTCTGCGTATTGAATGGACCTGACGACACCAGCCAGTCGTTCGCCCCGCAAAAGTTCTCGCGAAGCACTCCCTTCACGAGCTCCAGTAGGTGACCCGCGGACTCGCACCCATCCTGACCGAGCCGTTCCAGCGCGTCCGGGTTGGAATGGTATCCGCCTCGGTTGGAGACGACCACGGAGCGTCGCCCCGAGAATTCCTCTGCCACGGCAGCAGCTGCTAGAGGATGATTGAGTTTAGCCGCTGCCGCGTCGGTCAAATCCCAGGTTCTGATCACGACGTCGCGGCCAAGCTCGTCCGCGTCCCAACGCGATAGGTTCACGCGTAGCGTCGTCTGACGCCTGAATGTGCGCGCGTCGAGAGGTCTTTGTGGAAGTTCTTCGGCACCGCCAACCGCGACGGCAAACGACGCGGTCACGCCTTCGAGAACGGACGCGTCCACGTTCGAGTAAACACGATAATAGGATGAAAAAGCGCCAAGTAGCGCGCTGAGCTCGTCACTCACGTCGTATTCTTCGGTTCGGTCGCCAGCACGCTCACCAGTGCAGTTCATCGTGTACGACGTTGTACTGGACGAGCTGCGAGACAGAAAAGTACGGAAGTATTTTCGTACGAGTAGGGCTACGTGTACGTGTACACGTACGTGTACTGGAGGAAGTAATCTATTTTCGTATTCTTGTATCATACGAAGGTACGAAAGTACAGTATACACTATGTGCCGGAAGTACGTGTACGTGTACACGTGTACACGTGTACAGCTGCTGTACACGTACACGTACAGTACGGTACAGCAGTTAGATCTACACATAGATTCGATAGCCAGATCGTCGCCGCGCGCGTCGCGTCGCGCCCATCGTCGGGCTTCGATGCGGAGCCTGTTCACTCCCCCGCGCGGCCGCGGCGACCGCGGTGTCGGCGCCGCGCTCGCGCCCTCCCCGCGCGTCGTCGTCTCCGCGCGCGCCGTCGTCGTCTGCGTCCTCGCGTCGATGCCGCTTCTGCTTCGATGGTACGCGCGAAGTCTCGAGACTTCCACCGAGGAGACGACGAGCCTCGCTGTCAGGGTCGCGGGAGAATTCGCGGGGGGAGCGCGCGCCACCGCGGACTGGTCGTCATATGATCGCGGTCACGAGGACGATGCCGCCGCGGCGAGAACGACGGCGTCGGCGTCGCGCGAGAAGGAGGAGACTGAGGCCGCGGAACGCGCGCGGAGAGCCGAGCTGAGCGCGCGCGCGGAGCGATGGTTCCACGGCGCCGAACGCCTCGCGGACGCCGTCACCGCGGCGTCTTCCTCGTCATCGTCCTCTATGGGTGGTGGCGACGCTTCTTTGGAGTCGGCACCGGACGACGCGGACACGGACGCAGCGCCTCCGGACGTGAAAGTCGTCGTCGCGACGACGACCGCGGACGCGCCCGACAGCGTCCTGCGCTGGGCAGCTTATCACGCCGGTGAGACCGCCACCAGACTACTTCCCATACGATCCCGTTTGCGCTTCGCGCGTCGTTTCTTAAGGACTTCTCCCATCGTTTCTATTCGCCCTACGCCTCTCATTCAGCGCTCGACCGGTAAGTCGTTCGCCTGACCGATGCGATGCAACGTACTCCTTCCTTCCTTCGCCGACCACAGCGCTCGGCGTGGACGCTTTTTTTTTGTTCCTTGAGGGCGCCGCCGCGACGCCCTCGAATGTGAAGGCCCTACGCGAAACGGCCGCACGGAATGCGTTATCAATGATGATATGGACGCCGTCGAGGGAGCTGAACGAGACGCGCGCTGCGTCGAGGGCGTGGAACGAGAAATGGCTCGCGAATTATTTCGACAAGCCATGCAACAACGAGCTTTTCGTGCGACAGGTACTACTCGTACCAGTGGTCTCCGTCCTCTTTTCTTTACTCGTATACTACTGTATGTAGCTCGTTTACGCCGTCACGCTTGCCTCGGTTTCAACGATCGACCGCGACGGACGCTTTTCATTCGTCTGACGCGGCCGCCTTTCGAATCGATGGACGCCTTTTGACAGTCGCTGAACATGGAGATCGCGATCGCGGCGGCGCACCGCGCACGGCCGACGTCGGTTTCGAAACGCGAGGGCTCGAAGGGGAACTCGAACTCGAAGCCGAAACTGAAACCGCCGAAACCGTCGTTCGATTGGATCGTCCAGATCGACACGGACGAGCTCCTGCACCCGGCGGGCGCGAAGAACGGTTTCGGGATAAAGTCACTCCTCGCATCGCTCCCCCCGGACGTGGACCAGCACGTGTTTCCAAACTACGAGGCGTGCCCGGAAGGTGCGGTTTTTTTCTTTTCGGACTCTTCCCATACGCCCTCCTCGCGTGGTGAATGCCGTCTCTTGAGGACTTCACTCCTCGTTTCTCTTCACCTTCACCTGCGCCTTCGTTTCGACGTTCGACCGGCCGCGAGATATCTGACCAGCTGACTGATGAACATCGAGCCGTTCGATCCATCAGATTCGTCCGTGCGCGACCCGTTCGTCGACGTCACGCTGTTCAAAAAGTCGTACTCGCACGTGTCCAGAGACGCGTACATGGAGGAATACGCGACCGTCACGCGGGGAAACCCGAATTACTTTTTGACGTACGCGAACGGCAAGAGCGCCGCGCGCGTGATCCCAGGTGAGACTAGACTCCTTCCCGTACGACGATACTACTTTCTGTACGACCTACTAGCATGTTGCTGTACTCCTCGCGCGTCGAACGAACGTACGTTCTTAACTAACTAGCTAGGGCCCTAAGACTGAGGACTCGTTTCTTCCTCCGAGCAGGTTTACGCCCGAACGGCGCGCACCGGTTTTACAACTACGGCGGAAAACCGAAAGAGACGACCGCGACCGAGGCCGCGGTGCTGCACTTCACGTACACGATGTTCGATGACGTCTTGAAACGAAAGGCGCGGTGCGAGTGCCCCGGGGACGGCTCAGACGAGGCGCTGCAGAAGTGTTTCATCCTGGATTTCGATCGCACGTTGTACAAGGTGCGTCCTACTACTTTCATGTCTAGTATACACAAAAGTTGGTCGTGTTGTTCACCCGACACCCGAGAGGGTTTCAACATTTATTTGATCGTGACCGCCCCCTTTCAACTAACCGATGAACGCCTTTCGCTCAATCTTCTGACCAAAAGATGTGGGACGAGTCGTCTGAGGAGACGATGCGGCGGTTTTGGGGTGAGCGCGTCGTGTACGGTGAGACTGCTTTCCAACACCCTCGCTCGCGTGTTGAGCGTCGTTTCTTAAGGACGTTTCCCGTTGATTCTCTTCAGGCGACGCGGACGTCGTGATGTCGCTCCTCGCGAGAGGGCTGTTCGCGAGAATATACACACCACGTGTGTTGATGCGCGCGGTGATGGAAGAAGGAGGAGGAGGAGAGGCGAAGGCGGAAAGGAAAAAAAAACGCGGGGAAACTGGCGGGAATCCCGGGAGAATCTGGGATACCCGGGACAGGGACGGATCGTAGCAGCGTAGTCGTAGACGTATGTCAAAGGCACTACCACACAGACACGCGTTCTCTCTCCTTCGTTCGTTCGTTCGTTCGTTTGTTCGTTCGTTCGTTCGTTCGTTTGTTCGTTCGTTCCTGTCGTTGTCAGTTCGACTCTGTCATCGTGCGTTTCATACGGCACGTTGTACAATCAGTACACGACGTGAAACGTTGTACGTGTACGTGTACACGTACAACACGTTAAGGTGTACAGCTGTGTATCAGACTACAAAAAGACTGAGCTCTAACCCATCCGGGCAAAACATGTGATCTAAATGCGAGCAGACTACACTACGAACAGTCCTCTCACGTAGTAAGCAACCCCACGACGGGATTCATGAAACCCGTGTGAGCCTCACGAGCGCACGGAGCCGGGCCGATGTGGAGATCGCAAGCTGTGTCGGGCTCCATAAATAGGATTTGCGCTCCGCGCTGTACGGCTGTACGTGTACACGTACACGTACTGTAATCTTCTTCGGACAATCTCGCAGTATTAATAAACAAACGGTTGGGAGAAGGTTTACCTTCTCACCATCTAGGCGTTTTCCCGACCTATGATAGCTAGGGACGAAAATTTCAACCAATCAAATGCGTTTGGCGCCCCGTATCCAAAACCCGGCCTCTGTATAGTCTGTCAGTTTGAAATGAGTACGCGAATTTCGTACTACGCGGAAACTGCACCTCGGGACGTGACGATGAAGTCGACCTCGAACGACAACGACGCCGCGCGGAGCGGCACTTTTGACGACGACGACGACGATGACGTGAAGAAAAAAGGATAAGGAAAACAGCACGGCTCGCGCACCACACTTCACCACGTGTACAACACACCGCCCTCGTGCCACCCGCGCACTCCTCGTCCACACGCCCTCCATCGCGCTACGAAACGCCCCAACGTTCGACGCGCGAAATGAGCATCAGGGGAAAAAAATACTATCCAGCAATTCTTTTGGTTCGATCCAGCAATTCTCGCGTTTCCACTGCAAATACCCATACGCTACAGCCCTCGTACTACGTCCGCGTACTCCCTGGGTTCAAACTTCAGTCGTTTGAAAGGGGTGCCCGCGGGCGTTCGCGCGCTGCTGGAGTCGCGGGAGCGTCACAAACGCCGTCGTCGCACGCAAAGAATTTACTCAAACGACCACGATGAGTCGATCCAGTCAAAAATATCACACCGCTCGCTGTGAAGATCACGACGTAATCAGCGCTCGAACAGGGCCGGACGCAACTTTCAAGATCGCGTTTTCGGGGGAAGGTGGAAAAAAAAGTTCTCCTCCTTCAAGAAAGATTTTGCAGAGTCACCCTTGACATATAAGCGCCGCTGACGTCGTTTTCTTTACGAGAAGTGGCACAATATTTTTGATTAAATCGATGCCCCGCGATGTGACGAAGAACTCATCTCACTGTACCGGAGATTGTTACGGCCATTGTCCGACGCTATGGGCGCGCGAATACGCAGACCTCGCGGAGAGGTGTAAACTGTAAACTGTCAGAACTCTGATCGTAGACGAAAGGGCGACTTGAATCGTCAGAAGGGTGGAAATCCGACCCTCGGTCAATGCTGATCGGTCCAGCCGATCAACCAAGAATTGCTGGATAGAACCGATTAAATTGCCAGATAAAACTTTTTGCAGCATCAGGGCTGCAGTAACAAATATGGGCCATTTCACCAGGTTAGCCTGTCGCGAACTTTCGTACTCTTCAGACTAAATACGCTCCGGGCCCCTTCTCCCAACTACTGACGGCCAAGCGCCGGAGGCGCTGATTTTCAGGTGTTTTCCCAGTGTTTTCCCTGGTTTTTTCAGGGTTTTTTTTTCCTGAGGTTTTCTCGTTGCCTCGCGCGGGGGAAGCCACGACGCCGTCGTCCGTTCGCGCGGCCGCGCACTGCGACCGACGCCGCGCGATCGCTCATCCCCCACCCCACCCCTCGGTCTTGATGTCCACACCCTGGAAGCCGACGCCGCACCGCGGCGACGACGGCGACGACGACGCCGCCGACGCCGCCACCGCGCGAGGACGCGCGTGCGGACTGGAGGCGATACTACGCGGACGACGCCTCCGCGGCGACAGCGCGCGGCAGCGCGGCGCGAGCGCCAGCGCGGCGCGAGGCGCCGCCGGACGCGCGACGCCGCTTCGCGAGCACCTGTATAGGTTCGGCGCCGGCGCCGCGGACGGCGACGCGACCGCGAAGGAAACGCTCGGCGGCAAGGGCGCGGTGCGCGCGCGCGTCCGTCCTCCTCTACCTGCTGTGTTCTTTTATTTTTCTTCTCAGACCACGCGTACGCGTGTACACACTCGACGCCCTCCCTCTCCGTTTGTCTGACCGTCGCGTCGCGTCGCCTCGCGCAGGGCCTCGCCGCGATGTCCAACCTCGGTTTGAACGTTCCCCCCGGGTTTACGATATCCACGGACGCGTGCGAGCGATACGCAAGAGAGGCGAAGGAAGCCGACTGCGCGAAGAAAGGCACCGCGGCACGGTGAGTAACGTCCTGGCTGTTCCTCATACCAGCGCTCTCGCGTGTTGATCCTCGTTCCCTAAGGACTTTCGCTTCAACGATCGCTTTCGTCGTGGACGAAGTCTACGAAGCCCTCGCATTCGTGGAGAAACGCGTGGGAAAGACGTTCGGCGGTGGTGCCGGCTTTGGAGGCGCCGACTCGAAACTGAAACCGAAACCGCCGTTGCTGCTCTCTGTGCGCTCCGGTGCCGCGGCTTCCATGCCCGGGATGATGGACACGGGTGCGTGTGTTCGTTCTACACACCAGTTTTTTACCTAAGCAGCCCCGGCTTCAACATAGACTACACGTAGAATACATTGCACCGCGACGCTTTTCAACTGATTACCGATGAACGTATGCATACGGAATTGCCCGCGTACAGTTCTGAACCTCGGGTTAAACGACGTCCTCGTCGAGACGCTCGCGACCGCGGTTGCGACCGACCTCGGCGCGTCGAACGCGCGTCGGTTCGCGTACGACGCGTACCGGCGGCTGCTGGACATGTTCGGAGACGTCGTGCTCGGGATTCCGCGCGCGCGATTCGAGGACGCGGTGCGCGCGTTTTCGGTTTTGGTTTTCACCCCCGCCTCCCCTCGGTTTCAATGATCGACCACGACCGCGACGCCGTGCATCGACTGACCGATGAAAGTCGATCCACCCCTGCACCCCGCGACGTCTCTGCGCATGAAGCTCGCGGCGATGAAGACGGCGCGCGGCGCGTCGCACGACGCGGACTTGACCGAGACAGATCTCGTCGCGCTCGTGAAGGTGAGATGCCCTCACTGCTGTGCATACAACCCCGCTCGCGTGTTGAACGTCTTTTCGAAAGGACTACAAAGCCGTGTATCTCGACTTCCGCGTGGACTTCCCGAGTGATCCGCGGACGCAACTCGAGATGGCGATCGCTGCGGTGTTCTCGAGCTGGAACAACCCGAGGGCGGTGACGTACCGCGAGTTGAATCGAATCGTCGGTTTGAAAGGCACCGCAGTGAACGTTCAGGCGCGTCATCCCGTCGCGTACATTTTTTCCATCCGTCTCCTCTTGTCCCCTCGGTGGTCGGTTTCAAGGTTTGATCGCGAAGCGACGCCTTTCAACTGATGACCTATGAACATGCACCATTTGCATTTGGAACCCACCATCAGGCGATGGTGTTCGGGAACATGGGCGAGACGTCATGTTCCGGCGTTTGTTTCACGCGCGATCCGGGATCAGGGGCGAAGGCGATCTACGGCGAGTTTTTGGTAAACGCACAAGGCGAAGACGTCGTCGCAGGCGTTCGCACGCCTGAACCAGTGATGCCAAACATGAGTCAGGTGCGATAATTCTTCTTCTACACTACTAGTCGTGTACCTTGGTACAGTACACGTAGTGTACGTGTACAGCATCTCCTCGATTGTTTTCAACGTTTGGTACACATATCCTCAACTACATGTACATCGCGCGGCGCCCACTTTCGACTGACCGCCGATGAACGTTCATTCGCGCCCTGGAATGGAATCGCCCTCGTCAGAAATTCCCAGACGCGCGCCGCCAGCTCCAAGCGTGCTGCGACGCGCTCGAGGAACACTACCGAGACATGATGGACATCGAGTTCACAGTTGAATGCGGCCGGTTTTTCATCCTTCAGTGCCGCGCCGGGAAACGCACCGGGGAAGCCGCGATCAAGATAGCGCGAGACGTCGTTGCGGAAGGTGAGGCGCTCTGGTTGCTTCCCTTACAATCCCGTTCGCTTGTTGAACGTCGTTTCTTAAGGACTGCGCACGGAGCCAGAGGCGCTTCTGCTCATCGAGCCGAGGCACGTCGATCAGCTCCTCCACCCGCGGTTCGACGCGAACTCCCCGTACGACGTCGCGGAGGACGTCGTCGCGAGCGGGCTTCCCGCGTCCCCAGGCGCGGCCGTCGGCGCCATCGTCTTCTCCGCCGCCACCGCGAAGGTGTTTCGGTGAGACTGCGTCCCATTACGATCCTTTTCGCGCGCTGAACGTCGTTTCTTGGAGTACTTTCTTCTCTTCTTTTCACCCTGCGACTCACTTTCAACCTCAACCGATGAGACGGCGAACTGACCCCGCTTCTGGCCCCGAAAGGCTGCAAAAACAACCGTGCGTGCTACTGAGGACAGAGACCAGGTGCACTCCCGCGCCTCGCTTTCTGTAGACTATATTTCGACGGACGCTCACCCGCGACGACGTGACTGCCTTTCAAAACATTCCGGGAAACATCCATCAGAATTGACGTTCGACGCGCGAACGGGGTCGTATAGAAGTAGTATAGTCTCACCCGATTCGATCCCCTCGATCGCAGCGCGGAGGATGTCGGCGGGATGCACGCCGCGGAGGGTATCCTTACGTCGCGCGGCGGGATGACGTCGCACGCCGCGGTCGTTGCGCGGGGTTGGGGGAAGCCGTGCATAGTCGGCTGCGACGCGCTACGTGTGGATGATTCTGCGCGCGCGTGCACGTTCGTGCACCCACGGACCGGCGATACGATCGCGACGTTTCGCGAAGGTGAGCGTTTTTATTTTCTGTACTGTTTCAGACCACGACCCATACGACCCCGTTCGCGTGTTGAACGCCGTTTCTTAAGGCGATGTTGTGTCTCTGAATGGCACGACGGGCGAGGTGATTAAACGCGCGGTCCCGCTCGTAGAGCCCGCGCCGCCTTTGGACGAAGACGGCGACCTCGCGACCGTCCTTCGATGGGTCGACGCATACCGAGAGCTCGACGTGCGGGCCAATGCGGACGACGCGGACGACGCTCGCCGGGCGTTTCGCGCCGGCGCCGCGGGGGTCGGCCTCGCGCGAACTGAGCATATGTTTTTCGGGAGTAAAGAACGTGTCGACACGGTTCGAAGGCTTGTGCTCGCGGATGATGACAAGACGCGCGCAGCCGCGCTCCAGGCGCTCTTGCCGCTCCAGAGAGCGGACTTTGCGGGGCTGTTCCGCGCAGCGGGTTCGAGACCCGTGTGCGTGCGGCTGTTAGACCCTCCGTTGCACGAGTTTCTGCCAAAACCAGGGGAATTCGAAAGCACGCCGCCGTTCGACGCGGAGAAGTTCGGCGCCGCCACTGCTGAGCTCACGGCGCTCACCGGGCAGACCGAAGCGCGCGTGCTCGAGCGCACACGCGCGCTGCGAGAGACGAACCCGCTGCTTGGGCTCCGCGGCTGCCGCGTCGGCATCACGTGCGTTCTTTGCAAACGTTTTGCACCCATCCCTTAGTCTCAACATTCGATCGCGACCCGTTTCAACTGATGACCGATGAACATTATTTGTACACTGGAATCGCCCTGTGTCAGGTCGCCGGAGATCACGAAAATGCAAGCGCGCGCGATATTCGAAGCCTCGATCGAAGTCACGCGCGAAGCGAAGTCGTCGGCATCCCTCCCGCAGGCGTCGGCGCCCCTCCCGAACGTCCAGATCATGATCCCTCTCGTCGGCTGCGCGTCCGAGTTTACACATCAGGTGCGGTCTAGATAAAAGTTTTTCACCCACCCCTAAGTTTCAACATTTGATCGAGACCTTATTCAACTGACCGATGAACATTGTTTGTATGGAATCGCCCTCAGCGCGACGCGATACTCGAAACCGCGCGGGAGGTCCGACGCGAACGCGACGGGGACGAACTCGCGCCGTTCGAGATCGGCGTCATGATCGAAGTCCCGCGGGCAGCGTTGCTTGGTACAGAGCTCGTCGACGCCGGCGCGGCGTTTTTTTCCTTCGGGACGAACGACCTCACGCAGGTAGGTGAGGCGTCGAGACCGCTCCCCGCTCGACCGGCTTCGGTTTTTCTGACGAGAAACGACTTTTTCCTCGTTCCGCTCCTCGCAGATGACGTTTGGATACTCCAGGGACGACGTCGCGACGTTCCTGCCCGAGTATCTTCGACTCGGGATACTTCAGGACGATCCGTTCGCGACGATCGACGTGCGCGGCGTCGGCGCTCTCGTCGAGCGGTGCGTCTCGGACGCCAGAGACGCCGCACGCGCGCGAAAAGCGTCACTGAAAATCAGGTGCGTGCCATGCTCACTTTCTTGTCACCGACTCCCTCGGTTTCAACACTTGACCCGTGTCCTCTTTCGATTGACGGGTGAACATTATTATTCGTTCCTGGAATCACCCTCAGCGTGTGCGGCGAACACGGTGGCGACCCTCGGAGCATCACGTTTTTCCACGATCTCGCGTCGAGAGGCGCGAAGATCGACCACGTGTCGTGTTCGCCGTTTCGCGTCGTCGTTGCGCGAGTCGCCGCCGCGCAGGCGGCGTGCCGGGAGATGACGGAGACGACCACGGATGGAGACGAAAAAAATAAAAAATAAAAAATAACGCTGAGAGACGACAACGTCGGACTAAAGAAAGACGGGGAGGGTCGAACCGCAGCCCCTACGCGATCAAACGAACGATAGAACGAACGAACGAACACGAGCGACCGCGCGGACGGAGACGCGCGCGGCGTAGGTAACAATCACTGCTACGCTTCTCTTGTCTTCTAAAAGAAGACTCAATCGCTTCGAACCTATGTACGCTGCTATCATGCGAGCTATCCGACGCGACCTCGTTCGATCCGTCCTGGCCTCGAGGAGTTGTGACAACTTCACATACGACCCCGATCGCGCGTCGCGCGTCGTTTCTTAAAGACTTCGCCGTCTGTCCCCGCCGTCACGGGACGACAGACCGGTCGAACCGGTCAATCGTGTCTCCGAACCGCTGCTTCCTGCTCTTCGACCGCTTCGACGACTTCGATTTCGACTTCGAAGTCGCGCCACCGCCGCCGCTGATTGCCTTCCTTCGGAAATCGGCACCCAAGTCGGCACCCCCGCCCCCCTCGGATCCCCCCTCCGCTGTGTGCCACGTGCTGACCGTGCCGCCGACCGTGGACGTTGTGCCGCTGCCCGCCGCGGTTCGATAACTCTGAAGCGATCGTGGGTGAGAATGTCGTGTCGGTCAGTGACGCGTCTTACCGATCAAACACTGGAAGGGAGGTGTACAGTAGGGTGAAGAGAAACACCGGGAAAAGTCCTTAAGAAACGACGTTCGACGCGCGAACGGGGTCGTATGGAACCAGAAAGTAGTCTAGTCTCACCTGGATCGTGCGAACCGTGTTTGCGTTCGTTGACGCGAGACTCGGCGGCGGCGCGTGCTCGCGGTTTGACCCCCCCCCGCGGCTTCGCCTCGAGATCGCCCGCCCGAGCCCTCGAACGGGAGCGCCGGCGCCCGGGTCCACGGCGGACGTCGACGCGTCGCGCCCCCCCCCGGCTTTCGCGTCGTCGTCGTTCCCGTTCCCACCACCGGGGTTGATGATCACGCCGTCGCCAGTCGTCGTCATCCCCCCGCGCGGCGTCCCCCCGCGCGGCGTCCCGGCCGCGGCGTCCGGTCGCGACAGGCGCGACGCCGCTTTCGATGCGCGACGCGCGGGCGTGACTTCGCGCGGCGGCTTCTTCGCCGGAGAGCCCTTGATCGGGGTGACTCTCCCCGTTCCGCCTCCTCCTCCTCCTCCTCCTGCTCCGCGCGCGCCGCCTCTCTTCAGCGCCGCGCTCCTCGCGTCCGGGGCGACCTTCTTCCCGTTGCCGGCGCCACAACCGAGCAATCGCATCAGCCCGCCGAGGACGCCCCGGCTCCGCGGTCGCGCGGCGGCGGGCGGAGGATTCTTCGACGGAGGGTGCCGACGCGAGAACGGTGCGCCGCGCGACGCCTTTCGTCGCGCGGAGCCGCCGCCGTCGTCCTCGCGCTCGATCCCACGGCTGAGCGACTCGCGCGGATGCACGCGACGTGGGCCTTTCCCGCTCCTTTTGGACTGGTCCACCGCCCACTCCAGGGTGAGCTGTCCGCTCATGAGCTTATGGACGACGGTGACCCCCGAAGTGCCACCATCCATTGCGAGGACCACGGCGTGCCCGTGGGTACGTGTGCACGACCTGGGTACACGTACGTACAGTGTAGGTACAGTATGTACACGTACACGTACTTTCGAAAGTACTTTCGTACTTTCGAAAGTACTTTCGTACGAAAGTACACGTACAACTATCTGTCATACTTTCGTACTTTCGAAAGTTGTACCTTCATTCATATTTTCGTACTTTCGTACGAAAGTACACGTACTACGAAAGTATTTTCGAAAATAGATACTTTCGTACATTTTCCCAGGTAGGGCTACGAAAGTACGAAAGTAGGGCCTACTTTCGAAAGTAAGTTGTTACCAAGGTACAGTGTACATGTACAGTACGTGTACATATCATACACGTACGGAGATAATACTTCCGTACCTTCGTACTGTACGAGTACACGTACTACACATTATAACAGGTACACAGTGCACAGCCTGCACACACACTACACGTACGTGTACAGCTGTACACTGTTAGATAACGCGTTGTAGCCCTACCTACACGTACACGTACACGTACACTAGGGCTACGGACGGAAGTAGTATGATAGTGTGTGTAGCACTGTAGGTAGGGAAGGAGATAAAAACATACCCTACAGCCAACATACCAACAATGGGGTCTGGCAGTCTCGCTCCCTGTCTCAAAAACAGACCCCCTTTTAGAGCCGAAAAAAGCCCTACATATTTGGGTGTCCCGTCCTCCGTGCTTGTTTCGTGGATGGTATGAAATGGGGTCTCACAGAAGTCTCACAGAAGCCTCACAGAAGCCGACAGCACACTAATAGATAATATAGATATTATATAACACGCACAAGGAACCCACCGACGTAACCTCGATAGGCGACTGTCCATTAGGAACAGTAGTCTGGGATAAGTACTACAAACTACGGAAGTACGAAGGTATCTATCTTCCAAGGTACGTGTACGGAAGTATCTATTTCCGTACCTTCATAAAAGAGTACGAAGGTACCTTCGAAGGTACGTAGCCCACTTTTAAGGATTCTATCTTCGTACAACGTTGTATCATACATACTTTACATAGGGCTAGCTAGTCTACACGTACTTCCGGAAGTACGAAACTACAGTACCTTAGAAGGTACTTTTCGAAAGTACGAAAGTACCTTCGAAGGTACTTTCGTAGTTAATAATATTCTACTGTATCTTCGAAGGTACACGTACGTGTACAGTACACGTACGCGCTCAGAACCTCACGTGACTCTGAAAACTTCCACGCGGGCGCGGCAGCGCAAATCCTTTTTATGGAGCCCGACACTGCTGGCGATTTCCACATCGCCCCGGCTTCGTGCGCTCGTGAGGCTCACATGGGTTCCATGAATCCCGTCGTGGGGTTGCTTACTACGTGAGAGGATTGTTCGTAGTGCGGTCTGCTCGCTTCTAGATCACATGTTTTACCCGGATGGGTTAGAGCTCAGTCTTTTTGTAATCAGATCTACACAAGACAGTACACGTGTACTGTACAGTAAAAGTTGTCTCATACGAAGGTATTTTGTTGTTTTGGAAGTACTTTCGTACTTGAGTATATTCTATTTCCGTACAACGTGCGCGTTACGTGTACGTGTAGCCCTAGCCCTACAAAGTACTTTCGTACCTTCGTACCTTCGTACTTTCGTACTTTCGAACACGTTACAGTTCACGTACTGTACTGTAGTACACGTACTGTACAGTACGGTTGTACGATTGCACTGTGATTTCTCTCACACGCATCAGCCCGAAGTCGTGTCGGATCGCGCGCGGACAACCCGCTGCCCGGGCCGTCCCGCCCCCACATTCCCCTCAACCCCGTGGACGTCGCCATGGCAAAAAGTGATGGCGCGGTCCGTCGAAGACAGGCGCGCGAGGAGCGAGAGGACGCGATCGAGGAGCGACGCGCGAAGGCGCGAGAGGAGAAGAATCTGTGCTGCGGCGTCAGCTCGCTGCACGTGTTCTTCCTCCTCCTGTTCTTCCTCCCGACGATGTTCGGCGTCGCGGACTACTTCTTCAAGTTCAGCGAGGTTCCCGGGGGCGCGCACGGTGCGCTCGATCCGTCGCAGGCGGTGTGGAGGGAGAAACTTAAGGCATTCTACGGCGAGAACAACCCTGGGAAGATCGGCGAGATCCCTAAGCTGTTGGCGCGTTTTCTCTCTCCACGCGACCTCGTTCGCATCGTCGGGCCGAGCGGACGTCGTTCCTCGATGACTTTCCCCGCTTTCGATTCGATTCTCTTCGCCCGTTTTTTTCCGTTACACGCGCGCTCGGCCGCGACGCCGTTCGACTGACCGATACGGTCCGGTCGACCTCCCCCAACCCCCCCCCACCCCCACCGCGGATCGGAACAGCGGAAGTACAAAGGAAGGGAGCGCAAGCTATGGCGCGCGCTGCAGAGAAAGTACGCGCGGAAAGACGAAGACGAGTGACGACCTAGCACGACATATCTGAGCAACGCATTCGCTAGACTAGCTAGCTAGACTATTTAACACGCGTTTTGAGAGGGCGATTATCTGGCATAGTGTCCGACACGAGCGTCGCCGCCGGAAGCGAGAACAACGACGTCGGGGGGGGGGGGGAGTGGGCGTCCCGAACGAACGGACCGAACCGGCGTCGACGAGGAGGAGGGCGACGACGGCGGGGCGAGCGCGCTCCAAGTGGCCGTGGACGCCACGGCGTTGGCGGCGGCGGACCTCCTGAACCCCCCCGCGGCGGTCGAAGACGCGAACTCACCGCCGCCTTCGCCTCCTCCTTCGCCGTTGTCCGCGGAAGTCGTTGCTGTACCGATCGTCATGTTAGATCATGTCGGACGAGGTCGTATCGGAAACACATAACGTGTCGGATGCTGCGAGGAAGACCGAGGAGACACTTCGCTTTTATGAAAACTTCGAGAGAGACTTCGAGAAGAACTTCTCGCAAGCGGACGCGACGGATACCGACTACTCCGGCTCTGGCTCCGGCTCGGACGAAAACGAGAACGAGAACGAGGACGAGGACGCGTGGGCGGAGCGATGGGAGCGAGAACAATGGGCGGCGCGTAATGAAAAAAAAACGTCGAAGGCGTCGCCACGCCGCGGCGTCGCTTCTCGCTCGCTGACGGTTCGTCAGACGCCGCCGCGGCAACCTTCGGCCCTGGCGGTCTCAGTCTCGGCGAGAGGACAACCACGGAGACGACGATAGTTTCCCTTGACGCGTTCGCCGCACTCTTGGACGCGCCGACGGAGGATCGGCTCGGAGATGTGGACGACGAGGGGAAGTGCAGAGGTGAGTCTGCTCTCCATACTGTATGATCCTCTTCGCGTGTTGTGCGTCGATCCTTAAGGACTTTCCTTTCGCCGCCGCGCATCTTCGCCCGTCTTCCCCTCGGTTTCAACGTTCGAGCGCGACGCCGTGCGTTTGACTGACCGACCGTCCGCATCGTCGCCTCAGGGCCGTGCAAGGTATGCGTCGGACGAGGCGGCCGCGAGAAGAACGCTTCAAAAAAAAACGACAGGTGCTTCCAGTCGCCTTCGCGTCGAGGAAGGGGGCTCTTCTGGGGCGGCGCTGGAACGAGACCGCGTCGCGGCCGCTCCCCGTGCTCGCGCGCGCGATCGAAGACGACCCCGCGATAGCGGACGAAAACGCGGTGCGTTAGACTGATCTCCATACACCCTCCCCCACGCGTTGAACGTCGATCCTTATTCAACGACTTTCTTCCTCAGAGAGCGGAGGCCGCGCATCTCGCGCGGCAGAAGCTGGAGAACGCGATCGACGGGACCATGTGCGCGCGATGCGGGTGCGATAAATCATGTCACGCGACGCGACGAGAGATGATGACGCGACGGCGCGAAGAGCTCGCCGCCGCAAAAGCCGCGGCGACGAGAGTCGCAGAGAGAGCCGCGCGCTTGGCGGAGGCGAAGCGTCGCGCGAAGCGAGCGGAGGCAAACGGCGATTTTCTAACCCGTCATGAACGTGGACACGATCTCGGGCGCAGAGCGTTTAAAATGCAACGGCTGTTCAGAATGCGTTTCGTTCAAGTGTGCATTCACGACGAGCGACACGTCGAATCCGGACGTGATGTTATTTTGCGCAGCGTGCGGATGTGAGGTGAGACTGCTTCCCGTACGACCCCACGCACGCGTTCAACGTCGATCCTTAAGGATTTTCTCTCTTTTCTTCTCCCAGGCGGGTGCGCACGAGATATCCAAGGATTGGGAGCGGCGTCGCGCGGAGGAGGAGACGTGGCGTCGCGCGGAGGAGGAGCGCACGGCGCGACGGCGAGACGCGTACGCCCGCTGCGACGAGAGAGGCGCGGGCGGCGGCGGCGGCGCGTCGCGACTGCCGGCATCGGACCAGGTGACACTGCTTCCCATACGACCCCGTTCCGTGTTGTGCGGGGTTTCTTGAGGACGATTCATGTCGTCTCTCTTCACCCTGTCTTTCTTGCCTTTCAACGTTTCACCGGTAAGACATACGACTGACCCGCTAACGTTCCCTATCAGACGCGCGCGAAACATTTGCGCGCGTTGGGACTCCGCGCGCTTGACGATTCGAGGAGCAAGTACACCAACGCGGAAATCGCGCGCGCGTACCGAGCGGCGGCGTTGCGGGTACGCGCGCGCCTGCCGCGTTCTAATTTATTCGTCCTTCCCTACACCCCGCCCCGTACGCTCTCCCCCGCGCGTTGAACGTCGATCCTCAAGGAGTTCTTTTTCCGATCTCGTCGCAGTTTCACCCAGACAAGGCGAAGGCGAACTGCCGAGGGGAGAAATCCACGGAGGAGGACGTCCAGCGGTTCGTCGCTGCGACGGACGCGTTCAAGGCGCTGACGGGGAGGAAAGCCGCCTCGGGCGGCGTCTGACGAAACATGAAATGCGAAAGTAAGGTTGGACTATGTTTCTATGAGACTACGCACGCGCCGGTCAACGCGACCACCAAAAGTTCACGCTCACGCTCGTGCTCAGCCCTCGAACGTGGTGCCACGCCCCTTTCGGCATGAAGAGCGCGTCGCCTGGTCTCAACAAGCACTCCGAGTACCTAGCGCGTTTGAACAGCGGATGCTTCGCGTCGTCGGGGGCTTCCACGGACACAGCGCTTCGCGTGAACGAGTTCTCGCACCCGGCGCCTACGACGTCTACGGGGATGCGAGTCGACGTTCATCTGTCAGTTGAAAGGCGTCGCGGTCGAACGCTGAAACCGAGTGTGGGGTGACGAGAAACTCCCCGGGGAAGAAGTCCTTAAGAAACGACGCACACCACGCGAACGGGATTGTATGGGAAGGAGTCTCACCCAACGGGTACAGGTATTCAGTCTGCGACGCCGCGTACACGCGCGCGTACTTAAACCCGGCGCACTGCGCGAGGACGTTAAAGTACGGGTCTCTATGCAACGCCTGCGAGTGGTGAAGAGAAACAGAAACTCCTTATGATGCGACGTTTAACGCGCGAGGGAGGTCGTACGGAAAGCATTCACGTCTCATCTCACCGTGGACGTGTTTTTTGTACCGATCCACGCATTCACGGCGCCGTCCTCCGGGGCGAGCCTTCCGAGGACGTACACGGGCACGGAGAACAACCGCTGGAGCGACGGGATCTGAGAGCGGCACATCACACGGCACGATTCATAATGATCATCGGTCAGTTCAAAGGAGACACTACGGTCGAATGATAAATTGAAACCGAGCGAAGGGTACAGTTTCGCGCGGGTGAAAAAACGTAAAAGTGTTCAGCACAGAACGCGCCTGGTGGAACAGCGCGTGCTGACTGACGTAAGCGACGTCGACGGCCGCCGTATCGGACGCCGCGCATGTGGCGTCCGACACATCGCGGTGCGAGAGGTTCGACGGCGCCAAATACCGCTCCACGAACGCGCGCAAGGAGCACACGCCTCGGCCTCTCGCGTCACCGAAGCCGCCGAACTCTACGGGGACAAGCCTCTCGCGGCGTGACAGTTGACGTTCCATCTTACCGACGGTTGACGTCCCATCTTCAACGTCGCCATCCGCGTCGTTCGACAACCCCCCCCCATCCTCCTCCTCCTCCGCGAGTCTCACGAGCGTTCGCAGATCCCCCCACGTCTCCGACGCGCTCGCCCAGCCGCGTTCGCGCGTCAAACACCCGGAGACGATGACCGGCGTTTCCGTCTTGACGTACTGACGAACGAGGGCAAGCGGGTGGTGATTCCGCGCGAGCGCGAATCGACGTGCATCGGTCAGTCGAGGCGTGAAATATCGCGACGATCAAAGTTTGGTCGGTTAATACCGAGGGGTGAAAAAGAAAAAAACCGTCAACCCCAGCGCTTGCGCACCTCGTCGTAAAACCTCGCCGTCGTGAGCGCGTCCGCGTCCTCTCGAGGAATCTCGAGTTGCGGGTCGATCCGCGGCGCGTCCGCGGGAATCGACGCGGGGATTTGGTACGCGTCGTCCGGCCAACGCCACGTGAATCCCCATGATCCTCCACGTGGTGTGTTTTCATTCGCGGACGCGCGCAACGACGCCGTCTCCGCAAGAGCAAACGCGCTCGCGAGCCACCTCGGAAGCTCTGCCGCCTCGCTCGCGACCGCGACGAGGCTCAGCAGTTCGAGCGCGACGCGGCCTAACGTCGTCGCGTCCGACACCACGCGGGTTGGTGTTGGTGTTATATTGTCCGACACGACCTGTTCGGCTGCGTCCGACGTGAGACCACTTTGCATACGACCCCGTTCGTCGCGTGCTGAACTCGATTCCTCAAGGACTTTACCCCCCGAAACCGCGACGTTGGAGAGAATGAACCCGCCCAACGCGAGCGCGTGCGCGTCGCGAAACGATGCGTCCGGCCAGCACCCGACGTCCAGGCGTCGGACACACGCGGCGAGGCACGCCGTGGAGGAAACGCGCAGCTCCTCCGCGGATCGCAAGACTGCTTCACGCACAACCCCGTTCGCGCGTCGTGGTCGTGCGTCGTCTCTTCTGAAGGACTCTCCGCTCTCCTCTCTCGCGTCGTCGTCGTCGTCGTCGTCGTCGTCGTCATCGTCGTCGTCGTCGTCATCGTCCGCGTCGTCCGCGTCCGCGTCGTCTTCGCCGCGGCGCCGCCGCCGCATCGGCATCGCGCGCGAGAGCGCGCGCAGCGCGACGGCCGCGCGTCCGAGCGCCGCCGCGGCGTCGGCGCCCTCGCGTCCCCAACGCGCGAGCTGTTGTTTTATTCTGTCGCATCGCGCGCGTGCGTCGGTCGCGAGCTCGCGCGCGAGCGCGGCGACGTCGTCACCGTCGCCGTCGCCGTCGCGACCGCCACCACCACCGAAGACGCCGCGACTCGCGGCGAAGTACGCGTGCGCGCGCGCGGGGACCGCCGCCGCGGTCGCGCGCGCGCGGCGACGACGACGACGAGGAGGGCGAGGAGCGTCGTCGCCGTCGCCGTCGTCGTCGCTCTCCTCCTCTTCTCCCGCGCCCGCGCCGCTCGGCGTCGTTTTCGCGCCGGTATCGCGTTCGCCGCCGTCGTGTGTGTCGCCGCCGTCGCACTGATCGTCGTCGCCACCGAACAGATCCCACGGCGCGGACATCGCCGCCGCGCGCGCCGCGGTGATGAGTACCTCGTATCGCCGCAGGTAACCCAGGAAAGTACTTGAAAGTACGAAGGTACGAAAGTACCTTCGTACCTTCGAAGGTATGAAAGTACGAAAGTACGAAAGTACTTTCGAAAGTACACGTACACGTACAGTACACGTACTTTCGTACCTTCGAAGGTTGTGTAGTTCCGGAAATACGTGTATCTATCTATACGTGTTCAGTAACAACTTAGATATCTTCGTTCGTATGAATACGAAAATAGATGCCTTCGTACTGTACCTTCGTACATGACTACAGGTGTACACGTACGTGTACCTGTACCTTCGTACTTTCGATAGTACATAAACACAAGCCCGGATGGATAGAGCTCAGCCTTTTTGTAATCAAATCTACACAACACGTACGAAAGTACTTTCGTACTTTCGTACTGACGAAGGTAAAAGACAACTTACTGTGTACACGTACACGTAGGCCCTACGTGTACACGTGTACGTGTACGTGTACGTGTACCTTCGAAGGTAGATCTGATTACAAAAAGACTCAGCTCAAACCCATCCGGGCTAAACATGTGAACTAGTGCGAGCAGACTACACTACACTACGGGCAATCCTCTCACGCAGTGAGCAACCCCACGATGGGATTCCTGAAACCCGTGTGAGCCTCACGAGCACACGGAGCCGGGGCGACGTGGAAGTCGCATGCTGTGTCGGGCTCCATGAATAGGATTTGCGCTGCCGCGCCTGCGTGGAAGTTTTCAGAGTCACGTGCGGTAAAGACAACTTACAGCTGTACACGTACCGTTGTACACGACACACTACAGTAAATTGATACGAAGGTACGAAAGTACGAAAGTACTTTCGTACTTTCGTACTACATAGTATTGGACTACGTGTACGTGTACGTGTACTGTACAGTACACGTACTGTACGTGTACTTATTCTTCTTGTCCCAGAGCACAGATTCGTCGTTGGCAAAACAGACTCGGCGTTACGAAACATTTGCCGTCTCTTGAGCTCGCGTACGCGACGCCGGAACTTCATGAAACCAGTTCCGAACATAAAAACACTTCATGAGTATATCGCGTGAACACATACGCGCATATTCAAAATCGCGCAGCACAAGAAAGAAACACGATTGCGTGCTTCGGCAGTAGAACTTCGCGGGTCGAGGCTGTTGTAGCGAAGAAAGTTGCTCTTTTACAAATCGACGCAGTCGCGCCAGTCTATGCTTCGAGCAAACGATTCATCAGACACGGACGCGGTCAATCAGCACACCTCGCGGGTGATGTTATCTAACACGCTGTTCAGTTACAGAGCTCAAAACGACTTCTGCGCGACGTTACAGCACACCGCACTCTCATCCTTTCTAACAGTATATCCTTTTGATGTGTTAGCCACTAGTCTAAGTTGTAGGAGCGCAAGGCGTGAGAGGGGGTCGTGTGTGGGCAGCACTGTACGAAGGTACGAAGGTAGCCGTGTACACATTTTGAAGGTGCGCGACGACCACACGCGCGTCGCCGTCGCCCCGAGCGTCGTCTCTCTTGTCACACAGGTAGCACCCCTCGCGCGCTGCCGACGCCCGCGAAGAACTTGTTGACGAGCGGAAGGTTGAAGAGCGACCCGATCACCTGCGACGCGGCTCGGTCAGTCTAAAGGAATCGTCGTCGAGTTTTAATCCGAAAAGAATACCGCCTCGGAAATCGCGCGCGACGTGCGAGGGAGGTCGCGTGGACACGGTCTAGAAGTGAAGTTTAGAGAAGAGAGAAGAGACGCGCACCGGCAGCCTCCGGAGGAACAACAAGACGACGGGGAGGAACCCGCTGAAGAGCAAGACGCCGCCGTATGCCTCCAAGCATATCCTGCACGCGAGTGGAACGGAACGAATCGTTGTTGAGTCAGTCGAACCGAACGAATCGCGGTCAAGTGCTGAGCCGGGACGACGCGGGGTGAACGGAGCTTGACCCCGCGTTCGTTTGAAACCGAGTGTGTTTGTTTGAAATCAAATCGAAAAGCGCGCGCACACCCGACGAACGGCCAGCCGAAGAGCACGAGCGCGAGGCCGCCTAGGAAGCAGACGGAGCCGCGGTGGTTTCCCCTGGAACACCAGTCGGGGTCATGGTCGGGGTCAGGGCATCAGGCTTCGGAAGCAACGCGACGGCGAGGGAGGGAGTGAAGCGATCGTCGGTCGGTTCGCTTCGCTTCGCGCGCGGGGAGACGGATATATTCGGGTCGACGCGCGCGGAAGAAACTCCTCAAGAAACGACGTTCAACGCGCGAAGGAGGTCGTATGGAGAGCAGTCACGAACGAACGCGCCTGCGGTTCACGAAAAACTTCAGCGCGCGCTTGCGTCCGATCGTGAGGCTCACGCCCGCGATGAACAGGACGTTCCCGAACGACAGCAGCGCGCGATCGAAGAAGAACAGCACCCCGAGGGCCATGAATAACACCCCGAACGACGTCAGCCCTATGCCGATCTTCTGTGTGTCGTCAGTCATCTTTCTCAACTCGATCTGACGGCGTGAATCTCTGCTCTTTCAAACTTCGGTCTCGAACGTTCACTCTTCGCTCTCTCGCGCGCTCTCCTCGCACGCGCGCGTCGATTCGACGAGGACAACGACGACGACGCGGACAGACGGACGGACGGATGTCTCGAGAGCCGCCGCGCGCTCGGCGGTCGCGCGCGCGCGCGTCTTCCTCTTCTTCTAACCCGACTTCGTCTCCCCGCGCGTGCTGCTCGCGACGCGGCGGATCTCGAGACGGCGCGCGAAGAGCAGCAGCGCGGGCGCAAGCAAGAGGAGCGCCTGCGATGTGGACGCAGATGTCAGATGATGACGCGGGCGACGAGGACGACGCGCGGCGCGACGAGAGACGAGAGACGAGAGACGACGCCGACGCCGACGTGTCGCTGGGACGACGACGCGACCGCCGCACCGAGAGCGCGAGCGCGCAAAGCGCGCTGATCCCCGCGACGAGGGACTCGACGCGCGCGCGGAGCGGCGCGAGGAGCGGCTCTGTGAGAGCGTGCAAGGTCTCGAACTCGTTCTCGTGGACGAACCGGACCATGCGACGACGCGCGCGCGCCTGCTGAGCGCAAGTGACGAAGGACCAGACGGGCACGAGTCGTGTACGAGGGACGGACGTACGAAGGTACGAAAGTACCACTGGAAGTACACACTATGATACTACGAGTACGTGTAACGCGTTGTACCTTCGTACACGGATGTGTGAACACGTACGAAGGTACACGACATAACGTGTACAGTACGTGTACGTGTACGTGTACGTGTAGTTCTGATTTTATGACTGAGCTCTATCCATCCAGCCAGTACGTGTACACAGATACACAATGGCCCTTCGTAGCTATTCTATACTTTCGTACGAAAGTACCTTCGTAGATAGTACGTGTACTTTCGTACCTTCGTACGAAAGTACTTTCGCAGATACATATCTTCGTAAACCGTTGTAGGGGTACGTGAGTGGTACGTGTACAGCTGTACACGTACAGTACGTGTACAGTGAACGTAGTGTACAACTATTCTATCTTCGCAGATAGATACTTTCGTACGAAAGTACTTTCGTACGAAAGTACTTTCGTACTTTCGTACAACGTTGTACGAAGGTACTGTGTACGAGTGTTGTACGGAAGTACTTTCGTACTTTCGTATCATACGAAAGTACTTTCGTACTTTCGTACTTTCGTACGAAAGTACAACTACATGTACAACTACGTGTACACGTACGTTGTCTGATAAAAGTTGTAGGGCCCAACGGACTTACTGTACACGTACACGTGTATGTGTACGTGTACAGTAAGTGTTGTGAAGGATCGTCTTATTTTATTACAACCATAATAACACGTGTACAGTACGTGTAGTTGTAGTGTACGTGTACAACGTACAGCTGTACGAAAGTACTTTCGTACACGTGTACGTTGTATCTTCGTACCTTCGAAGGTACTTTCGAAAGTACCTTCGAAGGTAGGGCCTAGGGCCTACACATTTTTGTATGTAGCTTTATTTAGTACAAGGTGGCCTGTGGGTGCGCTTCGCTGCACCGTAAAATTATCCGCGCTTCGCCTGTGACTCCACCGTGTGCCAGCGTGCTCCGCCTGCGCTGACGCGCGCTCCGCCCGTCGCGCCTTCGGCGCTCCAGTGGCGCGCTCCGCGCGCACCCCGGCGATTCCACCATCTGCCAGCGAGCATGCTCCGCCTGCGCTGGCGTGCTCTCCGCCTGTCGCGCCTTCGGCGCTCCAGTGGCGCGCTCCGCGCGCACCACCGCGACTCCATAATGCGTTAATGAAATCCGCCACATCCGCCGCGGGGCGCGGGGTCGCCGGTGGAGTTCCGAACGGGTCTACCGGCGACTGAGTCGCCGTCAGAGTCTCGAAGTGGTCCATGCGAGTGAGTTCCGAAGCCGCCACTCACCTGAGGAAGCGGCGAGGGTTGCGCGCGGTGCGCGTGGCGAACGCGCATCGCACTTTTGACGGTTCATAACTCGTCGAGTAGATTTGTTTGCCCGTAGCAACGCGCTTGCGCGGCTTCGTCATGCTTACCGCGGCCATGTTAGGGGCGCGTCGCATCGAATCGTCACTTGGGAGGTGCGCTTCGAGCGTCGCATCCGGTCGGGTTCAACCTGGACGCGCTCACGCGGTGGGGTTCTCCCCCGTGCGGGTCGGAATGCGCCCAGCCGCGTCTAGTACGGCACATAGCCCATATGGGTATTTAATTATCTCGCCTCTGATTGGCCAGAAACTCTGAGAAGCTCTGAGACGCGTCGTCGGTCGGTCGGTCGATGCCCGTTTTTCGAGCCCGTTTTTGATACCCGTTAAGTTTGGATTTTAGTACGTGTACGTTGTAGTGTAGACCTCAAGCCCTAAGGCTACACGACGCTACACGTGTACACGTACACGTGTACGAAGGTACTTTCGTACTTTCGTACGTTGTAAGTGCACAGTATTATCCCTACAGTACACGTACGTGTACATACGTGTACACGTACGTACAATTGTTGTCACCATTTCAAATCATCCTGATTTAAATTCTCGTCAGTCCCGCGGTTTTTTCAAATCGCCCCGCGCGACAACCCGCAGATCTCGCGCGCGCAGACGCGATGGCGGACCCCGACGCCGCGAGCGCGGCGCTCATCGCGAAGCTGATGGCGGAGGAGAACCCGTATGGCGACGAGGGCGATTACCTCGAGTACAACGACGACAGCGACGACGGCGACTACGGCAAGCCGAAGCGTAAGAAGAAGAAAAAGGCGCCACCGAAGCCGAAGCCGATCAAGGCGCCGAAGGAGCCGAAATCGCCGAAGGAACCGCAGGCGTCGAAGCGACCGCCGAGCGCGGTCGACACCAAACCGCAGGACGGCGAGAACGATGAGCACGCGGCGAACTGGATCGGCATCGCCGCCGCCGCGGGCGCGCCCGCGACGACGACGGTCGTCGTCGAGGAATTCACGGAGACGGGACGACGGAAGCGCAAGGACACGGGAGCGAAGCGCGAGAAGGCGCGCCCGTGGGACGAGACCGAGGAACGCCTCTTTCGCGAAGCGCTGACGCTTCACGGCCGCGACTGGCACGCGTGCGCCGCGCATGTCGGCACGAGAGACCACCGCGCATTCACGTCGCACGCGCAGAAATACTTCATCAAGTTGTGCCTCCAAGGAAAGCAGCTGCCGGTGAAAGTGCGAGAATCGGGCGACGGGTTCACGCTCTCGGGGAAGCCGCTCGATCCGACCAGCGCGGCGGCGAAGCAGTACGGGTTCAAGCCGGACACCGCGGGGCTGAGCGCGGAGCAGCTCGCGGAGATGCACGCGGCCGCGGCAAAGGAAAAGGCGCGCGCGAGAGAGGAGAAGGCGCGCGCGAAAGAGGAGAAGGCGCTCGCGAAGGAGGAGCGCGAGGAGGTTCGCGCGGCGGCGGCGGCAGAGCGCACGGCGAACCGTGCGACGGGCGGCTCGAAACGCGCGTATACTATGAAACGCGTCGATGATGACCGTTACGTTTCATCCGAGGACGATGCCCCGCCGCCGGAGCCGACGGAGTACGCGAAGAACCGCCCGAGAAGGGACGCCGCGGTGGCGTCAAACTTCCGCGACGCCGCGGGTGGCACGTTGGAGCTGCATCAGATGCGAAAGTTTTCCTCCGCGGCGCCCGGGTCGAAAACGCCCAACGCGCAGCCGTTCGCTCTGACCGTGTCCTCCGACGCGATGCTCATCATGGACCTCCACTCGCACCTGTGCGTCAACGAGGTCATTGGGTACCTGGGCGGGACTTGGAACGCGGCGACGAGGACGGTATCGATCGAGAAGGCGTTCCCGGGGCGGGGCGTCGCGTCTGGGAGCGACGTCGAGATGGACCCTGTCTGCGAGGTCGAGCTCAAGGCTCGCGTCGAGGCGGAGAAGCTCACCGTGGTCGGGTGGTACCACAGCCACCCCGTGTTCCAACCCACGCCCTCAGGCGTGGACGTCGACAACCAGCTCAACTACCAGGCTTTATTCCGCGACGCCGAGTGCGACGTCGAGCCGTTCGTCGGGTTCATCGTCGGCCCGTACGACGTCCGGTTGCCGTCGCCGACGTCGGAGGTGACGGCGTTTTGCGCCAAGCGTTTGAAGGGAGGCGGTGGCGTGAGAGACGTTCCGTACGCGTGCGAGTACGCGGTGACTGGCGGGTCTCTGTCGACCGAGAACGACGCCGCTCCCGCCGCTGCCGCCGCGACGACGATGACGACGACCGCGGCGGTCGGCGACGCCACGATAGAGGCGATGAAAGCTGTCGTTATCGCGAACGAGAACGTGGACGGCAGGGTCAACCCCACGGAGTTGTGGCGGCCGTTCGCGACGTATCTAAACGGTGTCGCCGGCGGTGGTCCGACGACGAAGCTCGCCAAGTTACGCGCGAGCCTGAACGCGCGGCTGCCCGCAGGGACGACGGAGCTCGAGCGCGAGGACGTGCTCGACGGCGTCGCGAAACAGATGCAGGAGTCGTGGAAGCTTGACCTCGGGTACTGAGGAAGGATAGAACATTGAGAGGGCGGTTCATCTGATGGCGGTGGCACTCTGCGGCGGGGGACGGGACCGCCCGCTGTGATAGCGCTGATCCCATATCTTTTCGCCCGCGCGGAACATTTTTTACATTTTTTTCTTCCAGTCGAGCGAAATTATTAAACCATCGATTTTTTAGTTAAGTACTGTATGCTCCGCTCAGTTTAGTCCGAGGCCTTAAGTTGTGTAGATTTGATTACAAAAAGACTGAGCTCTAACCCATCCGGGCAAAACATGTGGCCTTAAGTTGTACACGTACAGTACGGAAGTACCTTCGAAAGTACAAATATTTCGTACGGAACTACAAAGTACGGAAGTACTTTCGTACGAAAGTACCTTCGAGCGAGGGTACATAGCTACATACTCCTATCCGGAAGTACGAAAGTACTTCAGTACTTCGTACGGAAGTATCATACCTTCGTACGGAAGTACTTCCGTACTTCCGGAAGTACGTGTACGGAAGTGAGCCGCCCGACCGATCGAGCCTATTAAAAATGATCCCCGCGCATCAAGCTGACCGCGGCGGCCTTTCAAAGTTTGGACATAAATGGACAAAAATACAGTATGTCCAAATTTATGTCCAAATATGTTCATTTAGCGGCGAGGCAAGCTACTCGTACTGTACTGTACACGTAGTCTAACATTACGGAAGTCCTTCGTTCGTAGCTACATGCACTACAGTACACGTGTACTGTACAACTAGTGTACTGTGTGTAAATCTGATTACAAAAAGACTGAGCTCAAACCCATCCGGGCTAAACATGTGAACTAGTGCGAGCAGACTACACTACACTACGGGCAAACCTCTCACGTAGTAAGCAACCCCACCATGGGATTCCTGAAATCCGTGTGAGCCTCACGAGCACACGGAACCGAGGCGACGTGGAAGTCGCATGCTGTGTCAGGCTCCATGAATAGGATTTGCGCTGCCGCGCCCGCGTGGAAGTTTTCAGAGTCACGTGCGGTTCTGAGCGCGTACGAGATGGGCGCGCCAGCGATGCGATTCCCGATGTCGGATACGAGCGCGACGGAGATGTGGCCCATGATGCGTCGTTTCCAGTAGCTTTTGCTGCTCGCGATGGCGGAGAGCGTGGCCTACTGTACTGTACGTGTACGTGTACATGTAGGCCCTACGAAAAGGGGGTAGTCTCTCACATCGCATCCTATGGGCATTTTTCGTATGACTTTTTTGGCAGGCATGCAGTTTCATATTCTCGGAATTCGCAGGATTTCGTCGAATACTCCAAGGTTTTAATTGATCGGGTTATGGGCTGAGCTTACAACGATTCCATCGCGCAAGAGTTTATAAACTTCTCTTCAGCGGTGAAACTTCGCCTTATGGGTTGAAAGTTTTGATCGCCCCGATGAAAAAAAGAACTTTTTTTCCTCTCTCTTGGACGTGGCGACGGCGACCAGCGGTCGCGGCGGCAGGACGTCGACACGTCGGTCATTTACCGATGCAATCGCTTCATCACGCGCGTCGAAGACCCGCGCGCATCGCGCACGTCGTTTCCGGCGTCACATCCCGCCGTCGTGTACCGCGTCGTTCCGTATGACTTTTTGGTCAAGACCACCTCGGTTGACGATTTGCATTTTTTCCAGACTAAAAAGTCTAGTGCCCGAATACGTCCCGTTTGCCCGGAAGGGCTGTGTACATAGTAAAAGTCTCGTGCCCGAATACGTCACATTTGCCCGGAAGGGCTGTGTAGTGTACGAATACGTCACATTTGCCCGGAAGGGCTGTATGTGTAATAAACGTAAACCTGTACGTGTAGAGCTGTAGATACAGTACAGGTACAGGTAGTAGACACTATCTAACTATCATGGCGTCTGGTTAAACGTAGAGAGAAGAGGCCTAAACTCGTCGACTGTGCACACCGCTCCCACAGTCCGGGCGAGAGTCTCCGCGGAGACGCCGAGCGAACGCGCGAATACGCGAAGACCCTAGAGCCCGAACCCCCACCGGCGCCCGAGGCGCGTCGAACCCGAAGGCCGACGAGTGACGCGCGGATTCATTCGTTCACTCGCGCGTCGCGTCGTTCCTCGTCTGCCGCCGGCACCCCGTCGCGTCTCGCGAGCCGCTGCCGCCGCCCGCTGCTAAGAAAAAGAAAAAGAAAAAGAAGGAGGATGGGCAAACACGGACAGACGATGAACAAGAAGCGGAAGACGTCGCAGCGCGCGGCGAAGGAGAACGGCCGCGCGCTCAAGCTTCGAAAGGGCGGCGTCGACAGAAACAAGATCGAACTTCGCAAGGTGAAGAGACGACGAGACCGCACCCCGCGCGACCTCCCTCGCGCGTCGCGCGTCGACCCTTCGTCATCGGGACTTTGATATTTTGTTTTCACCCACCCGTCGCCTCGCCTCTCTCGGCTTCATCACGCGACGTTCGTTCGACCGCGTTCCTTTCGACTGACCGCGACGATGACGCGCATCGATCGAACCGACCGCAGGTTAGCGGCGTCTCGAGGACAGGGAAACAAGCGCGGAAGCAACTCAAGCTCGCGCGGCGAGCAGATAAGGAAAAGACGAAACGAGACGAAGACGAGAAGACGAGCGGCTGCGCGAAGAAGGACGTCACGGGGGACGTCGCGATGGCGGACTGACGTACGCGAGCAGTCTGCGGTCCACAAAACGGGGTCGCGCGGGACGCGGTCTGCCCAACGTGGTAGGCGCCGGCGCCTCGAGGAATCGTGCTGTGACGATGCTTATGATAAGACAAAGACACGTACACGCGTCGCGTCGTCCGACGTCCGACGTTCGCCCCGCGACGCGTCCTTGGTCGTCGGTCGGTTTTATCGAAAGCGAGCGTTCTTTCTCGTCGTCGGCGCGCGTGTGTGACTTCGCTCACACGATCTCCGCGTCGACAGACTCCGCCGCGTCGTCTTCGTCGTCCTTCTTCTTCGTCTCCTCCTTCTTCTTCTTCGTCTCGGGGACGAACCCGCCGGACGCGTCGGCGGTGCTCTTGTCGCCGACAGCCTCACCCATGAGCGCGAAGATCTTCGCCGCGAAATCCGCGGGCTGCTCAATCGTGAACCCGGACGTCAGCATCGCAGTGTCGAAGAGGAGCTCCGCGGTCGTCGCCGCGCTCGCGTCGCCGGCTTCCTGCTTCTTCTTCAGATCGAGAATCACCGCACTCGTTGGGTTGATCTCCATCGTCTTCTTGCCCTTCATGTATTCGCTCGCTCGCGAGTCGCCCATCGCCTGCGCTTTCATGATGCGCTCCATGTTCGCGGACCTGCGGGCGGGCGAACGGAACGTTCATCGGTCAGTCGCGGTGAAACGTAGGTACGTTGAAAGGAAGCAAACATAGGGTGGGCGAAGAGAAACGGCGGGAAACGCCCTCGAGCGAGCGAGGAACGACGTCATACGCGCGAGCGAGCGAGGTCGCATGGAAAGCGGTCACGCACCAGCCAAATTTGGACGTGACGAGGATGCACGGTGTCCCGGCGAGCCGCTTTGAGACGATCACCTTCTCGACCTTGTCCCCGAGCGAGGTTTTCATCCACGCCGTGAACGCGGCGTACTCCTCCTCGATCTCCTTGATTTTCGCCTTCTCCTCGTCGCTGTCCTCGCCGAGGTCCAAATCTTCCTTGGAGATGTCCACGAGCGTCTTTTCTTTAAACGACGCGAGGTTCGTCATCGTGACCTCGTCGATCGGGTCGATCAGGAACAAAACCTCAAAGCCCTTCTTCGTGAGCTGCTCCAAGAACGGCGAGTTTTCCGCCGCTTCGCGCGTGTCCGCGGCGACGTAGTAGATCGAGTTTTGCCCCTCCGGCATGTCCTCGACGTACGCGTCCAGGCCGCGGCTCTTCCCTTTCTCCGTCTTCGACGATTGGAACCTGAGAAGCGGCGCGAGCACCTCGCGGTTTGCGGCGTCTTCGATCACGCCGAGCTTGAGGTTCCTCCCAAACGCGTCCCAGAACGTGTCGTAATCATCGTTGTCGCGCTTGGAGATATCTTTCAACATGTCGAGCGTCTTCCGCACGAGGCGCTTGCGCATGACGCGAACGACGCGGCTCTCTTGCAAAATCTCACGAGACACGTTCAACGGCAAGTCGTTGCTGTCCACGACGCCCTTCACGAACGTGAGATACCGCGGCAGCAAAGAGTCGTCAAATTCGTCCGAGATGAACACTCTTCTAACGTACAGCTTGATCGCTTTCGACTTCGCCATCATGTCCTGCTGCTCGAACGGCGCCATCCCGGGCACGAACAGGATGGAACGGAACTCGATGTCGCCCTCCACGGCGAAGTGGTTCACCGCGAGAGGGTCCTGAAAAGGGTGAAGCGATCGAAATGCGTCGGTCAGTCGAACGTCGTATCGGTCAAACACACGTTGAAAGGGTAGCGCGGGTCGCGGGTGAAGAGAAACTCTCTCAAGGAAAAGTCAGGGTCCTCGATAAAACGACGCGCAACACGCGAACGGGTTCGTATGGGAAGCGGTCTCACCAAAAACTCCTTAAACGTCGTCTTGAAGAACGTGTCGTAAGACTCCTTCTCGACGTCCTTCGGGGACTTCACCCAGATCGGTTTGTCGTTGTTCGTGACCGTCCACTCCTGGACGTCTTCGTACTCCGTCTTCATCACCGCCTCCGGGGCCTCTTCCTCGAACGCCTCGCCCTTCGCCTCGGCTTCGATTTTTTTCTTGTTGTACGCCTCCATCGCCTCCGCGGTTTTCTCCGCGTCCTCCACCTCTTTCGGGACGCTCTTCGTCGCGAAGACTTCAATCGGGAACGAGATGAACTCGCTGTACGTCTGAACGAGGGACGTGATCTTCGCGTCGGACGCGAACTCCTCCGCGCCGTCTTTCAGGTGCAGCGTGATCTTCGTTCCGCGCGTCAGCGAAGCCTGCGGGTTGGGTCGGTCGGTTTCGCGAGGGGGGGGGCTGTTTAGTCGGAGCGTCGAACGTCGAAATGTCACCATTAGCGGGCAAAGATAAACTCTTCGAGAGACGATGCGCTACGCGCGAGGGAGGACGTATAGGCAGCAGTTGGAACTCGCCTGGTCCTCCGGCGACGCCTCGCGAATCGTGTACGAGCTCGCGCCGATCTCGGACTCCCACGTCCACGCCTTGTCGTCCGCCGCGTTCTTCGAGCTGACCGTGATCTTGTCCGCGACGAGAAACGCGGAGTAAAACCCGACGCCGAATTTTCCGATCAAATTTTCACCGTCGGACTTCGACTGCAGCATCTCCATGAATTTCGCAGTGCCCGAGCGCGCGATCGTCCCTAAAATTCGCAGAGGAGCGATCGCACAGCGGAAGAACACGTCGGTCAATCTAACGAACGTCTCACTCACCAGTCAAAGTCGGAGCGAAGTGGTTGAGCTGGAAGCGCGGGCGGGTGAAGAGACACAGAAGAGACACTCTAAACGACGCGCGACGCGCGAACGGGGTCGTACGGGAAGTGGTCTCGCGTTCTTCGTGCACGCGCCTAGGCTCGAGACGAGGTCGTCGCGGGTCATCCCGATTCCGGTGTCCTCGACGACGAGGAGATTGTTCTCCTTGTCGCCCTTGATCTTGATCTTCATGTCCGCGCTCGCGCTCATGACGGACGGGTCGCTCACCGCGGCGAAGCGGAGCTTATCGAGCGCGTCTGACGCGTTCGAGACGAGCTCGCGAAGGAACACGTCGCGGTTGCTGTAGAGCGAGTTGACGATGAGGTCGAGCAGTCGGTTCACCTCAGCCTGGTACTCGTACGTGTCGCCGCCGCCGTTCTCCGGAGACGGCGCGGGCGCGGGGTCGGAGGAAGGCGCATCGGTGACAGCACCGTCCGATTCCGCGCGGACGACGACGACGGCGGCGCGGCGCGGCGCGATTCGTCGGCGCGCGGCGGCGGCGGCGACGGGGCGCGCGGACGCGCGCGCGCGCGAGCTGGACGGACGCGGGAGAGAGCGGTGGGGGGAGGGGGGAGCGCGCGGTCAGATGTCGGTAGTTGGAGGCCGGCTCGGTGGCGCGGATGTCGGGAGGCGGGCGAGGACGCGACGCGGACGACGAGCGACGGCGATGGAAGGCTTTCGACGCGGACGACGATCCGCGGCGGATTCGCGTCGGTCAGTCAAACCCGTCCGCGAGCGATCGTCGCGTCGCCCGCGGCGGCGGAGGGCGCGGCGCACCTGAGCGCGCGAGGGGCGGCGACACGGAGCGTCGCTGCGGCGGTCTGCATCGAGAGCGCGCGTGTGTCTGGACGGGCGAGCGAGAGCGTTCACGTGGTGTCGACGCGCGTCGGGAAGTGTCGACGTCGTTCGCGCCGCAAGAAAGCTCGCGAAAAGTGTTTCTAAACCCTACACGTTGTACCCTACTGTACCCTAAACCCCCAGCCCCAGCCCGGACTCTCGCACCAAATAAACCTTATTAAATACCTTCGGAGGTACACGTACAGTACCTTCGTACCGTCGTACGAAAGTAAGTTGTTACTTTCGAAAGTACTTTCGTACGAAAGTACAATGTATTATTTTCGAAAATAGAATACAACGTTGTACTTTCGTATAAACAACTTACCTTCGAAGGTATGACAAACAAAACATATGTAGATTTCGATATTTAAATATTTTTCAGCTCGCGGAGAAAACAGCGTCGCAGGGCTGAACGCCGGCATTGGCGCCGCGCCGCGGCACCGCGCCACGGTCATGGCGCGCACGAGGCGACAAAATGGAAGGGAGAGAGGTCATCCGTGCGTTCCACTGGATGCTATGAAAGTTCAAGCGACGCGGTTTCCGTGAGCGCGAATCTGCTGACGCGATTGCGCGTTTCCGCGCTCCATTTCGTCGCGAGCGCGTGAAAAAATATTCTAATCGCAGAAATATATATTGCGCACGATGCGTATGGGAAGCAGTAACGAATGTAATTAAAATATTAAAATATCGAAATCTACTTATGTTTTGTTTGTCATACTTTCGAAAGTACTTTCAAAGTACTTTATTTCGAAAGTACGAAGGTAACAACTTACACTACGGAAATAGATAGAATACTTTATTTCGTACGAAAGTACGAAAGTACGAAAGTACTTTCGAAAGTACTTTCGTACTTTCGTACTTTCGTACTACAGTACACGTACACGTACACGTATAAAAACAACTTATGAAGGTAATACTTTCGTACAAAGGTATTATTTCCATACTTCCATAAACAACTTAGGGCTATCTATTTCCGATAAGTTGTTTTTATACAGTACAACTGTACTGTACGTGTACAACTACACTATCATAAATAAAAGAAGTTGTTTTATTCTATTTCCGGAAGTACGGAAGTACGTTAGGGCTACACGTGACGAGTTGTGCGAGTCGATGAACCAGCCTAGGTTCAAAATTTGCCGAGCCGATGAAACTTCTGTTCTACCGGTTTCAACAAACAATTTACCTTTCAACTCCCTTTCAAGAATGTTTTCACCCACCGCGATTCATCCGCCTCATTCGAAAAAACCAAAACCGCCCCGCATTCTTCGTCTTCTCGTTCTGTCCGTCGCGCACCGCACCGCAGCGCCCGTCGCGTCGTCGTCGTCGTCGTCCGCGGGTGCTTCGCGTCGCGCGCGCATCGTCCCGACAAGATGGCGCCTCCGAGGCGCGGAAGGAGCGCGCGCGTCGCGCGCGATGGCGCGACCGCGGGAGGAGACGCCGTCAGATCGTTTGACGACGCGGTCGTCGCGCGGATCGACGCGCTGAAGGCGAAGTGCGACGCGCTCACGGCGGAGCTGAGCTGGTTGAAGGCTGCGAACGCCGCGGTCGCGCCGCGCGCGGTCGGGGCGTCGCCGTCGGCGGGGCGCAAGCGCGCGCGCGTCGAGGATCCTACGTCGCTCGAGGAGGAGCTCATGACGACGACGACGCGTTTGCTCGCGCTACAGGACGCCGCTCGCGGTCTCGAAGAGCGCGAAGCCGCGCGCGAGCCACTCCTGGAGCGGCTCGCCGCGGACGCGCGCGACGTCTTCGTCGGGAACGTGCTCCCGCGGCTCGACGACGGCGACCTCGCGGTGCTCGCGACGGTGAACCGAAAGATGCGCGACGTCGTCTTCGATTCGCCAGTCGGAGACGTGAGGGACGTCGCGGCGGTGAGGAGAGAGCTCGCGAGGGTTCCTAACTTCGTCGGGTCGATCAGCAGGCTGGCGTGGGCGAAGGAGCGAGGGTGCCCGTGGTACGAGAAGACGTTCACGTGCATCGCGAGGGGTGGGAACGTGGATGTCGCGAAGTGGGCGAAGGAACGAGGATGCCCGTGGGTCGAAGTGGCTGACGCCCACGTTGTGTTAGACACCGCGGAAGGCGACCACCTGGAGGTTTGCGCCAGCGCCGCGGCAGGCGGCCACCTGGAGATGCTGCAGTGGGCGCGGGCGAACGGCGCTCCATGGGGTGAGAAGACTTTCGCCGATGCCGCGTTTGGCGGCCACATGGAGGTGCTGCGGTGGTTGCGAGCGAACGACTGTCCGTGGGACGAGGAGACTTGCCGCGACGCCGCGGAAGGCGGCCACCTGGCGGTACTGCAGTGGGCGCGCGCGAACGGCGCTCCGTGGAACGAGGGTACTTGCGACAGTGCCGCGTTTGGCGGCCACCTGGAGGTGTTGCAGTGGGCGCGCGCGAACGGCGCTCCGTGGGACGAGGACACTTGCGCCTACGCCGCGCTTCGAGGCCACCTGGAGGTGCTGCAGTGGGCGCGAGCGAACGGCGCTCCGTGTGACAAGGAGACTTGTCGCGATGCCGCGGGTGGCGGCCACCTGGAGGTGTTGCAGTGGGCGCGAGCGAACGGCTGTCCGTGGGACGAGGGAACTTGCCGCAGCGCCGCGCTTCACGGCCAACTGGAGGTGTTTCAGTGGGCGCGAGCGAACGGCTGTCCGTGGAATCCGGAGCTATGCGAATCCCTAGCCCGAATGAGGGGGCACAAGGATGCCCTGCAGTGGATAGTAGCTGCGGAGGTAGGAGAGGGGGCGTAGTCGCGAAGCGACGGTGCGCGGCGCGGCGCGGCGTTTGTTTTTTTTCACCGCGCCACGCTCAGTCGGCGACGGCGCGGCGGGTGCGTGTGCGAGTAGCTCTAGTAGTAGACCGTGTCGTGGCGATGCGCTTCGCGTCCCTCGCTCGCTCCTCCGCGACCGCGCCGGTCTCCTCTCTTCGTTCTCTCCCGCGCGTCGTCGTTCGTTCAGTTGCTTTCTTGCTCTGGTCAACGATAAGCTCTTCACCAGGAGTATATATACTCGTATCGTTCAGACTTTTACTACGAGTACGTTTTACTGCTGTCCACCGTGCAATAGTCACTCCCGTAGACGTATTCTCAGCAACCTCGACGTCGAGAGCGCGCGCCGGGTCTTCTTCCGTCGATGATACAGGCTGGGCCGGGCGAGGCGCTGATGATGAGCCAACGTTTGAAGGTGGGGGCGCGACCAATACGTTGTTTGTAGGAAAGAGTCGGCACACTCTGTTGTTTCTACAACCCGCACACCAGAAGTCGCGGTCTTTTCCGCTTTCACTTTTGCAGGACTGCTTCTTCGGCCTTCCCCCAGGGCGAGGAACACCTAAGAGGGAAGTCGCGGCGGCTTGTGCGGCCTCCTGGGCGACGAAAGCGCTGTCGTCCATAACTTCTCACTGTTTGCTCATACAAAACGACCTTCGATGTTTGCGCCGTCGCCGCCTCTGCGGAAAAGTACACGCGCCGCGCCGACGAAGAACGTCACAGTGACGTACAGTATACTAAAAATACGTTCGCCATGGTTTTCCGCAGCATGTACGCGCGCGCACGAGCGTTTACAGATATTCACAGGCAAACAGTCTGAAATTGGCAGATTTGGCGAAAATTAGAATAATTGCTCATACAAAATGTACTACGGCAAAAATTTTGCTCATCGACTCGCACAACTCGTCACGTACAACTAGTGTACATGTACTTTCGAGAGTATTGTATGTAATGTATACTTTCGTACTTCCGGAAGTACAACAACGCGGTACTTCCGTACAACGTTGTACTTCCGTACTTCCGAAGTACTTTCGTACGTGCACACTGCACAGTGTAGATCTGATTACAAAAAGACTTGAGCTCTATACCCATCCGGGCTAAACATGTGACCTATTGCGAGCAGACTACAGTACGTGTACACGTACTTTCGTACGAAAGTACTTCCGGAAGTACTTTCGTATGATACGAAAATACTTTCGTACGAAAGTACACGTACAAATATGAGGACGATCAATTGATCGGCGTGGGATGAGTTTGGCAGTTTCTCCGGTGAAACTGATCGATTGAGTTTAGAGCGAGCCCCCTTTACCGTGCAGCGAACTAGCGAAGTGCACCCACAGGCCACAAAAGAATGTTCCTTTTCTAAACGCGAGTTCCTTTTCTAAACGCGAGTTCCTTTTCTAAACGCGAGGAACAAAAAATGAACCAATCCTTTTCTAAACGCGAGGAACAAAAAAATGAACCACGTAGAAAATAGGAACCTCTCAGGGGGCACACTAAATATCCCAGATTGGAATTTGGGCCCATCAACAGGTTACGTATGGGCAATCAGTCAGTGTCACGTTTCTGTCACGATCTTTCGTATGGGCACTTCAGTCAGAGGTGGATCCGTTCTGGCGCGTTTTTCCGTATGGGCATTTCAGTCAGCGAGGTCGCGTTCGGAGAATAAAAGTTCCCTAGGGGTCCGAAAACGGTCTTCCCGTCTTTTTCTTGCCGCGCAAATGCACGTATCTGGTGTCTAAAATCGCAAATGGCTGCTGTGCAAAGTTTCAGGTCAATTCAAGCTGCGGCGGCGCATGGGGAAGCGCGGACGTGAGGGGGCGCGTCTGACTGACGCTCGTACGAATTTTGAATTAAAAAATCGCAAATTAATTTTGTGTTAATTTGGCCGATACGCGGCTGACTGGGCGTCATACGATTTTCACTTAGGGCAACTGGTCTATTACAGTACAGACCAAATACAGTACTCATGTGTGCAAGTTTGGGAGAAGGTTTACCCTTCTCCCATCTAGGCATTTTTCCCGACCTAGGGACGAAAATTTCAACCAATCAAATGCGTTTGGCGCCCCGTATCCAAAAGGCGGCCTCTGTAAGTCTGTTAGTCTGAAATGAGTACGCGAATTTCGTACTACGCGGAAACTGCACCTCGGGACGTGACGATGAAGTACCAAACTTTCGTACTCTTCAGACTAAATACGCTCCCGGGCCCCTTCTCCCAACTACCGACGGCCGAAGCGCCGGAGGCGCTGATCGGATACGAGTAGAAACTTTTCATACTGTACTGTACACGTACGTGTAGTAAAATACTCACATACCGAGACGAAGACTCGCCGGGCACTTCTTGTACAGTACTTTTAAAGTACGTGTACTTTCGAAAGTACTTTCGTACCTTCGTACTTACGTGTACTCCGAGTCGCGCATCACCGCGTCACCGCGTACGCGTCGCGCGCGCTCGCGACGCGCCGGTCGCGAACCCCGTCGGGGTAGCTGCTATGTCGCACGAGAACGTCTTCCACGCGGAGAAGCACTGCAACGACGCGATACACAACCCATCGCGCGCGGGGACGTCGCACACGGATCGCGAGATACAGGCCGCGGCGGATCTCATCGGGCGCGACGCGGTCGTCGTCACCGCGACGCGCGCAAGGCGCGAGGGCAAACGACGCGCGCGCGAGACGCTCGTGAATGACGTGTGCGCGCGCGGTGAAGCACTCGGGGACGGATGCGTGCTCCTCGGCGCGGGGGGGGAACGGGGAGGACGCTACGACGCGACGAGGAAAAAAAATAAAAAATTCGACGGCGTCGTCGCGCGCGTCGACACGAGCGCTCTGCCCGGGGGGGACAGCGGGAATGCGGAACGTCAACCGTCGCGACGACGACTAGGAGTGCTCGACCACGCGAACAGGTGGAAGACGGAGGCGCGGATCGTCGCAGGGGGGACCGCGGGCGCGCGCGCGCTCCGAGATGCGCGCGCGGCAGCGAAGGCGAGTCCGTAGCAGACTGATCCCACACGACCTCCCTCGCGCGTCGAACGTCGTTTCTCGAGGACTTTCTCTTCCCCACGTTCGCACTTTCGACATTTCGTCTCGTCTCGTTCCGCCACACGCGCGACAAATCCCGCCGTTCAACTGACCGATGAAATTAAAACCTCCGATGAACGCTCGCGCCCGACCCCTCCGGCACCGCAGACGCTCGACGGGACAAACGCCTGCGGCGCTCTTCCGGAGACGTCGCGTCCGACGCGCGAAAACGAAAACGAGGAGGACGCGCCGGTGATCGTCCCCCAGGAGGACCTCGAGTTCGGCGAGGACGGCTGGAGCGTCGGCGCTGTGGAGGTCCTGCCGAATGAATCGACGCGGCTTGAGAGAGGGCGTGCGGAAAGTCGTTTCGTATATGACTTTAGTCAGGAAATTCGCGCGGCTGTGAGCGGACTTCTCCGCGCCGGCGACGTCCTCGAGCGTTCGCACGGCGCGGGGAACGACGACATGAGAAGAGCAGCGAGTCCGCCGACTCGCCGCGAAGACGAAGAAGCGGCGGCGGCGGCGGCGGCGCGAGACGCGAGGCTCGAGGCAAAACGCGCGAGCTTTCGAATCCAACGCGACCGCGCGGGGAGGAGTCCCGATCGCGAGAGAACGAATGAGAAGACGGAGAAGAAGAAGAGAATCGTGGTCGTATCGTTCGACGTGGACGAGGATGGTTGACGTGGCGCGTGCGAGGGAACCCCGTCGACCTCAAACGGCATGCGGTGCGAGAGTATTTGATGATAACGTGCCCGGGCGATGATTACGACCCGCCATCTGCATAGCCCTACATGTCCGAGTAGTAGGTGGATTACATGTACACGTGTACATGTACGTGTACTTCCGTACGAAGGTAGGGCTACTTCCCGAAGTATCTATACCTTCGAAGGACCTTCAAAGGTACGGAAGTACCTTCGTACAACGTTTGACTGTACGACGAAGGCATGTTGGAAAGTACTTGATCACATTCAAAACGTGCGAACAGAACCCGCCGCTTGCGTCTCTCGCCTCGCCTCGCTCATTCCGCGTCGTCGCGAATGCTCGCGAGCATCTCGCACAGTCGGTCTAATCCGGCGCTGAAATTCGCGTCGAGCTCCCCGCGCGCGTCGACGTAGTTGCAAAAGTCGATCACGCACACCCTCACGCCTTTCCGCGTCGGACGCGGAAGCGAGACTCCTTCCCATACGCTTCCGTTCGCGTGTTGTGCGTCGTTTCTTGAGGACTTTGGACACGTCGTTGCCGCCGCCGCGCCCGCGGCTTCGACGACGCCGTCCCCTTCTCCTTCGTCGTCGTCGTCGTCGCCCTCATAGACGACGAGAACCGAGCTTCCCAACAAGTGCAGCGTTCGCTGCGCGGCGAACCACCGCCGCAACCCGGCGAGGCGCTCGAGCGCTTCGCCGTAGACTTCCTTCGCGCGGCTGCGGATACGTCCGACATCTTCGCCGGCGAGGCGACGTCGACGCGCCGGCGTCTGCTGCTGCGCGTCCCCGAATGCGTCCACCGCCGTCGGGCTGCCGTCGCGCGACGACGGCGACGCCTTGAGAAGAACCGAGCTCTGACCCGCGGATCCGTTCGCGCGGGACGCCTCCGCATGCGATGCCGACACCGTGTCCGACGCGTATTCAGGATCGAGCGCGCCGTCGCTCGCGTATTCATCAGACGCATCGTCGTCGAACGCGTCGTCGTCGTCCGGAGCGCGCACGAACTCTTCGAGCGCGCTTCGAACGTCGTCGACCCCGCGCAGCTCCCTCGCCCACTCGTACGGCCGTCGTCGCTGCGTCCAGCCGCCGTCCCGATTCGCTGCGGAACGAAGCGACGATACGGTCGGTCGGTCGGTCAGTTGAACGGATGGCGTCGCGGTCGAACGTTGAAACTGAGGGGAGACGGGTGAAGATGCGCGGCGGCGAACGTCCTTAAGGATCGACCCAAAACACGCGCACGGGGTCGTATGGGAAACAGTCTCACCTGGGGCGTGTCCTCTCTTAGTCTTCGTCCGCCTGCCCCACGTCTGCATCCCGCACACTTTAAATCCCACGCTCGCCTGCCCGCTTCGCTCGTCGTGCGCGCATCGCTTCGCGATGTACGCGTCGTCGTGCCCCGTTTCGCTGTATGTCCGTAGGCCGACCTTGAGGTCGATGACGCACGGTCGTCTGTACCCGGAGCACACGTCCTCGAGTCTGTTGAAAGGGGACGGTCGAAAGGGGGCACGGTCAAACTTTAAAATCGATGGGAGACAGGTGAAAAAAAATAAAGTAAAGTCCTCGAGGAACGACGTTCAGCGCGCGAGGGATGTCGCATGAGGAGCAGTCTCGAACGAACGCGCCTGAGAAAGGTGAGCGCGTCGCCCGCGGCGGCCGCGTCTCTCGCCGCCGCGGCGGTTGGATCGTCGCGCGCGACCTGCGAAGGAGGTACAGTGGCGGTCGACGTTCCGTATTCCGCGTCAGCCGGATTCGGATTCTAGAGCGCGGTCCGCGAGATGAAGACAGATCATGTACGTAACAAAAAAAAACAGTCGCGCACCTCGACGATGCCCGCGGCGGCGACGACGCGTGTGCCCGCGTACGCGGGGACGTACGGCGCGAAACCCGCGAGCGCGCGCGACGGAGAGGACAGAAGAAACGACGACGACGAAGACGGATCGCCGTGCGCGTCCCCTCCGTCCTCCGCCGCCTCGCGCGAAGACGACGACGACGACGAGGACGCGCGATGCACCGCGCGATAGAACGCGAGCTCGGCGTCGCCCTTGCGATCGCCCACCGCGCACGGCTTGAGAAAGTGCCCGCGGCCGTCAACGAGAGACGGGAGCCCGACGCCCTTGCTGCTGTGACCTGCGACCTGGTACGGCGCGACGCGGAGGAAGACGTCGTCCGAGCCCGATGTTTCTCCTCCCGCGGCGTCCGAGGCGGCCTCGCGATGGGTCTGGATCGCGCGCTCCGGGGTTGGGATCGCGTGCTCGACGAACGGCGACGGCGACGGCGACGGCGACAGCGCGGACGCGAGAGGCGCGGAGGGGGGTGCCCACGCGGGGGTGCCTACCGCGTACGTCGCCATACCGTGGCCGGCGAGAGTGGCGTCTCAAGATCGGCTTCGATTTTTTTTTTTGCATTTTTTTTCTACAATGTTATGTGTACGTGTCGTGTACAACGTTAGTGTACAACGCGTTACACGTACACGTAATCAGATACCTTCGAAGGTACGAAAGTACCTTCGAAGGTACGAAAGTACCTTCGTACACACTAATAGAATACACGTACTGTACGTGTACACGTACACGTACGTGTACATGTACTGTACACATTAACGTTTATACTATTAACAAGCTACGAAGGTACAACGTTGTAGACGTTTAACAGATATTGAAGTACCTTCGTAGTACTGTACACATAGTGTAGTGTACGTGTACAGTACTGTAGGCGTAGATCTGATTACAATAAGACTGAACTCTATCCATCCGGGCAAAACATGTGACCAAGTGCGAGCAAACTACTCTACGGGTAATCCTCACACGCAGTAAGCAACCCCACGATGGGATTCCTGAGACCCGTGTGAGTCTCACGAGCACACGGAGCCGGGGCGACGTGGAAATCGCATGCTGTGTCAGGCTCCATGAAGAGGAGGATTTGCGCTGCCGCGCCCGCGTGGAAGTTTTCAGAGTCACGTGCGGTTCTGAGTTGTTTATCTTGCTTCGACCTGTAGCCATAGTGTGGAATATCTTCGAAGGTACATGTACAACTTTTACTTCCGTATGATACTTCCATAAATATGGCTATTAATAATATACTGGTACTTTCGTACTTTCGTACACTACACGTACGTGTACAGTACACGTACTGTACAACGTTGTACACGTACATGTACAACGTACACGTACGCGTACATTTTTTTTTTCGAAAATCGCGAATTACCCCACAATGCACTGTACGTGTACTTGTACAGTAAGGTACAGTACACGTGTACACGTAGTCCTCTAAGTAATTCGAAAAAAACCAGCAAAAACACGTACGTGTACTCGTGATACGAATTTGGAATAAAGAAATCGCAAATTATCCTATAATTTGGCAAAATAATTTGGTGACTAAGCGCAACTGGTCTTACTAAGTAGTCTGCCCTATCCGAGACGCGTCGTCGTCCCCTCCCCGACGCGGCGCGTCCGCCGCGCCACTCGCTCCCGCGCCGGCGCACGCCGACAGCGCGCCCGCCTCCACCTCGACGAACCGGTCTCTCCGTCGCCGCCGCGCCTCGCGCCTCGCGCGTCCCGCCCCGTCTCGTCCTCCGCGTCGATCGATCGTATCGTTCGATGGCTTCCGTCGTCGTCGTCGCGTCGCCGGCCGTCCGTCCCCGCGTCGTCACGCTTCGCGCGTCGCGTCCGCGCACCGCGACGATCGTCAACGCATCCGCCTCCGCGCCGTCGTCGTCATCGTCCACGCGCCGCGTCGCGCTCCTGACTCCCGCGCTCGCGGGCGCGTTCGTCGCCGCGATCGGCGCGGGATCCCTCGCGGGCCCTCGCCCCGCGCGCGCGGACTCGCTCCCGGACGAGCAGGACGTCAAGCTCCTGTGCGACGCCGCATGCGAGGAGACGTTGAAGACCGCGGAGCTGGTCACGACACCGTCGGGGTTGCAGTATCGAGACGTCGTCGTCGGCGACGGCGCGAAGCCGGAGCCCGGGTTCCAGGCGCGTGTACTGGTCCCGCACGAACCGATCACCTGCCCCCATCCCTTCGTTTCGTTTCGACGTTTGATCGACGCGACGCGTGGCGTCAGCATTTCAATTGACCGATGAACACACATATTTTGTATGGAATCGTCCCGTCGTTCTTTCATCAGGTCGTCGTGGATTACATCGCGAAGAACGAGGCTGGGCTGATCTTCGACAACTCTCTGGAGAAGGGAAAGCCGAACGACATCCGCGTCACAGGGGACCCGACGAGCTCGCTCGTGATCCCCGGTGCGCGACGTGATCCCCGTCCGTCTTCGGATTAATCGCCGTACACGCCATGCGATCTCCCTCCCTCTCCGCCCCGCCCCCTAACCCCCGACGAATCCATCAGATCCATTCAAGAGTTCGACTGACAGGAGCGAAAAACGAACGCGAGACTACTTCCCATACACTCCCATTCGCGTGTTCAACGTCGTTTCTTAAGGACTTTTCCCGCCGCCGCCTGCCCGCCGCAGGCTTGGATGAAGGGATACTCACCATGCGAAGCGGCGGGGTTCGGAGGCTCTACATCCCCGGTGAGCTCGCGTTCCCGAAAGGGCTCGCATCCGCGCCCGGGCGCCCGAGGATCTCGCCATTTTCCCCGGTCGTGTTCGACGTGAAGCTCATTTACATCCCGGGGTTGGAGTGAGGGGGCGCGAGTACGTACTCTGTGGGGTTTTAGGCTGATTCGAATCACGGCAACTCGTCGAACGAATCTGATTCGGGGGAGTCAGAGTAAGGATTATCGAAATTGAAACGGAAATCGAACGAATGAATTAATTAATAGTCGTCCCCGCGCGTCAGCACCTCCTTGCACGTCGGCCGCAGCATGATCGTGTGCTCGTACTGCGCGACGTAGCTTCCCTTTACGTCCACGAGCGGCGGGTACGGCTGTATGATCCCGTTGTCGCACAAATTTTTCAGCGCCATGAGATACTTTGTCTCCCCGATGCGATCTAAGAACCGACGGCAAAACGCGAGCGTGCCAAAGTTGCGATCGATCGTCCCAAGGAGCTGCAAAAGATTACGCGCGCGCGAATGTTGTTAGGTCGGTCATCGGTGGTCAGTCGAAAGGTAGGCGTCGCAATCGATCGAACTTTGAAACCGCCCGCCGAGGGGAGAAGATGAGATGGGCAGGCGGGCGAAAGTGAAAAAAAAGGTGACGGAACGGAATGCAACCTGCTTCGCGCGCGGCAGCCGCAGTGGGACGTGGCCGACGTCGTAGTTTTTCATGTAATGCGAGCATTCCATGTCTTCGCGGACGTACCTGCGGAAAGGGAAGCGGGAACGGAGGGTGTATGTTTCGGTTTAGGTTTAAGGGTTAGGGTTTACGGATAGGGTTCGACGAAGTCGGCGGGGCGTAAGCGCGAGTCCCGCCGGGAAAGACGAATACAAAATGTAAAGGCGAATGGAGGCCGCAACGGCTCTTGGACGCCGGTCGCGGTACTATGATGCCGATAAAGTCACTGTGCGGACGGGGATGAGTTCGATCACGTCGCGCGGGCGGGAGAGGAAAAACTCCTCCCTCGAGGTAAAGCCACTAGCCAACGAATGGCGGCGATTGCCCAGTGCAACGTGACCCGACCGGAGGGGCGGGGAAGGGCGGGGCGAGAGCAGAGGAAAAAAATCGATAAACGAAAGACGCTCGATCGAAACGAAATGCAACCAAAAACACACCCTTTCCCCGTGCTCCCGAACGTCTCGATCGCATAAAACTCCCCTTCCTCCATCTTCGTCGTCTCTCCGCCGCGCACAATCGGTACGGACTTCCCCGCGTGAATCTGATACGGCGCGATGGAGTGCCCGTTCAGGTTGCGGCAGCACTGAGGGTGATTCGATAGTACAAATGATGTTGCTCATCGTTCAGTTAAAATGCGTCGCGGTCCAGGTTTGAAACCGAGGGGAGATACTTGGATGGAAAGAGTCCGTCCTCGAGAAACGACGTTCAACACAAGAGGGAGGTCGCATGGGGAGCAGTCCCTCGGGTTGAACGAACAAACGCACGCACCTTCACGTCGAACGTCTTTCCGTCGAGCTCGATCTGATGCGACTCCATGACCTCCTCGATCGCCTCGCCGATGTCGCACAGCCGGACGTCGATCCCAGACTCTTTTATACCACACTCCGTCGCCTCTCTCACTGCGAGCAGAAGCGGGTCGTACCTCGGCGTGAAAGTCTTCGTGAACGCGCAGTCTATGATGCGCCCGTTGATTTGCGTGCCGAAATCAAATTTGATGACGTCGTCTCTCTCGACAACGGTTTCGTCGCCGCCGTTCGGGGTCCAGTGCGCGGCGACGTGGTTCCGCGAGCAACCGGTAGGGAACGCGATCCCGGCCTCGAGCCCGCGCTCTTGGATCAGCGTTCGCACCGAGTTCTCCAGGCGCTCGCACACGTCAATTAATTTCATCCCGGGCTGACGCGGGGATCGGTCAGAAACGTTCATCGGTCAGTTGAACGGCGTCTGGTCGAACGTCGAAACCGAGGGTGTGGGTGTGGGAGAAAAAAAAAGAGTAAAAGATTCGAGCCGAGGGCGCACCTGCACCCACGCGTCGACGTGCTTGCGAACCTCGCGGTGCACCTCCGCGCACTGCCGCACCTCGTTGTACATGTTTGCGTTCAGGCGCTCGAGTTCGCGCTTCTCCTCGCTCGTCTCGCGCCAGAGGTTGTCGTCGCGGTACCGCTGTATCTCCCCTGGAGGGAAGACGTCGTCGAAGAGGATCGAGACCGGGACCGACGGCGGGGAGGTTTGGCCGGCCGCGCCGCTGCCGCGCGCGCCGTCGCCGCCGCCGCCGCCACCGCCGCTTTTTTTTTTCTTTTTTTTTTTCTTCTTCTTCTTCGCGGCGGTCTCAACGGTCGCGTCCGTCGCCGCCGCGGGGTCGTCCGCGTCGTCGTCGGCGGCGGCGGCGGCGGCCGCGTCCACGTCCGCGTCCGCGTCGGCGCCGTCGTCGACGCGGAGATTTTCGCGGATCTCGTCGGCGACGGCGTCGGTCGCCGCGGCCATGACGGGAGGGAGAGACTCGGACGGCGCGAGACGCGCGCAGTTCGCGTTCGCGTTGCGCGATGTGCGACGGGAAGGACGAGCGGCGCGTCCGGACGCGTCCAGCGGTCTGGTCTTGTCGTGCTGACCTACAGTACGTGTACTCGTAGCAGCTACGAAAGTACTTTCGTATGAAAGTACGAAAGTACGAAAGTACGAAAGTACTTTCGTACTTTAGTACTTTCGTACACGCACTTTCGAAAGTACGAAAGTACTTTCGAAAGTATTTACCTTCGAAGGTACTTTCGTACTTTCGTACTTTCGTACAACAGTAAATACAGGTAGCTAGCTAGCTAGCTAGCCAGAGCAGTGCTAGAGCATTTGTAGTTCGTAGCTAGCTAGCTAGCTAGCTAGCTAGCTAGCTAGTACCTTCAAAGGTACGAAAGTACTTTCGTACGAAGGTACAGTAGGTACTTTCGAAAGTAGCTAGCTAGCTACGCGTGTACGAAGGTAGTAGGTGTACCTTCGAAGGTACACCTAAGTACAGTATCATTCATAGATAGATATCTTCGAAGATAAAAGTTGTCATCTTCGAAGATAATACCTAACAACTTACTGTAGTGTACCTTCTCGTAGGTATGATATGATAGCAACTACGAAAGTACTTTCGAAAGTACCTTCGAAGGTACACGACTACACGTAGTCTAGAGCTACCTTCGAAGGTAGCTATCTTTTATGAGTCACGTACTGTACACGTACGTGAGTCGTACGTGTAGCTAGCTAGCTACTAGATACCTGTATTAGCCTTACCTGGCCTACTGTATGATATCATACTTGTATCTTGTACGAAAGTACTTTCGAAAGTACTTTCGTACCTTCGTAGATATCATACAGTAAACGTGACTCTGAAAACTTCCACGCGGGCGCGGCAGCGCAAATCCTTTTTATGGAGCCCGACACTGCTGGCGATTTCCACATCGCCCCGGCTTCGTGCGCTCGTGAGGCTCACATGGGTTCCATGAATCCCGTCGTGGGGTTGCTTACTACGTGAGAGGATTGTTCGTAGTGCGGTCTGCTCGCTTCTAGATCACATGTTTTACCCGGATGGGTTAGAGCTCAGTCTTTTTGTAATCAGATCTATACGTAGATATCATAAAAGATAGTGTACGTGTACAGTACGTGTACACGTACTACGAGTACGTGTACAGTACGTGACTACGTGTACATATGAAAAGACGAAAAGGCCGGGCTCCTGTCAGCCAGGGCAGGGAGAGAAGACCGGACGCAGCACGCGGACAGACCGGATAGCCCGAGCCGAGCGCCCGACTCCTGGCACGCTCTTCGTCGCAAGATGCTCCGCCGACGCGCGTTCGCGCTCGCGGCCGAGCACGCCGCGCGCTGCGAGCGCGCGGCCGCCGCGCGCGCGCTCCTCATCGCGCGATCCCGCGCGGCGAACTCGGCGACGACGACGGCGACGACGACGCGTGCGCTCTATCGCGCGCCGTTCGCGACGCTCGCCGCGCCCGCGCCGCCGCCCTCGCGCGCCAGAGGCTTCGCGTGCTCTGCTCGCGCGTCCCTCGCGCCCGCGGGCCGCGACCCCGCGTCGCGCGCGAGCGCACGCGCCGCCGCCGCCGCGTCGTCGGAATCCGCGAAGTCCGCGCGAGCGGACGTCGCGACGACGCGCGGGGGAACGTACGACGAGATCACGGACAAGTGGATCCCGGAGAAGCCCGTGACCGCGGTCGAGTCCGTGTCGTACGGCGCCGTCGCCCTCGTCGGCGTCGGCGTCGCCGTGGGAGCGCTGTGGTACGGCATCGGCGAGCTCCTCTTCGCGCCTCCCGCGCAGGCGGCGTTCGACGAGGCGCTTCTGTTGCTCGAACGAGACCCGCGGATCGCCGTTCGCGTCGGGACGCCGATGACGTCGTACGGCAACGAAGGCAGATCGCGACGGGGGCGACAGCAGCTCGCGCACGCGACGGAGGTGGACGGGCACGGGAACGAGTGGATTATCGCGCAGGGAGCCGTGCGCGGGCCGCAAGGAAGAGGCGCGGTGCATCTGAAGGCGAGGAAAGACAAAGAGAGCGGGGAGTGGGTGTTCGCGTACGTCGCCGTGGACGTGCGCTTGAGCGGTAATCGGGCGGAGCGCGTGATGGTCGTCGAGCAGAGGCAAGGGCCGGGGATCATGCGGGCGGTGGAGTAGCGAACTCGCGGCGACGGCGGCGGGGGACGGAGACCGTCGCGAACGGAACGGATCGCGCTACGGGCGCGATTTTCCTCCCCGCCCTCCCGACGTCGGCGTTTCGTCTCGTGTACTAAGATGATCTCCTCACTTCTATCCGTCCCGGGCGAGGCCGACCGTTCTCCTCTAATCCCATGCTCGTCATCTCGACGCGTAAATCGTCAAGATCCCTCTGGCTCATTCCTCGCAGCGCGCACGCGAACGTCTGAGGCGAAGTCGGGGTGGAGTTCAAAGTCGTCAGATGGAGTCGATAGGTGTCGAGGTCGGGGATTGAAACCGAGGGTTGGGCGGAGAGAAACGCCGGACAAAGTCCTCAAGGAACGGCGTGCACCGCGCGAACGCGGTCGCACGGGGAGCGGTGCGTAGGACGCACCTCCACGTCTGGGGCGCCGAACACGCTCGCGACGGCGACGGACGCTCTCGGATCCAGTCGCGCCGCCAGAGCGGTCGCCTCCGCGGGCGTCACGCGTTCCGTCATCAGCGTTCGCACGAACGCGGTCGCCGCGCGATCGGATATGTCTTGCCGTTGTTCGTCCAGGTCCAGGTCGGCGCAGGTCTGTCGGTCGGCGCCCAAGTTTCGCGCGTCCGACGTCGACGTCGCTGGGGCGTGCGTCGTTCGCGAATCCGCCACGGCGGCGTCCCCCGCGCGCGACGTCGCCGCTTTGTGCTCGTCGTCGTCGTAATACCACACGGTGAACGAGTGCCTGGTCGCGTGCGATGGCAGCACCTCGTGCGGGATCTCGTCCGAGTAGAACATCGCGAGCGTGCCCCCTGCGGGGGTCACGCTCGTCACTCGGCCGCCGCCTCGGTCGCCGTCGCCATCGCCGTTGCCGTCGCGGTCGTACACCTTCAGATGGCCGCCGTTCTTACCGTCCCAGTCCTCGTTCAAGTAACACAACACCGTGAGTCGTCGCCCGTCTTTACCGGTGTTGTCCACGTGTCGAACGAATCGCGATCCTCGTCCAGGGTACTCCGCGAGCATCGCGTGCGTGCGGTCCGATAAACCCCCTAATCGCGCGGGCGCGCGCCGCGAGAGTTGATCCAAAACCAAGTCGTCGATCGCGCGCAGCATCTCGCGAAAGACGACGAACCCCCCCATCTCGATCTGCTCTGGGACCATCCAGAAGATGCGATCGCCGCGAATCGACTTCACGGCGATCTGCGCCCCCGTCGCGGACGACTTCCCGAGCCACACCTCTCCCGGGGTGTAAAACGGCGCGACGTTCTTAATCTCCTCGCGCGCCAACGCGACAGCGTCCGACGTCATGAACGGCGCGGTCGCCCACCCGACCGCGTTCAGACCCTCCGTGAGGTGGTCCGCGAGGTCCGACACCGCCTGGACCGTTCGCGCGGTTCGAACGCATCGAAGCGGCGCGAGACGCGGCCGCGGGTGCGATTTGCGTTTCGTTTTTTTCGGATTCGTCGTCCTTCGATCGAGCGCGCGCGACGACGACGATCTCGTGGTCACCGGGTCCCCGCGAGCGTGCGCGCCAGCTGCTGGACGAATCGTCGTCGTCGAGGTCGACGCCGTCGGCGCGTTCGCGTCGTCTTCAGCGGCGGCCGCGGCGTTCGCGTCGTCTTCAGCGGCGGCCGCGGCGTTCGCGTCGTCGTGGGCGGCGGCGACGGCGGATGCGCGCGGGGTTCCGTCCTCGTTCACGCCGAGCATCGCGAGGTACTCCGCGAGCGGGTTGTCCTCGTCCGCCTCGTCCGCGGCGCATCCCTCCTTCGCGTCAGTTTCCGACGTCATCGCGCGCGCGTCTTCGTCCGCGGCGTCGAACGTCACGGCGAGGCGCGCGCGTCGCGCGTTGAACTTCACTCTCGGCGAAGACGCGTCGCATCGAACGTCCGCCGGGAGCGTCACGCTCGCGAGGTACTCGACGTCCTCGCCGCCGTCAAGCGCATTCGCGGACGCGCGGACCGCGAGCGCGCGCGAGGTGGAGACGCCGTACGCGGATCGCGCGTCCACGACGTCCGCGGACACGTCGCGCGCGGACGTCACCCCGGGGAGGTCGAGGACGACCTCGAACGCGCGACCGTCGCCGAAAACGTCGCCGTCGACGTGGACGTACGAAGTCGTCGTGGATGGGGAGAGCACACGCGCGGGCATGCTCGCTGGAGGAGGGGTCGCGCCGCCGCAGGCGCGCGGTGCCTCCTCGTGACGAGCCAAGGCTGTGGGAGTGCGTGTGTCTGAGATACCTTCGTACACGTCTTGTACACGTGCTGTTTACAACGCGCGTTGTACACGTACATGTACACGTACACGTACAGTTGTACACGTGTACAAAAAAAGGGTAAAAACGGATGTTTCCTGGAAATACAGTACACGTACACGTGTACACGTACAGTGTGTAGATCTGATTACAAAAAGACTGAGCTCTAACCCATCGTACAGTACGTGTACACGTACAGCTGTACACATAACTTACACATAGTGTTTGCACTGTACACGTGTACGTGTACGTGTACTCGTACATGTACAGTAACGGTGTACGCGTTGTACCTTCGGAGGTAGTGTACAGCTGTAGTGCTGTACACGTATTATTGTACGAAAGTACGAAAATAAAAGTACGTTGTACCTAAGGAGTACGAAAGTACCTAAGGAGTACGAAAGTACGAAAGTACGAAAGTACAACTACTTTGTACGAAAGTACTTTCGAAAGTACTTTCGTACTTTCGTACGTGAGATTACTTCAAGTACACGTACGTACAACGTACACGTACGTTGTACGTGTACACGTACTGTAAACTACACGTGCAGGACTCGTGCAGGGCTATCATATCATTCCGACCGACGGATACGACAAACATCCGAAAAGAGGAGGGCGGGTGCGTGCACGAAGCGAGTAAACAAGAGTTAATGAATTACACCGCTCCGTCTTCTGGTTTATTTTCGTTCAGCGCGACGCGGCGACGAGACGCGCGCGCGTGCGCGTGCATATGTATAGATGGGATGGTCGGCGGTTCCCCCCCTCCGCTTAAGGGCGGGCGCGGGCGCGTCGGACGGTGGGTCGGTCGGTCCGCGCGCCGGACGGAACGACCCGAGGCGTCCGTTCCGTCCAGTCCGCGCGCTCCGAATCCGCAAAGGCGACGCCGCGCGTCGTCGTCGTCGTCGTAGTCGTAGTCGTTTACGCGCCGCACATGACGCACTCGTCCTTGTTCGCGAGCGAGCACGCGAGCTTCGCGGCCATTCTGGCCTCCTCCTCCATGTCCGGATCCGCGGATTTCTGCGCGTTCCCCTTGCCGCTCGCAACGAGGACGTTCTCCTTGCCGTTCGCGCCGGCGGTCTCTTCGATCGCCTTCGGCGTCTTCTTCGCGAGAGACGCCTGGTCCACGGTAAACTTGACCGCGTCCGCGGCGGCTCGAGACCGGAGGTAGTACATCCCGGTCTTGAGCCCCTTCTTCCACGCGTAAAAGTGAAGCGACGTGAGCTTTCCGCTGTTGGCGTCCGACATGTGCACGTTGAACGACTGGGACTGGTCGATGAACGCGCCGCGGTCCGCGGCCATGTCCACGAGAACGCGCTGCTTGATCTCCCACACCGTCTTGTAGATCGCCTTGAGGTGGTCCGGGATGTCCAGCCCTTGCACGGAGCCGTTGTTCGCGATGAGCTCGTTCTTGAGCTTCGGGTCCCACAGACCGAGCTCGGTGAGGTCGTTCAGGAGGTGCTGGTTCACGACCGTGAACTCGCCGCTGAGGACTCTTCTCGCGTAGATGTTCGACGTGTACGGCTCGAAGCACTCGTTGTTGCCGAGAATCTGCGACGTCGACGCCGTCGGCATCGGCGCGACGAGCAGAGAGTTTCGAACGCCAGACGTCGCGATCTTCGCCCTGAGCGCGGCCCAGTCGTGGCGGTCGCCGCCGGGCATCTCCGTGACGCCCCACATGTCCGGTTGAAGGATGCCCTTGCTCACGGGAGATCCCGGGTACGTCTCGTAGTGCCCGTCCACGGCCGCGATAGCGTTGGACTCGGTCAGCGCCGCGAAGTATATCGTCTCGAAGATCTCCGCGTTGAGCTTCTGTGCCTCCGGGGAGTCAAACGCGAGGCCGAGGAGGATGAACACGTCCGCGAGGCCTTGCACGCCGAGGCCGATCGGGCGGTGGCGCATGTTCGAACGCCGCGCGGTCTCGACCGGGTAGTAGTTCACATCGATGATCCTGTTCAAGTTGCGCGTCACCTTTCGCGTGATCTCCGCGAGCTTCGCGTGATCGAACGTCCGGGACGCCGCGCCGAGGGAGCCGCGGAGCTTCTTCGCCTCCGTCCGGCCGGTCGGCGAAGCCGGGTTCTCCTCGACCACGAACCGCGGGAGCGCGATCGACGCGAGGTTGCACACCGCGGTCTCCTCCGGGGAGGTAAACTCGACGATCTCCGTGCACAGGTTCGACGAGCGAATCGTCCCGAGGTTCTGCTGGTTCGACTTGGAGTTGCACGCGTCCTTGAACAGCATGTACGGGTTACCCGTCTCGACCTGGTCGTCAAACGTTCGTTCATCGTGCATCGGTGGTCAGTTGAAAGGCAGGCGTCGCTCGCGCTCGAACGTCGAATGAAACCGAGGGTACCAGCGGGTGAAAAAAAAAGTCCTCCTTCGAGGAACGACGCTCCTCTCTGGGCGAGGGAGGTCGGTCGGTCACGCGAGCGAGAACGCACCTGCGCTTCGAGGATGGCGAACCAGAGCTGCTGCGCCTTGATCGTCTTCTTCCCCTTGCCTTGTTCCTCGTACGACGTGTACAACTTCTCAAACTCCGCCCCCCAGGAGTCCGCGAGGCCGGGGCACTCATTCGGGCACATCAGCGTCCAGTCACCGTTGCTCTCCACGCGCCGCATGAAGAGGTCGTTGGTCCAGAGGCCGTAAAACAGATCGCGCGCGCGCGCCTCCTCCTTGCCGTGGTTCTTACGAAGGTCGAGCCAGTCGAAGATGTCCGCGTGCCATGGCTCGAGGTACACCGCGAACGCGCCCTTGCGTTTGCCGCCGCCCTGGTCGACGTACCGTGCGGTGTCGTTGAACACACGAAGCATCGGGATGATCCCGTTGGACGTCCTGTGACGATGTGCGCGCGCGTCGGTCAGTCGAAAGGCGTCGCGCGCGTTGAGACTTCGTTGAAACCGGTCGAGGGGAGATTGTTGAGCGAAAAAAAGTCCTTAAGAAACGACGTTCAGCACGCAAACGGGGGCCGTATGGGGAGCAGTCAGTCGGGTCGGGTGAAAAAAAAGCGTCCTCCTACCCGTTCGTGCCGCGAATGTAGGACGACGTCGCGCGAATGTCGTGGATGGAGAGGCCGATCCCGCCCGCGGACTTGGAAATGCACGCGCACTCTTTCAGGGTGTCGTAGATGCCCTCGATGCTGTCCTCTTTCATCGCGATGAGGAAGCACGAAGACAACTGCGGCCGCGGCGTGCCGGAGTTGAAGAGCGTCGGCGACGCGTGAGTCATCCAGCGTTCGGAGAGCATGTGGTACGTGTCGATCGCCTTCTCGACGTCCTTGTGGATGCCGATCGCGACGCGCATGAGGAGATGCTGCGGGCGTTCAACGATCTTGCCGTCCACGCGAAGGAGGTACGATCGCTCGAGGGTCTTGTACCTGGCGCGGCGTTTTTTGGGTTTGGGTGTTCTCGTTAGTCATCGGCGCCGGTCTTCGGCGAGGGGAGGTTTCGGCGGGAGAATGGCCGTCGCGCGTCGCCGGTGGGATCGTCCGCGAGAAGAGGTCGGCGCGGCGGACGTCGCGCGCGGCGACGCGACCGCCTTAAGTAATTGCCCGCGGGACGCGAACCGAGACGTGTGGGGCGCAGTCTCGAGCGCATGGATCGCGACAGATCACCCGTCCGATCGCGCGTCGCTCACCCGAAGTAGTCGTAGTCGAAGTCGCGGTCGTAGACGATCTCCGCGTCGAACGTCGCGGCGTTCGCTTTGATGATCTCGTACACGTCATCTGCGAGCAGCGGTGACCACTTCCCGTTCCTCTTGTTCACGTGCTCGTGCATCACTTTCATCCTGCGGAGGGAGGGAGAGAGGGGCGAGAACGTAAACATCTTGTTTTATTTTGAATACGCGCGCCCGCGAGAGGCGCGAGCGAGAAAAAAGCCGGGGGCGACGACCGGACGCGCGCGGCGCGCGAGCGACGCGAGCGAGGACCCCCCACCCCGCGCGCGAGCGCGCATGCGCGTCAACGCGGCGACGAAGGACACGACGACGGCATGGCGGGACGCGAGGGGCGCGACGCACGTCTCCGAGAACGACTTGAGCGTGTTCTTGTGCAGGTTGGACACCGCGATGCGCGCGGCGAGCTGCGCGTAGTCTGGGTGCTTGGACGTCATGGACGCCGCGGTCTCCGCCGCGAGCTCGTCGAGCTCGGACGTCGTGACGCCCTTGTACACGCCGCTTGCGACCTTCTGCGCGACGAGGACCGGGTCGCACTGCGTTTCGCGGGGGAAGAGATCGCGGGAGAGGGGGTGAGTCCGGACGAAGACGCGATTTCAAACGCGAGCGCCCGCGAGACTCGCAAAACGCCGGTGCGATCTGCGCGGAGCGAAGCGAAGCACTCACGTGGTCCTGGTTGAGCCCGTACGCGAGCTTGTTGATGCGCGCGGTGATCTTATCGAAGTGCACCGGCTCCTGACGTCCATCGCGTTTGACGACGTACATCGTCATCGTGTCGCGTGCGGGGGCGACTTCGACGGGCGAAGCGCGAGAGGTGTTGTGCCGCGTGCCAACAACGTTTTTCGGTTCTCGTTTGCGTTTGAAAAAAAATGGACTGGTATCGTTTTCCTCATCATAGTGTACAGTACAACGTAGTGTACCGGTTGTACACGTACGTTGTACACGTACTGTACGTGTGCAACCGTTGTACGAAAGTACCTTCGTACAAGGTAGCCCTGTAGAGTGTACGTGTACAGCTGTAAGTGTACGTGTACACCAGGGGATAACTTACTAAAATTTCGAACTACTGTACACTACACTACAACAGTACTACAACTACAGTACTGTACACGTACATGTAGGGCCTACACGTACTGTAAAAGTAAATACATGACTGCCGGAAAAAAAAGTAAATAAATAAGTATTTCAAAGTACCGCAGTTTTAACTCGAAATCGACGGTCTAATTTCGCTCGACCCGCAAAAATAAATACTTTCGAAAAACTAAGTAAACTTTATTTACACTACACTACACGTATGTACACGTACACGTGTACACGTACTCATTATTTATTTTATTATTAAAAGTTGTTGTCGTAATCAGATCTACACGTACACGTACACACTGTGCGTGTACGTGTACAGCTGTACACGTAGTCGTACTTCTGTCAGTTGTACGAGTAGGGCTCAGTTATTCCCCCGACAGGACCACCGCCGCCGCAGACGATGGGGGGCGACGACGAGGCGCGCGCGTTCTCGGAGGAGATGCCCACGTCGGCGTCCACGGGCGCGCGCGGCGGCGAGCGCGCGCGCGACGACGGCGGCGAGCGCGCGCGCGACGACGGCGACGCGCGGCGCCCGCCGCCCGCGCCGAGGCCCGCGGGGACGTCGAGACTGCGCGCGGAGATCGCGGAGGCTCACGCGGCGACGACGACGACGACGAAGGAGGAGGAGGAGGAGGGGGAGGAGGAGGAGGCGTGCGTCTCGCCCGCACGCGCGGCCGCGCTCGCGCGCGACACCGCGGCGGCCTCGGCCTCGGCCTCGGCGACGGCGACGCGGCGCGCGGGCGCGCGCGTGCCGCGAGGACGGCAACGTTCGTTCGACGACCGCGACGGCGATGGGAGCTCGCCGCGCTCGCGCTCGCGTGCGGAGCTCCTCGCCCCCGACGGCTCAGGCGACGACGACGGCGGCGGCGGCGGCGGCGCGCAGCTGTCCAAGTCCGCGCCTTCGCGAGGCAGCGGCGGGTTCCTAGACGCGGAGGAGGACGACGCGGGGGGAGGATCTCGAGGCGGCGGCGGCGCGCGTTCCGACTCGCCGTCCGCCGCGGAGGCGGCGCACTCGCGGCGGTTCCGCGACGCGAACGCGACGTCGCCGACGAATCCGGGCGGCGGGATCACGAGGAACACGTCCTCGTTCGTCCTCGCCGCGGACCAGAACCCGACGCCGCAGTCGATCCCGCCGCCGTCGTTCGGCGATCAAGGTAACATCGGAGAGAAGCACGTGCTCGTGATGGTCGGTCTCCCCGCGAGGGGGAAAACGCACATGGCCAAACGGTTGTGTCAGTACCTGCGTTTCTTCCACGGCGCGAGGACGCAGGTGTTTAACGTCGGGAGCTACCGACGGAAGATGATGCCGGCGGGGAGGAAAGCCGACGCGAAATTCTTCGATCAAAGCGACGCGGAGAGCGAAAAGACGCGGAAAGGTGAGACACACTGTTTCCCGTGCGACCCCGTTCGCGTGTTGCGCGTCGCTTCTTAAGACGAAGTCAATTATTCATGTGTCTCTTCGTTTCTCTTCTTCTGATCGCAGAGTTCGCGCGCGCGGCGCTCAAAGACATGATCGACTTTTTATTCCAGTCCGACGTGGCGTCGTGTTTAGAGCAGAGAGGCTTTGACAGCGGGCGGGTCGCCATCTTCGACGCGACGAACACGACGCGCGCGCGCCGCGAGTGGATCCGAAAAGAGCTCCACGGACTCCCGTTGAAGTTACTCTTCATCGAGAGTGTGTGCACGGACGAGCAGGTCATCGACAGGAACATATGGCACGTCAAGGTGCAAAACGAGGACTACAGCGACGACGCCGACAAGAGACGCGCGTTCGACGACTTCAAACTACGCATCGCGCACTACGAGAAAGTGTACGAGCCCATGGACGAGGAACACCTGTCGTACATCAAGCTCATCAACCAAGGGCGACGCGTGGAGATCAACAACATCCACGGTTTCCTGCTCGGGCGGATCGTGCAGTTCCTGAGCAACCTGCACGCGACGCATCAGACTATTTACCTGTGCCGGCACGGGCAGAGCGAGTACAACTTTTTAGGGAAGATCGGCGGGGACAGCGGGCTGTCGCCGATGGGCGAGGCGTTCGCGACGAAGCTCGGGGAGTACTGCGAGAGAGAGATCGCGACGGATCCAGAGACGAGAGAGCCGCGGCCGTGCCGGCTGTGGACGTCGAGCTTACGGCGGACAATCTTGACGGGGCGGCACATTCCGCATCCGAAAATTCGAACGAAGGACGGCGAAAACTGGATCCAGATGGCGCCGCGAGTGTTACGCAACCTAGACGAGATCTACGCCGGCGTGTGCGACGGGATGACGTACGAGGAGATCGAGGTGAACTACCCCGAAGAGTTCGCGCTTCGACGCGAGAACAAGCTGTCGTATCGGTACCCGCGCGGTGAGTCCTACTTGGACGTCATCTCGCGCCTCGATCCGCTCGTTCAAGAGCTCGAGAGCTATCAAGAGCCCGTGCTCATCATCGGACACCAGGGCGTGTTGCGGCTAATTTACGCGTACTTCACCGGGATGGATCGCGCGGACGCGTGCACGGCGTCGATACCGTTAAACGCGGTCATCACGTTGACGCCGAAGACGCACACGTGCGAGGAGTTGCGAACGGTGCTGCACACGCCGACCGCGGAAGAAATGGGCGTCGTCACGGGCGCGGGCGGGAACGAGGATGACGCCGGCGGCGGGGTTTCGCCGACGGGTGCGGACGCCATCGCGCGGTCAGTGAACCCGTTTGCGACGAACATGGAGCCGCCGTCGTACTGACAAGGACGCGGAAGCGAATCAAATAAATAGTCTACGAATAAGAATAGCAAACGAAGGTACACTACGTACACTACCGCGCGTTGTACACGTACTGTACAACGTTGTACGAAGGTACGTGTACAACGTACAGTACCTTCGTACGAAAGTTATCTTCTACTTTCGTACTTTCGTACCTTCGTACGAAGGTACCTTCGTACTTTCGTACCTTCGTACGAAGGTAGCCCTACAGTACGTGTACGTGTAGCTCAGTCTTTTTGTACACGTAGTTGTACAGTACAGTACATGTACAGTACACGTACGTGTAGGCTTAATCGGGAAATTTAATTAGCGGAGCGTGACCTTAAGGTACACGTACACGTGTACACATAGATAGTCCTCTACGTGTACAGTATGTAATTCGAAAAAAACCAGCAAAAAAACGTACACGTACTCGTGACTAAAAACACGAACAAAAGTGTACGCGCGAGCACCCGTCGCTTCGCGACGCCGAGCTCGCTCCGACGCGAACGCGTAACCCTAAACCTAACTAGGGTTCGAGGACCCTAGCCGCGAGGGGGCGAAACGGGGCCGCTCGGGGGGTGGGGGTCTTGTCCGAAGGGTTCCGTGTGAGATGGGGATGAGGTGCGATCCACCTACACAGAAGGCTCAATCCACCTACATGGATTTGACCGGCACTAAGGGTCAAATTGACCGAGCGAAGCGATTTCACCCCGTGACGTCGGATTGCTTTCGATGTCTGATAAAGTTTTGGCGTTTCCTAAAAGTCACCCCCGCACACTTCAACCCCCACGTGGGTGGGAGGTGGGCGGTAGGGTGGGTGCCCACCACCCCTCGACAAGGCCCACCACCCCAGGTGGGGTGCCCACCACCCCTCGACAAGGCCCACCACCCCTGGTGTTTAGGGGTGGTGCGGCCGGTCGCATGCCGTTCGTGCGCAATGGGTATTTAGTCACAATAAAATGCAGGAGGGTACAGTACCACCCCTCCTTATGTACAGTACGAAAGTACCGCTCAGAGTACTGTACCGCTCAGTATCGCCTGTCATGTCGTTAAGTCGTGAGACCCTTGAACGCGGTCGTGAGACCTCAACACGAGTTTTCCATCAATTATCGTCCGCGGCGAGACCACGTGTCCGCTGCGCGTCGCGACCGACCGACGAGACAGCGTCAGCATCTACCCAACGACGGAGCGACCGCGCGTGGGGGCGATGCGCCTCCGGTGAAGCGCCTCGCTTCCGCGTCGAACAGATAGACGGTACGGGTCGCGCCCGTCGCCGACGCGATGGCGTCGCCCTCATCCCAGACGGGCGCCGACCCCTCAAGCGCGGGCGGCGACGCGGCGGACGCCTCATCATCGCACGCGGGGCGATCACGCGTGGGACGAGAAAATCAGCGCTACGGCGAGGCGGGCGCGAGGCTCGTCGCCGGGTGCCTCCCGATCCGCGCGCGCGCGGACGGCGCCGGCGTCGAGGTGCTCATGGTCACGAACAAGCACGGCGACGGGATGATCTTCCCGAAAGGGGGCTGGGAGAACGACGAGACCGCGGAGGACGCCGCGGCGAGGGAGTCGATGGAGGAGGCTGGTGTCCGCGGCGATCTGAGCGATCTCGGCGAATTTACCTTTCGCTCGCGGAAAGGCACGGACAGCGACGGGGACAAGCTGCGATGCGTCGCGCGCGTCTTCGTGATGCGCGTCACCGAGGAGATGCCGCGCTGGCCGGAGCAGCACTCGAGACATCGGTCGTGGTGCCACCCCAAGGTTGCGATCGCGTCGTGCAAGCACGATTGGATGCGCGACGCGATAAGACTCTGGGCGAGACGCGATGGGATCGATATCGACGTGTGATGTGATGGAGGAACTCCCGTTCGGTTCGCGTTGCGGTCCGGGGTTGACGTCCGTCCGTCGGGGGCGGTCGAACGCGACGCCTCGCCGGTGAAACGAACCCGACGTATAAACGAAACGACGGAGCCGGAATTCTGGAAGAATCGACGACGCACGCCGCACGCCGCGCGCGAGAACGGGATCGTATGGAAAGCAGTCTAATCCGAAACTGAACGAACATCTCGTGCTGTGAGGTTTGTGACGACGTTGAACAAAAAACGCTCCACGCGAGACGCGCGCTCAAATCAAACCGTGAACGCGACATCTTCATTCTTCCGCCCGTCGCCAAAGTATATCCCCCCGGTCGTGTTCGAGACGTCACTGTAGTACGCGAAGTACCCCGGCCACGCGAAACTCCTCACCACGGCGAGTCTCTTGAACGTGTCGTACGTCACCCCCCACGTTCCGTTTGGCTCCTGGTTTGAAATGAAGGACGTGTCCGTCAGTCGCGCGTCCATCTTGAAAGGGAGGCGCAGGGTGGGTGAAGAGAAGCGAGAGGGAAAGTCCTCGAGAGACGACGCGCGAACGGGATCGCACGGGAAGCGGTGTCGAGTAAAGCGGTCTCGCCTCCTTCAGCGTCGTCTTGCTCCCGCCGACGGCGGTTTTCGCGTACGACGCGAGCTGTTCCGGGTACTTCATGTGAAACAGCGGGTTGTACACGATGTGACCGTTCGCATCCGTGATGTGCATGCCAACCGGCGCGATCACGCACTCGTCGTCGATCCGCGTCGCCATCGACAGAAGGAGCTGGAGCTCGGTGACGGCGAACTCGAGCGGAGGGAGCGGCTCGGGCGGGTCCTCCGGCTCCGGCGGCGGCGGCTGCAAGGAGGGAGAGGAGAGAGGAGGACGGATCACCGCCGTGACGCGCGTCGGTGGGTCAGTTTTGAAAGCCTTCGCGGGCGGTCGGGGAGGAGATGGCGTATGGAAGAGCGTCCGTGAGAGACGACGCTCGACGCGCGTGGGAGGTCGTACGGGGAGCGGTCGGGCGGAAGAAGCACTCGATCTGCTCGAGGGGAAAAAAAAGACGTTCTCGTCGCGCGCACCGGCTCCTCCCCCTCCGCGAGCTCGGGCTCCGGCGGCGGCGTCGGCGGCTCCGGGATCGGCTGCTCTTCGTACACGGTGAACACGTGCGCAGGGTCGCCGGTCAGCCAGCCTGCGTCGAGGGAGGGGGAGGGGGAGAAAGAGAGGAGGAGGAGGGGGGTCGTCAGACGCTCGCGCCGGGATCGATCGACGGATCGGGCGAATCGACGACTAGACGAACGACGACGAGTGAAATCGATCGTTTCCGTTCGCGCGACAGGACGTTCGTCCGACGCGCGAACGAACCCCGACGAATTCTCAACGAAGACGCGGGGGAGAAAAGATCGAGGACGCGGGATCGATCGACGGACGACGACGCACATTTCAGTTCCGCGGCTTTCTCCATCGTGACGTCCTCCTCGGGCGGCACTAAATCCAGCCACTCCATGCCGTCCTGCGAGTAGTAGAATTTCGCCCCGACGTTCGCGACGACGACGCCGTCGTGGTCGACGCGCTTACCGTTCTCCGCGCGCGCGACGTAGTAGTCCGTCCCGCTCTGCGTCCGGACGCGACCCCAGAGGAAGAACTCGCGGACGCCGAGCTCGGACGCTTTCAGCGCGAGCGACACGTCCAGCGACGCGCGAATCTCCGCGGGCAGGACGACGCCGCAACCGGCCAGCGCGTCGAGCGTGAGGAGCGCGTTGTTGTTCATCGTCGCCGGCATCGTGCTGGGCGGCGTCGCGTCGTCGGCGTCGGCGTCGGCGTCGGCGTCGGTGCCGGCGGCTTCTTCGCGCGACGCGGGGTGAGCGGCGAGAACGGCGGCGACGGGCGCGCGCGCAGCGACGAGTGCGACGAGGTGGGTCGCGACTTCTCTTTTTGGAAACTGAGCTAACCTTAACCTGTGCTGTTCGCGGGCGCCCTTCCGGAAAGTGGCGGATGTGGACAAAATGTCCACTCCGCCAGTTTCAAATTAGTCGGGTAAAAAAAACGTTGAAACCGCGTCCTCCCGATGGGGAAATTTTCATCGCATTTTCATCGGTGATTATTTTTCATCGAGGCTGACCGGAGATTCACGATCAAGGGGCGAAAATTTTGAAAGGCAAATCGGCCCACGCGCGCGCCGTTAAACGTGCCCGTGAGGGCGACCCGCGAACAGCAATGACTCCGAACAGACCACCACTGTTAGAACTGTGTACGTGTAGGTAGGACACGTATCATACAGCAATACGTACACGTACACGTAGTGTACGTGTACCTTCATAGGTTAGAGCTCAGTCTTTTTGTAATCAGATCTACACACCTTCATTTGCCTACGTTGTATGATAGCCCTCAGATACCTTCGAAGGTACCTTCGTACGAAAGTAGATACCTGTAGTAGATACGAAGGTACATTGGATACACGTACGCGGGCGCGACAGCGCAGGTCCTCTTCATGGAGCTAGACACCGCCTGTGCACTTCAAGCCGCCCCGGCATAGCAAGCTCGCGACGCTCTTACCGTAATCATGGACCGTACCGTGGAGTTGATCACCGCGTTAGAGGGTTGCACGTGCTCGTTCACGCCGTGAAACAAATATGCTATCTATACTTCTGAACGTGTCGAACTTTCGACTTATGGGTCAAGCACATCGGCCCCAAACTACCTCGCGGCGAGTCGACGACCGATCACCGGGTGAACTTGATAGGGTCCCTTCGCGTCCTGAAAAGTTTTTATGTTTGATTGTATTTTCGTCAGGGAACCGTCTTGTCTCGTGTGGGCATTTTCGTCAGCGAGGGGCGTTCCGGAGATCTAATCTAAGTTGCAAGTCATTTTCGATAACGCCATGCCTGACTTTAGCAGACCTGCAGAAGCAGAAACGGAAACTCAACTCGAGATGCGTATCGAATGTGAACGGGTTCAGCAGTTGCGCGAGTTAATTTTCAAAGCTGGCGTGAGGCTCCCTCAAACTATGGCTTTGCCATTCAATGGAGGCCAAGAACGAACGTTGCTGCGCTTTACACGGGCGCGCGCAGATACTGAAAAGTCTTTCGCTATGCTAAGATTGACACTGAAGTGGCGCGAGTTGAAAAATGTTGATTACTGTCTTAGAGAGCCCTTGTCCGGTTTTTTTTTTGGGCTCTTGCTCAAATCCCAGGATTCTATATTGGTTATGGGAAAAACGGCAAACCAATTTTTCTCGAGCACACTGCTGTTGTCCCGTGGGAAGAACTTGTTGAAACTATTGGTACTGAGTCGTTCATCCACGCCCAGACACAGTGCCTTGAATGGCAGTGCATCGAAGTACATCAGGATGCGGGTCGGAGGTTGGGTCGGCCTGTCACGCAGGGGATTAATATATGGGACTTGACGCTCTGCCCATTTGCTCATACGCTCATCCTTTTAGATCCTTTCTAAGCTCATATCCTTTCGCTGATAGCCACTACGAAGGTAGCTAGCTAGCTACTTTCGTACCTTCGTACGAAGGTAGCTAGCTACAAGTACGAAGGTAAAACAACTTAGCTACAGTATGATACGTGTACGTGTACTCGTAGCTACAATGCTGTTCGCGGGTCGCCCTTGGGCACGTTTAACGGCGCGCGCGTGGGCCGATTTGCCTTTCAAAATTTTCGCCCCTTGATCGTGAATCTCCGGTCAGCCTCGATGAAAAATAATCACCGATGCGATGAAAATTTCCCCACCGGGAGGACGCGGTTTCAACGTTTTTTTTACCCGACTAATTTGAAACTGGCGAACGTGACCATTAGGGCGACCCGCGAACAGCAATGTACCTGTAGCTAGGAAAAAAATACTATCCAGCTCTTTTTTCCATTCGATCCAGCTCATCTCGCTTTTCGATGCAAATACCCATACGATACAGCCCTCGTACTACGTCCCGTACTCCCTGGTTTCAAACTTCAGTCGTTTGAAAGGGGTACCCGCGGGCGTTCGCGCGCTGTTGGAGTCGCGGGAGCGTCACGAACGCCGACGTCGCACGCGAAGAATTTACTCGAAATACCATGTTGCTCCGGCGCATTCAAAAATATCACACCAGTCACTGTGATGATCACGACGTAATCATCTCTCGAACAGGGCCGGGGCAACTTTAAACATCGCGTTTTAGGGGAAGGTGGAAAAAAAAGTTCTCCTCCTTCAAGAAATATTTTGCAGAGTCGTCCTTGACATATAAGCGCCGCTGACTTCGTTTTCTTTACGGGAAGTGGCACAATACTTTTGCTTTAATCGATGCCCCGCGATGTGACGAAGAACTCTTCTCACTGTACCGGAGATTGTTACGGCTATTCCGCGACGCTATGGCCGCGCGAACACGCAGACCTCGCGGAGAGGAGTAAAACTGTCAGAACTCTGATCGTAGACGAAAGGGCCACTGAATCGTCAGACGGGTGAAAACCCGACTCTCGGTCAAAGTTGATAGGTCAAGCCGATCAACCGCGAGTACGCGAGAAGAGCTGGATCGAATGGAAAAAAGAGCCAGATAAAATTTTTTGCCTGTAGCTAGCTACCTTCGGAGGTACTTTCGTACCTTATAAGTACGGAAGTACGAAAGTACCTTCGTACCTTCGAAGGGCACAGTATCTGCACTCCTTTTGTCTCAGCATACAGCAATTCCCTACACGCACTGTACGTTCACTAGACTAAGCTGTGCTGTACGAAGCTACTGAGGTACTTCCGTACTTCCGGAAAGTCACTTCGAATGATTTTTGTTTATCCTTCGTACATATCTACGAGTACGTGGATTCAAAAACTTTCAAGGCACGAATTATGGAGTCGCGGTGGTGCGCGCGGAGCGCGCTACTGGAGCGCCGAAGGCGCAACAGGCGGAGAGCACGCCAGCGCAGGCGGAGCATGCTCGCTGGCAGATGGTGGAGTCGCCGGGGTGCGCGCGGAGCGCGCCACTGGAGCGCCGAAGGCGCGACGGGCGGAGCGCGCGTCAGCGCAGGCGGAGCGCGCGTCAGCGCAGGCGGAGCACGCTGGCACACGGTGGAGTCACAAGCGAAGCGCGGATAATATGGGGGTTGTACCTTCGTAGAGCTTTCACTTTCACTTTCACAGCGACTTTCACAGCCCGTTTTTCCAGGTTATGGGTCGGTGTGAAAGTCGATTTTCGGGGTTCCGGTCGTTTTCACAATCACAGTCACAGTAACAGGGGACGATAGGCCAAAATTCGAGACTCTCTGGACCCAACCCCCCCCCCGCGCAAGTTCTGCGCTTCTGGCGTCACTGAGTGCCCGTAAACGCCGTCGCCACAGTGGGATGAAATGCTCTGAACACCATGATTCGTTGATTCGAGTAAAAAAATGATACCACTTTCAGTCAAGAACACGTCGTAAACGACGCCGCGAAGAGGACGTCCCTCATCGATTTGCGAAAAAAAAAGGCCGGCCGGCCACCGAAGTTGCGAGGGACATTCCGCGCGCGCGAGTTCAGCACCTCGTCGTCGCAGCATAACTGCACTTACCGCCCATTAGTTTCGCATTGATCGACGCAGTGCGGTGTTTAGCGCAATTCATCTCACTCTGGCGACGGCGTCCGCGCTCTCTCGGCGACGCCAGAAGCGCGTAAACGCGCGGGGCTGCGGGGTCCCGGGAGACGCCAGCCCACTCGTATATGGCAAAATATATGGCAAAATTTATTCGAGAAATCACGAGTTTAACGGTCCGCTGTGACTGTGAAAGTTGAAAACGAAATTCACAGCAGACGCCGTTTGCTGTGAAAGAATTTTACGGTGCAGCGAAGCGCACCCACATGCCACGTGTACACGTACACGTACTGTACACGTACACGTACGTGTACAGCTGTACACGTATGATACTCTACTGTACAATATTTATTATTTTAATTTTACAAGAAGTGCCTGTCGAGACTTCGTCTCGGTATGTGAGTATTTAGTCTGAAAAGTTTCTACTCGTATCCGACTTGCACAATGTTGAGTATTTGGTCTGTAATAACTCGTACCTTCGAAGGTACACGTAGTACGCGCGGACGCGAGAAGAACGTTGGCACGGCGCATTAATCCACCGCGCGTCGCCTCGCGCCCGGCCCGGAACGAACGTCTTCTCCCGTCCCGTCCGTATCGGTCCGGTCCTTATCAGCCCGGTCCCGAACGGTTCCGCCTCGCACGCACGTCGAACGGCGGCCGTTCACGTCACAGCACGTCGTCGAACATTTTATGTTCGGTAAAAGTTAACCCCTGGTACACGTACAACGTTGTACACGTACACGTACGTGTACAGTAAAAGTAAAGGTAAAAGTTAACCCCTGGTGTACAGCTGTACACGTACACGTACAGTACACGTACAACGTGTAGTGTACTTCCGGAAGTACGTGTACTTCCGGAAGTATTCTATCTATTTTCGAAAGTACTTTCGTACGAAAGTACGAAAGTACTTTCGAAAGTACGTTGTACAGTACGTGTACAACTACTTTCGTACGAAAGTACTTCCGTATCTACTACGTGTAGTACGTGTATCAATGTAGCTGTCAACGTCCAAAGTCCTCTTTCAAACTATCGGCGTTGTCCACGACCGTCGGTCGCCGCCGCCTCCCTCCCACCACCGCGGAGTCGCGGCGCACGCGAACGCTTCCTGGGCGTCCACATGGGGGCTCCTACGATACCACACGAGCGAATACCTCGTCCCTTCGTACCCGGGCTGCGAAGAAAATAAATAGCCAAAAAAAAGAGTTGAGTTGAGAAGACTTCGTCGATGCGGCGCGTCGCACGGTGGAAACCAAACGAACGATTGATGACGTGGCATTTCGTGCGATGTACATTGAAAGCACGTGCGCACTTACCTGGACCCAGTGCACGGCGCGGCCGTCCACGCACGCGACGCCGTCCCTGGTGTCGATCGCGCCAACGGTTTCGCGATCGATCTCGACGCACAGCGTCCCAGGCTCTGGGGACAGAGGGGTGACGGTTGACGTTCCATCTTCCCCCGTTTCGGTTTCGGTCACGACCCCGCCAGGTTCGATCCCGGGTCGCGAGTGCGAGTAGTAATCCCCGAATGCGCAGACGAACTGCGGCGCGACGTCCAACGCGTCGCGGTGCGGCGACGCCGAAAAGTTTTTCGTCACCGCGAGGCCGTCGAACTTGGCGGCGACGTCGTCGCCGGCGACGGACGCGAGGACGTCTCTCGCGAGTTCCCAAACCGCTCGGTACCGTCGCATCCGCCGTCGCCGCCGCGCGTTCTGTCCCGGGGATGGAGGGGAGGCGACGGTTGACGTTCTATCTTCCGTCTCGCGCTCGAACCCGAGCGAAGACAGGCTGAGGTATTCGCTCGACGCGACACCGACGCGGTGCGACGCGCGCGGCCACTTCAGCGTCGATAGCGTCGCGATCGCGCTTTTTAGCGTCTCTCCAGGGACCGCACGAACGTACTCGCGCGTCGAGAGGATGACACACCGACGCCGGACGCTTCTCGGGAGGAGTGTCCCCGCGAATGACGACGCGTCCGCATCCCCCTCCCCGTGCGCCGAGAGGAGTCTCCTGAGGAGAAACAGTCGCGCGGCGCCGTCGCCGCCCGCCTCGCGCGCGGCCGCCTCCCCGGACTCGTCCCGCGGCCATCCGAGCGCGCGGAGTCTCGACGCGAGCGTCGCGGCGTCCAACGGCGCGAGCTGCGACGCGAGCGAGACGTCGAACGACGTCGCCGCGAGCATCGTCCGCGGCGTCTCGGACGCAACGCGAAGGTTCGCGCGCACGAATCTCGTTCGCGTCCTGCTCGACGCGTCGCCGTCGTCGCCGTTACAGTCTCCTCCTCCTTCTCCTCCTCCTCCTCCTCCCGGGACGTCGAGATCGAGCGCGAGTTCCTTCCCGTGGAGCGCGCGCACCGCGCGTCTCGCCTCGTCCCCCGACGCGAACGAGACGAACGCGAACCCGAACGTCTCGCCGTCGCGTTTGAACGCGCGCTTCTTGACGACGACGCGCGTCGGACGAAACGACGCGCGCTCGAACGCGGCGCGGACGCGCGCGCCGTCGACGCCCTGCGGCAGGCTGCCCATCCACACGTCCACGTCGCGCGGCGGTGGCATCACTCCAGACTGGATTTCATTGCGTGTACGTGTAACGCGTTGTACAGGTAACCTTACTCGTACGTACGTTATCCGTCGTATCTTATCATTCTTATCCTGACTACAAGTTGTACTTTCGTACCTTCGAAGGTACAGTACGAAAGTACCTTCGTACGAAGGTACCTTCGAAGGTACTTAAGTACGAAAGTACTTTCGAAAGTACTTTCGTACTTTCGTACCTTCGTACACGTTTATCGTGTACAGCTGTACACGTACAACTACTGTACGAAGGTACAACGTTGTACACGTAATAAAGAGCTGTACAGTAGATAAAGTTGTTGTAGGGTTATTGTACAGATGTACTTTCGTACGAAGGTAGTACACGTACGTGTACACGTTTAGTGTACTGTACATGTAGTACGAAAGTACTTTCGAAATACTTTGCTTGAGTACTTCCGGAAGTACTTTCGAAAGTATACAACTACACGTACTGTACAGTACTATTTTCAAGTACGAAAATATCTTCGAAGATACGAAGGTAGATACTGTAGATACCTTCGAAGGTACGAAAGTACTTTCGTACTTTCGTACCTTCGTACGAAATAAAGTAACGGTGTACGGCTGTACTGTACGTGTACACGTACACGTACACGTACGTGCAGTGATAAACAGACCAGAGGGTGCCCACAGTGAACAAAAACGAGACCGCATAGAACGGACGCGATCGCCGCACGCGTCGTCGCGGCGCGCGCGGCCGCGACGGGATGGAGGACATCTACCCCCTGCGCGCGGCGTCGACGCTCCCGCGCTCGCGCGAGGCCGCGGGGATCTTCCCCCCCGCGCTCTCCGCGGTCGCCTTCGACGCGGTCGAGGAGCTGCTCTACGCCGCGGGCGTCGACGGGCGCGTCACCGCGATGCACGCGCCGAGCCTGGAGCGATTCAGCGCCGTTCACGCGCACGGCGACGCGCACGGCGGCGCGCACGCGATCTTGCCGCACCGCGACGGCGGCGTCGGCGGCTACGGCGGGGCATTCGGCGGCGCGCACGTCTCGCTGTCCGCCGAGCGCGCGACGTTCCACTCGAGCGGCGGCGTGATGCGATGGGGCGTCGACGTCGCGGCGGACGACCCGACGAACGACCCGGTGACGTGCGGCGCGATCGACGCGCCGCACGCACTCGGGAGCGCGGGGGGGAGGGCATTCATCGGAAGGGTGTCGCCGACGATGACGACGATCGACATCGCGACCGGGAAGATCAGCGCGACGGACGACGTCTCGGGCGCGAGGTGCGCGCGACGCGACCGATCGATCCATTGAGTTTTTTTCTCTTTTCTTTTTTGCCACCCTCTTCGCACGCGAGACGAGACGATACTCGATTCCTCTTTCCACTCCGCCAGCGCG